TGTCTGCCAATTTAGTTTATTATACTTTTTTCCTTTCGAATTGGACTACTGCGGCGACCCACATTATATTAATTAGAAACACTAAAAATAAGTTATTATAAATAGACATTAACCATCAAATTCATTCGTTCATACATAATAAATTAGTGAACTTATTGTTATCGGTTAAACTGGACAAGGTTAGGGATTGTACTTGTCATGAAACAATATTTAAAAGATGTTGGAAGAATTACAGTACCGATTACCTTCAGAACACACTGATGAACTCTATTTTCAATAATGATACCGCGGATGTCAATATATTGGCAAATAAATTTACAAATAATGTTAGTTCTGTCCTCGATGTAATGTGCTCTATGAAAAAAATTACAATTAATCAGGGATACGCAGATAAAAAATAGATTACAGTTGGCATTAAAGAACTAATGAAAAACAAAGACAAACTTTATCGTAAAGCGGTCTACGACAAAACAGTGGACAGTTGGAATGAATTTAAAAGTTAGAAACAAATTGTAATACAAATAAAAATCGAAAAGGATAATTATTATTATTATTATTAAAGTTCTATGGAAAAACTTAAAAGTTCTGCTGCTGAAATATTGTTTGGAGTGGAGACAGTTTCAGACGAAATGGAAATCCCCAAAAAATTTAATGAATACTTTGTAAATAGTATTGCAGAGATTGTATCCAGTATCCCAGAATTCGATGAAAATATAGCAGCCATTGCTATCTATACAGAGTTTTCTAAATTTGAAACTGTGTCACTCTCCATGTAAAAAAATATGTTTTTCTACTCCCGTCTGTAAATACCTAATTACCCACCGATCTAGCGTGCGTGAAGCGTTATTTTACCACGTCAGTTTCGTTTCACATGAATCCGAGACACTACGGACATTTCCGGGATTTTACCGCACGGATTTGAAAGCAATCGGAGGTTTTCGGAGATATTTCCCACGCTTTGAATTTTCACGTGTGTCAATTCTGACAGTCACGTCAGTGAATGTATTCGTGTTGTTTTGCGAAAATGTACCCAAAAACTAACGGTCGTAGAAAAAGTATAATATACTAATATAGTATGAAAAATGTAGGTAGTGGGAAGCGTGGAATCAATTTCTACCGGGGTATTTTCGCACGACTGGAAGACATCAACTGTGAGAATTTAGACCGATAAACACTGTTCCGGTTTATGAAAAAATATTGGCAATGGTCCTCAAACAGAAACAGCTTGCATTCTGCGATAACAACAACATTTTAGTATCCCATCAGTCTGGATTCCGTCATCATTCTTGTGATTCTGTGATAGTTAATATATGTGACAATTTCCTCAAAGCTGTTGATAGTAATAATCTTATTTTGGCTGTGTTCCTGGATTTTGGAGAGCTTTGGAAACTATTGATAGGTTTACGTTGTTAAGAAAAATCGGAAAGCTAGGCATACGCGGTTCAGTTTTAAATTAAGATCTTATTTGTATAACAGAACCAAAAATGTTAGTTTTAAAAATAGTCTGTCGGATACTGTTGATTCAATGTATGGAGTGCCATAAGGAACTGTACTGGGGCCCCTATTATTCCTATTGTAGATTAATGACGTAGTTATATATAGTTGGTAGTGACATAGATAAGATGAAACGTAGTATTAACAGTGCTTCGATCCGAATATACGAATGGTTATGTAAGCACAAACTTACTATTAACACGTCAAAGTCTAAATTTTGTATTTTTGAGAAAAAACAAAAATTGAGGATTGTTAATATAGAAAACATAAAAATTGAAATAAATAATGACATGCTAGTACGCGAAAATAAAATTGCAGCATCTCATCTCAAATTCACACTCTCCTGTATAACTTACCGAACTATAAGATAAATGAGTTTCAAGTAGTTTCATCAAGATCGATCTTAAAGTGTAACAGATACACTCCTGTAAACCTAATGTCAAAATTGCCCTAACCAAATGACAGATTCTATTCTGGATAGTGGTAGTGATAGTGATAGTAGTGAACTGCCAAATACCTTAAAAAATTGTGATATTAATAACTTTAACATTATGTTGAGGGATATGTAATGTATAGATTTTAAGTATAAATCACTGTTTCATCTTAATTTATGGTTAGAGTTATGTTGTTTGTTCATGCATCTTGTAAAACTTTGTAAGCAATTGTTTTTTGTATGTAGCATCCCAAGCTGATAAAGAAATATCATTACTTTTATTATTATTATTACTAGTCTCCAAGAAAACAATTGTAATTTTATATTAAAACTAAATGCTTTTGAGTTTTCACTTCTGCTTCGGTGCAAATATTCTTTCTTTTATGTTATGTAGGTTTAGCGCAAATTGTTTCTTTAGCAAAAATTTGTTATATTGCTATTTTGTTATTGGAATTGTTACCTACACATTTACCTAAACATGACAGTCTATATCTTTTGTTACTTCATTTATTCGATATGGCAATTCGCATTATTCCCTTGGATTTAATTTACATATTAGAAGTGTCTTCCCATATTAAAATAAATATCTAACCAATTACCAATTAAAAATACATCATTTAGCACGTTTATCACTATTAACATAAAAAACTGAAGTTTGTTTGTTGAACAGTCGATCCATTTATATTGTTAGGTGTATCTATATATGATCGAACTTATCATGATATTATTAATTAGCAATTTCTAAATGAACATGAGTAATTCGGGTTAACAAATAAAATGTTGAAGAAGATAAACCATTTTATCGGATTGGGGCTCAAACCCATGAGCATTATCAAATTTGTAATTTGTAAAGCGATGTAAAAAACTACCAGTTAGAAAATTATAATTCGAAAATGGCGTCTAAACCTCACCACATGCTTCGAACACTCAAGCGCTCATTTTCAGCCAACGGTGGTTTTTATATTTTAAATGTTTGGTGGCGATTTAATTAATTTTTTTCTACTTCCGTCTGTAAAATACCTAATTACACACCGATCTTGCATGCGGGAAGCGTTTTCGGAAATATTTCCCACGCTTTGAATTTTGACGATTGTCAATTCTGACGCTCATGTCAGTGAATGTATTCGTGTTGTCAAATAAACTCGTGAGTTCAAATCGGTTTACCACACTTGTTACATAATATACTATTTCAACTTTCCTCTGCAAAATACCAAATTATGCTTCACTTTCCAAGTGAGTTTTTTGTTCTACGGATCCGAGCCACTTCGGACATTTTCGGAATATTACCAGGTTCGGGAGCGATCGGATATTTTCGGAAATTTTACGACACGGCTGGAATTTTGTCAATTCTGATGGTCAATGTTGAATGTATTAGTGTTGCGTTGCAAAAATCTACCCAAAAACTAAAGGTCGTAGAAAAATTATAGTTTGCAACACGTTTGGTAAATTTTTAATTCACTCGTTTATTAAATACTCGCTCAGCTAGTGCCAAATAAACTCGTGACTCAAATGCAACACTTGTTGAATAATAAAAGGATTTTATAATTATACATTTGACTGATGTAGAGAAAAACTAAATGGTTTCATTTCTTTTCAGTCTACAACTTCAGTTTGAGAGATGGAGCGCTTCTAAATTTCATTCTCATGCGGAACGTGTGCAACAGATTTTTCATTCGCATTTGCATTTCATTTTGCAGAATATGGACGTATATTGAAAGCTGGATTCTAAAATATATTTGACTGCAAAGTATTTTTAGATTATGCATTTCTGTTTATTTATAATCAAAGTTATTATTTAATTTCCACAAACAGACTTCTACAGGCTACTGTAATAATTGTTACAAAAGTTCTGGATCCCTCCTGCATCGGTTTTTGCTGAGTCGAACTTGCTGACGTTTCGCCCATCATCCTGTTGGCTTCTTCAGAGCTTGATTGAAACTGAAACTCAGTTTTGTAAAAAGTAAAGTTATTATTTATTTCCTTTTTTATGTTGATTCGAGCACTTGTATTAATACTTTATTTTGTTTAATTATTTTGTTATGGAGATAGCTGAATATTTCTTCAGATTCTGACTGAAGAGATTTATGAACAACCGACGCTAAAAGAATAAAAAAAAATACTACATTGTATAATATACTAACCAAAACTACACTCAGTGCGGATAACATTAAATAAACCTTTATATGCAGAAACAGCTTTCTACGTACCCCTAATAGTTCTGGAGATATGAATCTAAATATTTGCTTACCCGTGTCAAGTGTCCCCCAATTTAGTATATTACACTTTTTTTCTTTTGAATTTGACTACTGCTGCAACCCACAGTCATATTAATTAGAAACAATAAGAATAAGTTTTTAGAAATAGTCATTAAATATCAAATTCATTCAATGATCAAGAAATAATTTAAAAATACTGCCTACGTATTCTAAAGCTTATTTGTACATACTTAATTACTTTTTACTAATCTATAAGAAAACAATTATAATTTTATATTAAAACTAAGTGCTTGTGAAATGGTAATTAAATTATAAGAAGTTGCACGAGTTTTCGCTTTTGCTTTGAAAGATCTAATACTTTGAATCATTGGACTAATCATGCTACTGCGGCTTGCAAAAGCGGAAGGTGCAAACACACACCATAAAAAACGAGGATCCTTACAAAGGACAACTGACTCTCTAGGAAAGAAAACATTCTTGCGCCTCACGGGCTAGTGTAAAACAGCAACATATACAAAACAGAAGAAACGGACAATGTTAGCTTGGAACTTTCTCTTATAATAACACAACAAAGAATGAGAAAAAAACTCAATAAATGACCCGAAAGGCAGCACAGACTAAAGCACATTAGAACACATGTAGGCTGTATTTTGGAAAAGGAGGAATAAGTTTACTGCAATCTCAGTTCATTCAAGGAGTATAGTATACTGTATAGTATACGACTTTCCTATTGGAGGAGAGTCTAAAATCAGCGCTCTGCTCACAAGACCGATTTTGAATAATTTTTTTTCTCTGAAAATTTATTACTAATTTGGAAGACACCTCCGAGAGAACTTTCTGTAAACCCTGTATTAAAAGAAAAACAAATTCAAGATTTTGAGTTGTTGCAAACTCGGTTTATTTCAACATTTAATTTACAAGATATAATACAATTTTCTATGTTGGTTTTGTGCAAAATTTATTGAACAATGCCTATACGAGTTTTAAGACTGCTGGTGGACTTCCAGTGTTTCCTAAAATATTATTACGTAATTAGCAACTTTTTATGCAATAGAATACGACAGATTGATAATTTTTTTCAATATATTAAAACTTTGAAATTGTTTGAGTAGAAAGAAATATTTAATTATATTTTGTGTGGCTTTTGATTTAGGTTTTTCTCTTCGTTCTTCTTTTTGTTCGATTCTTTTCCTTCCCGCTAATATTTGCAAAATACGCTTCAGATACCACTTCATTTATTTCTTTGCAATTGAAAAAATAATTTTAAATTGACCATTTTTTAAATACAATAATGTGACTGGTGCATTATCGTCATAGCAATCATATAGCCGATAACACAGGCGTCAAAGAGTTTGTAATTGAAGTTACTGTAGTTACTGGATAAACGGGAAAAGCCATTTCAAAATTTCGTTTAGTAGGTGGGTCCTAAATATTGAAAAAAGTGAACATTACCTAAAGTCAGAGATCCGTTTCTTCACATGGTTCTTCAGTTTCTGCTTCAATCGTAGTTGTTTGCAATTCACCTGGAACTGTGGTAGTTTCAGTGCCATTTGCGGGCGTTGTGAAATCTTCTTCCTCGCATGGTTCTTCGGTTTCTGTTTCAATAGTAGTTGTTAGCAATTGACCTGGAGCTGTGGTACTTTCAATGCCATTTGAGGAAGTTGTTAAATCTTCTTCCTCACATGGTTCTTCAGTCGTAGTCTGCTGTTGAGCTTCTGTAGCCGTTTCAGTAGGCGAAATAGTTGTTTCTGGAACGGACGTGGTAGTTAACTCAACGTCATTTTCATCACAAGGCTCTTCAGTAGTAGTGGGTTGCTCAACTCCAGTTGTCGTTTCAACAGGTGTATTAGTTGTTCCTTCATCGTTTTTCTGGTCATCCGGTGTTGTTTCAATGGGCGAAACAGTTGTTCCTAGAACCGTACTAGTAGTTGTCAGCCCCGTTGTGTCGGTGTCATTTTCATTACATGGCTCTTCAGTGGTAGTCGGTTGATCAACTCCAGTTGTCGTGTCAACGGGCGAAAGCGTTGTTTCTGGGAAAGATGTAGTTGGCGTAATGGTTGTTTCTTCATCGTTTTTCTGTTCCTCCGTCGTTGTTTCAATAGGCAAAACAGTTGTTTCTACGACTGTTATCAGCCCCGTGGTGCCGGTGTCATTTTCATCGCATGGCTCTTCAGTGGTAGTCGGTTGCTCAACTCCAATTGTCGTTCCAACAGGCGAAAGGGTTGTTTCCGGGATTACCGTAGTAATTGACGGTTCAGTGTCATTTTCATTGCATGGCTCTTCAGTTGTAGTAGGCTGTTCAACTACCGATGTCGTTTCAACAGGCGAAAGGGTGGTTTCTGAAATAAAAGTAATTCTAATGCTGTAAAATTCAACTAACGAAGTTGTCTCACCCGTAGACGGATCAGCCGTCGGTGTGGTGTCGATAGGCGATTGACTTGTTAATGCAACAGGTGTGGTATTTGATGCATCAGTAGTGGTATTCTCAACGCGAGGTTCCCCAGATGTGGTGGTTTCAATTGGTGAAGGAGTTGAGTCAGTTTGAGACGTAGTAGTGGGGGCAGCGGTCGTTTCGATGGGTGAAGAAGTTACCGTAGTCGTTTCTACTGCAATGTCGCTCAATTTATTAATCATTCGATATTCTTATTCTCATGGGTCGAATTTGAATCAGATGTTTTGTGTACATATTTAATAATCGAAAGGGGCACACGTGAAGGAGAGTGGTTTTTTTTAATTGCTTGAGGTACTAGTGAATTCAAGATGTAAAAGAGAGAATGACAAGTAGAAATAAGAATTATAAACCAGGCTCGCTTCATGAGTGATTTCCTGTGCTATATTCTTTTTGTTGATATTTTTTAATCTGTTATACAAATATTTTTCTGTTGTTTCTAGGGGAATATTATCTTTAAGTGAAAGTAAATGCCGAGGTATTTTTAAGAAGGAGTCTTATTTTGATGTATTGAAGGTAAGATGTCTTAATTCTCAGAAAAGAGATTCAGGTTCAGACAAGTTCTGCTCTGAAAACTAATGATTTAATTACGGATGATGAGTGTCAATGGGTTTACAATAGACGGAATGTCCTGGATGTGAAATTGAATGCTACAATTCATGAAGTTTATGTGTTTTGATGAGCTTTGGTGTTTTAATTAATATTCGAAGAAAATGTTTATAATAATAGATTATAGATTTAATTATGAATAGTCCAAAACATTTGATGTATGTTCCAGTGAAAAGTGTTTCGATGTCATGATGGGTGTTAGATATTCTGCTAAGAAGCTGCAAAACCAATTAAATTTAGAGTGTCAGGAGTAAACACTTTTTCAAAGTTTTCGTGGTGATGGCTGTAATGGTTGTAGGATGTTTGTAAAGTTGGTTGGTTCTGCAAAACAGTGGCCATTTTGCCTACAGTAAATCTAATTAAACTGATAGATATCTAAATATATTTTCATCATCCGACTTATTCCTTACTTTGCAAAGAAGTATCATTGCCTCTGCCCGAATCCCAGAAATAAAACACTTTACCTCAATTCATCTTTAAGGCAATGTTCACTACAAAGACAATCTCCCTAAAACTTCGATTATTTAGAGATAAAATTTGCAGAAGCAGGGTATATTATACAGCTGTGCTATTGAAGATATTGCAAAAACAGCAACTCATTAAATTCCACAGACCGTGGCCTCGCCTTTTTCAATATTTAGGTTGAGAAAGTACTGGAGAGAGATCAGTGTCATCCATATTTTATTTTATATAAATTTGGTTTTTCCATATTTAGATCATTTCAAAAACTTCTTTCAGTTATTTTTCTTTTACGTCGGCATTATACGACTTAATTTTTGCTATCAATGAATCCCATTTAGAGCTAAAGTTTTTCATGGAGTGAGGTATAAGCAATGAATAAAGCAATGATTTCTGTAAGTATTTATTAGACGTTTTCCATACAATACATAAATATTGAAAAATACCAATAAGATGTTAGTCACTACTGTCTCGAAAACGTCGAAATGGCAGGAATTAGTTCACTTTTATGCTTCCTGATGTAGCTATTGAGGCTCCTATTCCCCCTACAAAGAAGAAAAATGTTGTAATTGGAATAAAAGATAACTTAATTGGCTTTTGTTAGAATACTACAGCACATTTTACTTACCTGACCGGAAATAGTCAAATATACGGGAAAGAGTGATCGACATTGAAGATATCGTTCAGTTAGTTCACTTATCACCGAGTTAAATGATTATCAAACGTCAAATATTTGACGTTTAGTGTTTGGCATCGGTAAAATGTGCTGTAGACAAAGCAAAGCGTTCAAAACCCTCTGCCCGAAGTGTTCGAATTTTAGTTCAAAAATAATAATAATTTGCAGCAAAATTTTGATTTTTAAAAGAAATTAAAAAAAAAACAGGGAGAGAAATTTGAATTATTCTTGATTCCAAACATTATTCTTCTGTTCTTATTAGATATAATTAATTTGGAAAGACTCAAACAAAAGTTCTACAAGTAGTTCGAGTACAGTTGGTTAAATGCTAAGTTCAAATTTTGGCTAATTGTTTATTAACAATTAATGTGTGAGAAGACAGCTTTTTTTGACATTGACTTTTGAATTTCATAACTTTCGTATGAAGCTATAGTGACTTTTTACGAATAGAAATTATCTTTGCTATCTTTGAATTGATAGTATATTTTTTTTATTCCTCAAAAAATATCAGCTACCACCTTCGGTTATCATATTATTTTCTGATAAGTTATTCCATTTGTGTATAACAAAAAAATGAACACTAACTTTTAAAAACAATGTATGCAATAAAAATTTTCTTTATTGATATTACTAGAATGAGCCTTTAAATTTAATTTTCGCCCAAGTAGGACTATCCAAATAAAAAAAGCGAAAGAGTTATTAACAAATTAATTTTGTGAAAAATATTGAATATTTTTACTTGAAATTTTCTGGGCTTTTTTTTTCGATCCATGATCCTTGTTGTGATGGAGTGTGAAGTTTGTTCAATTTGTTCGACTATTGCTTATTTCCACTTAAAAAAACAGCCATATTAGATCATTTTTCTGCAATAACTTTTTTGTTTACTAACCGCTTCGCTGAAGCCACAACTCATTTTCTTGGTATTTTCGAGGCGCACAACTTTTTTACGAAACTTTTTTTCGAAAATACCATAACCTCAGCTACAGTAAAAAAAACTTATTCATACACCTGAACTAGTTGCTTAACTTAAATAATTAAACATAATTCCTCAATAATAATTCTTTTGATTTGTAAACGCAAATGTTTCAGGAAAAAACAGGAAATTATTAACCAACTCAAAAAACTTCCAAAAATGGTGTAATTCAATGCCAAAACTGCTTTATTCTTCTATTTTCAGTAATACTAGCATGAACAAAGTCAATGCGACACTAGTGCTGTATTTTCTTCAAGACTGAAAGTTGGAGGCCGGTTAAATTATCGTCTGCTGGTATATGGTATGGACTAATTAACGGATTCTATTTAGTACCATCATATTTAAGTAGACAATTATTTTTTAAAAACAGAGAAATCGAAAAAAACATAATTTTGAAAATGGATGTTGATTCGCCAGTCGTTTGGCAACGCATTTCTTCACATTTCGAGCTATGAGCCTATTTCAAATTTGTATAATATTCTATTAAATTTAAGAAAAAAAAACTAAAACAGGAAAGGCAATGGGTTGTATCCATTAAATTATTGTTAATATGTACAATTAATATCTGTGTTCAATACATTTTTTTCGAACACTAATGTACAATTTAACATGAGTTTAAGAAAAAAATAAATAACATGACCAGATTTTATTAAATTTCGAGGTAAACTAGATAGAATTGGAAAAGGCTCATTTATCACTACTTTTATGTTTATTATTATTTGTTTAATTTTTTAAAATAAACATGCTCAAAAAAGCTGCTTGTGAATTAGTGGATTTAAATGTTCTGTTTTTAAATAATCAGAAACGCTTTACTTAATTGTTTTTCGGTTAAATACTACAGATTCATTAGCTCAACGTACCTCGCAGGTTGAGTAATAAAGACATTAGCAGTGCTTGATTTTGGCCGCGATGTTAGTGAACAAATTAATTTTGATCCATTTTCAATTACTTCACTACTTTTACCAAAAATAAACACCCTATCTGTATACCGAAAGCATTATGATATAAGAAACATGTGTATGAAAAGCTCAATTAGAGCCGCTGCGATATTTGATTTGATGTGTTCAAAATTAAAATGATGCAGATGATATTGCAAACTTTCAGCTTCGACCATTAACCACCGAGGTGGATACTGGCGTGCAATCTCACAATGACTGACTAATAAATAATGCTAATCAAGATGTGAATATTTAGCTTATTCCTTCAGCTTACTTAGGGCGATGTTAAACATATATTGTGGCACAAAATGAGACTGATATACACCTTTACCATTGAAACAAAAAGACATGAGTCGATAGGTAGTAATTGTTACCGGAAATTAGAGCCAGTATTACAAAATAATAAAATACAGAATTTTTTTCTTCCTGTATGATCCCCATGAACAGAGGAGAAAACCTACCATCTATTTGTTCACATCAATTTTGTCTCCAGTACAGTTTTTAGTAGTACATGAAATAAAATTAAGAATAATGAATATCACTTTGAGAAAGCTTGGGCAAATTATCAAATATTTCGTGGGGGCACTTTTTCATTTGACTAATGAAAATGTTTCCCTGCGTTTCCGACTTAAACTTTCAGAGAAAAATATTTGTTTAACCTATCGGTTGACGTTATTTCATTCCCATAACACACGGTTTAGTTCTCTCCATTTTGAAGTCATGTTTTACTGCATAATTTAGTTTTTCCTACGACATAATGTAATAATAATATAATATAATTCAATTAATTTTTATCCCTCTACTAACATTTGGATTCCATTAATTTTTTTTTAAGTTATAATTGTCACATCTATGAATACTTTGCAAGCAAAATAAGCGCAAGCACATTTTTAAGCCATTTATGCTTTACAAAGAGAGTTTCAAAAAATCATGGGTCAGCTCTGCTGGACATCGGCTGCCGTGGCACCTGTTACATTTTTTTTATTGAAAATTATTTGGAACTAAAATTATTGTTTATCAAACTAAATGTTGATGAAAACGCCTTTCTCTGCCAAAGTCATGAAACTGACATTTATTGCGCATTAATAACAGTGTGCGAATTGATCCTTTACCTGAAACTAAATGGGATTTTTTTATTCCAACCTTTTTAGTACTCAGGCAAACACAGACCGAATAAATGGTTAACAAGGATTAACTACCACTTTATTTCCATAGTTAAAAGTGATTATTTGATATCAGAAATCATTGTAAACCAGTTCCACACTACGTTTTATATGAAACTAAGAATAAAATATTACTTGTTATAAACAATTTTAATTTTACGGTTATAGTAAAAATTTTGTTAGCGACTCATGTAAGTACTTTGGTGTTGTCGGCTATTTTTTAATTCGACTGCCGCCCGTCAAAAAAATCATATTCACGATTACGACTACAGTAGTATTTGGCATACTGGATACAAAAGTATTTCAAAACGAGCCAAAACACGGGATTAAATAAGTTGTGTTTTTACTGGTTTGCTTAGAGTAAACAACAAATTCAAAAAAGTCAATGGCGTACATCTTTTTCGCAACTGAAGCATTTCTTCACATACAAATTTTTTCTTTTTTCATGACGAATTTCCAGCAGAACATTGGTTCACACACGATAAATGGTCATGTTAAAATTCCCTTTACCGAGCAACCAAAAAACGAGCAATAAACCAGAAAAAAAGCGCACTTACAAGCATTTATCACAAAATGGCTGACAGAATAAAATAGATTCATCTTGCAAGACAATCGTCACTAACGATCACTTGGGAGTCAGAGAGACAGAATCAGTTGTACTTGACATTTATTAATTTAACTAGTACTGCCATACTTAGAGACGGATTCATGTATTTTCTATATTATAATAGTTCATGGTGTTTCCTAATGATGTGCGAATATTTAAGTAAGTCAATCTGTTAAATAAACTATTGTAAGAAAAGTCTGTGCATGCAATAAAAATTAAAACAATACGAAAAAATTGGAAAATAAGGAAAAATATCATACCGTATAAAATATAATTTGAATAACTAACCAAAATTAACCAAAATTGGAACCAGAAAATGATCCTACATCCACATTAAAAATAAGTAGTGGTATTTATTATTACATTTTCTATGTGTTCTATAACTGATCCAATTTTCTTTGGAGACTGTCTGGAGAGCAGCCTTCCAGACATATACTACTGCAGTATCATCGTGCATTGCCTTACGATATTTTTATTAAAATGTATTTTGCGCTAAGCCCATACCATTTCAGCAATTATTTCGTCTATAGCATGTGGCAAGTTTGTTTTGAAATTTTTAGACAATGGTAATTAATAATAATTAATTGATAATTTCTTCTTTTCTTGCCTTATTGTCATTATCCGGTAATTGGAGCTATCTCTGTCGAGTGTACGACACCGAGACATAATAGAACACTGGCAGGTAAAAAATTCTCTCCTTCCAAATATGCTACCAGGCAGCGTAGTAATTTACAATTACACTTAGCTAAAAAACGACCAGCAGCAAAAAAGGGTTATTCCAAGAGTTCCTTACTCAAATATTGAACTGAGGAGGCTTTTACTTAATGAAAATCCATTTATCAAAATAAATAAGAACTAAAAGTTCAGATTTTCACGAATTTCTATATTTTTACATGACAATTGTTTCTACAACACCGTATCTTTATCTTTATTTATATTGTATTAGCATGATTATTAACAAAGATGAAATTTCGTGAAAATCTGAACTTTTAGTTCTTATTTATTTTGAGTTCCTTACTCTGCTTGACCATTATTTTGAAAACACTTATACAAAAAAAAAAGTTGCAGTTTTAAGAAACAAATCGTATGATAAAACTTAGGTCGTAAAAAAAATCGGCAATATATCTCGTAGATTAACCTAATATTAAAAAGAAAGTTAGATGCAATAATATAAACCCAAAAATGTAAATGGTGTAATTAAAAGTCAATGTGGAAGTGGAAAATAATTATAAAAAAAACTTACAACGTAAAATCGTTAATTATATCCTTAGATGATAGAAATAGCGCAGTTTCAAAATATGTTGACGACTAATTTTAATTAATATGTTTTTTCGATCAAACAATATGCAATAGAACAGAATCTATTAATATATTTTGTGTTTTAATTTGTTTATCATTACCCTGTACAAGTTTAATTTATTGGTCCAAAAATGTCTACGAGCAGATAAAAACGTTTTTGTTTTATCGTGTGTCGGACTATACTACTTACAATACCGTCCTTTAATGTCTAAAAATTCTAATAGACTCCACCTCAGTGATTAAGGGTTAATTTGCAAGCCAAGCTACTAAAAGTGCGATATGGCTTTGATGTTAGGTGTGATTTAAACTTTGAAGTCACAAGAAAAATCCGGAATAAAAAAAACAGAATTCAAGGAGATTTTACTAACAGCGGGGTTGAGAATAATTTAATTAATTCGTAATATGCAGAGTGTTTTATAATAAGATGCTGATCCCTTGGATGAATTTAATTTAAAAAAAACTTAAATCAATGTAGATCTGCATTCGCTTTATTTTCGATGTTCAGGACGTTGAAAATATTTTAAAAAAATACTGGTTTTCCGTATTTTTTACTTATAGAAAATATTTTTAACGAAATTTACTTTTCTACTTTAGCTAGCGGCGTCGAAGTAAGCGTGACATCGAGTATTTGTTGTTGAAAAGAAGGGCACACCACCGTTCCTTGAAAAAATAAGTTACGTCTTAAAGCTCCATTCATTTTGGAGTAAAAATCACCTGTTGACTTTTTGTTGTCCGACGAATGTCTTTATATGTATACCAATCCTATTAATTTGAAAACAACCATCTCTTTTCAACAAGGCTTACAGTCTTATGAAAGCATCGAAATGGACCTACAAGGCGATCCAAAATAATCGGTAAAATATATAAAATTATAATTAAGAATAAATTGAAAATTATGGGAACTCCTCGTCTCATGATGCAAAGTTAGGTGATTTGGTAACAAATGAACAACGAATTAAAAAATGTAATTTAGATTAGGATAAAATTAACAAGCGCCATAAAAAAGTGTTTCTGTGCTATGTGGGCCCCTACCAAATGTCAAAAAAATATCCAAAGCAGTTTCAAAGAAAATTATAATAAACCTCAATAGCCTGTTCATCAGAACTACAACAATTGAGTACCTACATTCTTATAAACTTGTTTTCTTGGCCATCCAAGCAATTATACCAGTAAGGATCAGCATTATCATCAATATCAAAGTCAATTTGCTTTAAACTGAACCAATTTTAAATACCTGAAGCGCCGTCCGATGAACTTTGATCTGAGGATGAACCCGTAGTGGTTTCAGGTTCAGGCTCCGATGTTGGTTCTGGCTCAGGCTCAGGATTAGTTGTCGGTTCAGGTTCAGAGGTCGGTTCTGGTTCAGGTTCAGAAGTCGGTTCTGGTTCAGGTTTGGAAGTTGGTTCTGGTTCAGGTTCAGAAGTCGGTTCGGGTTCAGGTTCCGGTTTAGAAGTTGGCTCTGGTTCAGGTTTTGCCGTTGAATCTCCTGACACATAAATATAATAATTAATGCAATATCAAAGAAACAATCATTACTTTCAATAATAAAAACAGACTGCATCTAATTATATTGTTTATAAATGTGGCATTGAATTAATATCGAAATTATTATATCTTTTGAAAAAAAAGATATTTGGTCAGGTCTATTAATATAAAACTTACCGCCAGATTTGTTTAAACCTGAAAAAATAATAAAGTTTCGTCACTTTTGGTCACAAAACGTATTTTGCCATTTTCAACAGAAAAATAAAACTTTTAAATTTCGGTTGGTTTCGGGTTAATTTACTGACTTCGGAGTACATAACAATTTTAAAATTCGTTTTTGTTCATTCGCAACACATTAAAGATAATCTTTTTAAAATGACTGTACTAATTTTTGTTGTTAAAAATAATGGTTTAAAAATATTTTTTCGATTTTAATGACCATAAAAGCAGTCGCTGCAATTTTTTCCTATTTAAAGAAAGAGAGAATACGACCCAAGTGTTGGTTAAAATTTATGTATTCCCGTATGCGATTTGAAAATAATCAAAATTATTTCTCCGATTTAAGTAACCACAAAAAGAGTTGCTGTGTTCAGAGAATGCTACCAAATGTTACTTGACCTTTCCCGTATTTCTATTTAAATATTAGAAACGCATATGGATACCTGTATAAAACATTTTTTCGAATTAAGTCACCATAAAAAGAGTTGCTGAATTTTTTATAATCTTTATCTACAACCATTTAATAATAGACGCATAATACTTCTGACAGTGAGAGTATTATGCTACGCATAATACAACAAGTGTAATTATATCATAAAAAAACAAGTGTAATTATATCATAAAACAACAAGTGTAATGAAATATTCTGGAATTCTTAATAATCCGGGCTTCAATTAATCGGCGCAGAATTCACACATTTCATTTATTATTTTTATGAAAATTTACTATAAAGTTACCCATATTAAAGTCATACACACGTTACCAATTCAATTCTATTATTCAAAAACAGTTCAAAAAATACAAACCAATATGACAATAATTAAAAAGAATTAGTAGGCCGTGCAGGCTAAATCTGACAGCGCGCAGCGGGTATCCATAGCGACAGCTTACCCGACGCGACGCTCATCGTGAATACAAACATTTTCTTTCATGAAATAATAATTGTAAAGTAAATAATATTCATATAGAGAAGCTTTAAAATTTCGCCTTGCAATTAAAACATAAGATTTAATAAAAATGGATTCTGAAAACGAAGTACTAACACCCCCGGAAATTCGAGCGGCAGCGGAAGCTGCGTCTCTGGATTTACTTCCCAAGAAATCAAGAAACAATTATGAAATTGCCTACAACAATTTCATGGATTGGCGATCAAGAAACAAGGCCACCTCCTTCTCTGAAGATACATTATTAGTGTATTTCAAAGAATTGGCTAAAAAGTATAAGTCGTCCTCCTTGTGGACGTTTTATTCCATGCTAAAAAGCACACTTTATATTAAACACAATGTCAAGATCGACCACTACGCGAAGCTACATGCTTTATTAAAAAGACAATCAGAAGGCTATCAACCCAAAAAATCTAAGGCATTTACCGGACAGGAAATAAATAAATTTATTTATGAAGCTCCTGATACAAAATATTTGGCTACAAAGGTAAGGAATGATAAGACGTTACATACCTACGGTATTTACCAAGAGGTGTTAATTTTTTAGGTTGCATTAATTATGGGAGTGATGGGTGCATGCCGCTCAAATGAACTACATGCAATGAAAATACAACACGTTACATTTTATGAAGGTTGCACTAGAGTAATAGTTCCCGTTACGAAGACCAAGATCCCTAGGAATTTTACTATTACTGAGAAGTTCCATGATATTGTTAAAAAATATGCAAATCTGAGACTGCCAAATGCATCAGATTCTTTTTTTATGAATTTTCAAAATGGAAAATGCACAAAACAAGTTATCGGCATTAACAAGTTTGCCAAAATGGGCAGAGAAATTGCAAGTTTCTTACAAATCAAAAACCCAGAAAGATATACCGGGCACTGTCTACGACGATCTTCAGCCACATTGTATGTCGACGCAGGGGCAAGTATGACAGCTCTGAAGCGCCACGGAGGCTGGAAGTCGGCTTCTGTAGCTGAAGGCTATATTGCAGACTCGCAGAAGAACAAGACCGATGCAGCTACTAAAATATTAAGTCAAATCAACCCTAATTGTAATATTAATAACAGTACTTTTGTTTCTACCCCCTCACAATATCCAGGTATGTCTACTATTACGAGCGAATCTTCTCATAACACTTTTTCGATTAGTAAAGACACCACGGACATTAGTATTGGTACTACACCAACTACGATGAATTTCAATAACTGCCCTAATATAACAATCAATTTTATGAAATAGACAGAGTAATACATAATGATCCTATTAAGCGTCAATTTAAAAATAATTGTGTGCTGAAGTGTAAATGTTAATTAAATATTATTAAACTTATTAAATGTTCAATCCAGGACTTTCATTGAATTTATTCCTTATTACATCACAACTCATAACACATAAACATATAACATAAACAGCATACATAAACAGTAACCAGTGTTGATATTGAGTGAATGGTAGAATCTAAAAATGTATGATATTATGTTCCATTTCATATAAAGCAAGTTAACATCCACTTCCGGCCTAACCGGAAGTGCCACCATCTTGAGAATATTCTAGCTGAATTGCTCTGCCATCAGCATTAGCTTCCTACCGAATTTTCAGGTTTCTCCCATGTATAGTTTTTTTTCACAATAAAATGACACATTTCAATTCCGGTGAGGTACCCTATATAAGTGGATGGTTGTAGATAAAGTATAGTATTTGACTCGAGTATTATGGACCATAATAAACTCAGATGATTATAACACTCGCCGCAAGCGGCTCGTTTTATAAATCATCCTCGTTTATTATGGCCTTCATAATACGCTCGTTAAATAATATACTATTATCTTACCTGAAATGTTTTGTTTATAAAATTTATATGTACGCAATTTAGAAAACTATCAAAATTGTTTTTCCAATTTAAGTGTCCATAAAAAGAGTTGCTTGTAATTTTTTTGATTTAAAAGATTGAAAGACATCAGGGAATAAAATTTTTCCGATTAAAGTGACTATAAAAAATGTTGATATGAGCTTTTTCTATTTAAATAGATTCTTTCAATATGAGAGAATGTGTCCCAAGTGTTATTTTATATTGCCCTGACCGACTTTTTTGTTATTAACATTTCAAACCCATATAGATACCAGTATCCAATTTAACAATTCGATTTAAATAGATTCTTGTAACACCAGAGAATACGACCCAAGTGCTGGTTTATCTCGGACTGTTTTTTTTTATAAAGGTTACAAACGCATATAGATAGCCGGATGGGATTTGAAAGTCATAAAACATATTTTTTCCAATTTAAGTGGCCATTAAAAGAGTTGGTTAGTTTGGCTTGACTGGACTAATTTTTTTAATAAAGGCTATGGATACCCGTAGATGGCTAGAAAATTATAAAAATTATTTTTCTGATTTAAGTGACCAAAAAACGAGTTTACTGGGGCGACGTATCAAAAAAATTAATCACTTAAAAGGGAAACTTCAAAATACAAATAATCTTAGAGGGTCAAAAAGGAACATTATATAAGTCAGGAAAGAATTAACCAAAATCTCTTTCCGTGCAGTTTCTCTTATTATTTCTGACGTTTGGCCTTCATCTAGAAATCAACCGAAACAAGTCGAAACTCAAAATCGTATGTCAAATCCAAAATTGAAAATGTATTTACCATCCAACTTCGCTTGAAACTTCGCCGCTAAATCCTTCAGTCCGAGCACCTTCAATAATTTGATTTTGAAATCCAGTACAGAAATTTTCAACCTGCGCTGCAGACTACCCGCAGGACTTGCACCAGGGTCATCATTTCCAGGACATTCGCTGATCTTCCCGTCAATCAGCGCGTTCAGCGCGTTGGCGACGATCAGGAATGAGCTCGATATCCTGTCAACGATTGGTTGGAAGAAATCTTTGTGTTTGTTATACAAGTTCAACTTGTATTCCTTCAATTCGTCTATTTGCTTTTGGAATTTGGCGTGAATAAAGCCGTTCAACTTCGCTATGGCCGCTTTTATATTTTTAATCAGCGGCAAGTTCAATATGCGCTCTTTGATGCTCTTGATTTTAAGGGCAGCGATGATGCCATTTATAGTGTCGGTTATCTTACCGCTCACGCTAATCTGAGCGCTGAAAGTGAAGTTGAATATTTTTATAACGGTCGTCTTTATCAAGTTTATGACATCTTCGGTTGTTTTCCCTTGTAGTACGCCGACATCCAATAGGGCCTCGCCGATTTTGCCTATAATTTTCTTTTGCACGACGATAATCGAAGATACCGTTTTCACATTGAGATTGGCCGATTTTTGGATTATCACTTTTATCTGCGCGGTAACTTTCTTGATTATGATCACGGGCTGCTTAATGCCAAATTTGACGAAAACTTGTAAAAATGACTTTATCGCTTTCGAGGGAGCTTTTAGTATAGCACTGAACAATCCCGAAATACCTCCTCCGCCTTTAACTGATATGTGAACTGCAACAGAACATGTCGATTATTGTCTTTGTCGTTCGAGACAAATCGGAAACACCAATTCCAATTGTTACGAAAAACCTGACAATAATTAAAAACATTATTTTCAAATTACTTCTATGAAAACGCCGAGACTGCAAGCTTATGCCGAAAACAATTTCGGCGTTGTTGCGATGGCTATCAAAGATGACGACTCTATTTAAGCTGTTTGATGCGTTTAAGCGTTATGTTAAACTTGCACCTAGTTTCAGCGTAAAAAAAAAACTAGGTAAAAGTTTTAGGCAAGATTAATCTTAGCATGGGAAATAAGCAGCCATTTATGTTTTCGTGGCATATTACATCAAAGGATTAGGTTTAGATTTAAAGATGATCTTGAATAAGGGGTGCTCGAAATATCACGGGCGCCTTGCTTAAGCATTACTCCTGTTATTGCTCAATTTGATAATTCTTTTTTGTTGGATAGATTTCACTGAAAGACGGTAATAATTTTCTTAAAATGAAATATGATTAGAGAGGATTAGATATGAACTAAACAGACTTTACAACGCTGTATTTTTTAATTAAAAAGGATTTTAAATTCTCATCTAATACAGATAAAAACAAAAATACTGAGATTTATTAATACTGCTATTTTAAGATAAAATAAAATAAATAAAAAAATAAATGTCCCTTAAAACATCTTTTATCATTATTTTAGAAATTTGTAAAATTAAGATTTGTGAGATCTTAAAATTACATACAAAATAATCGCTATTTACAGGTTTACAATATTTATTTTTTTAAAACATTAAAAACATTGGTCATTGGTCTAGTTACTTTCAATTTGAAAAAGTCTCGAAAAGAACTTCTCGATTTTCCGCTTCAAAAAATTGTGTGCATTAGCCATGACTCGATTTTATATAAAACACCCGTTTTTTGAAAAATCTATCGCACAAAAAAATAGCCATAACCAAACATTCGTAGAAATTATTATAGTTAGACTTTATGTAGTTCTGATAAAGAATTCGTTGACACTTTATTCTGGAAGAAATCTCTAATCGCCCTTCTTTTGAAATCAAAAATTAGTCCCAGCTGGGCATGACCTTAGAATGATATAAAAAGAAATATAAGGAGAGATATATCCACAAAAAAAAGAATTTACAACAATGTACAGACTCAAGCGGGGAGTAACGATATTTCAAACGTCCTGTATTGAAACTTTAAAAAAGTTGGTATAGTTGGGTTCTAAGTACTCCTCAATAAGAATTCGTTGTCATTTTTTTTTAATCCTTAATAGTACTTCTCTCTTCTCTCTCTTTTGGCAAATAGTCCCTATTGGCCATGACTTTGGTTATAGCAATAAGCAAAACAAGGTTTTAGTGCATTTTTCAGAGATCAATCCAACAAAAAATAAATGATCAAAATCGATAAATAAACAAAGATTTCACAAGGGTGTAAAGTACACTTCAACAACCATTTTCAATAAATTAGTGCATAGTCAAGCATATGTTTGGCTAGGATTAGGTTGGAAACACTTTTCAGTCTTCAATGAACGGTTAATATAACTTTATAATGAGTGTATTAATAGTTGAATATACACCAAGTAAATAGGGATATAAGTGACGTTTTCTTTGATGCTGTTCTTAAAAAATGAGAAACTCTCGCAGAACTCCTTAGTACAAGTCAATCTGATTTAACGCTTTTAAAAGGAAATCAAAAACTTAGTTTTCATGCAATATCAAACAATTGGAAATAAATTGGAGTGAGACTTTGACTCTTAACCATCTGGATACCTTGACAGACCAGGCAGAATCGATAAGCGGCACTAGCAATATTCGATCAACCATTTACAATTAACTAAACGTGTATTCGAACATATTCTTGGATCGTCTCCGGTTTTGGTGTATTAAATAAACGTATTGAAGCTTCCTTTGTACCGTAATTTTAATTGATTCTTTTACCGGTTTCTCAATACACTAAGCTTTTGTAAATTTTAAATAAATATTTATAAAACACATCAGATGTTTGGTGCATTTTATACCTAAAATATCCCAATTTTGCTTGAAACTGGATTTATTTTTATAATACGGAAAACTTCTAATACACCATATTTTTATAAATTAAATCAACGTTTACCCAAACAATACAAGTTCAAAGAAAAACTTTGTTTTTGTGCAATATTAAACAATTTTGGCGACTTTGCCAAGTAACCATCGGTATACATTGATAGACCAGCTTTATTATGTATTGTATAAATAGTTGAATATACAATAATTATACAGGATATGTGAAGTTTTATTGGTTGTTGTTCTGGGGAAATGAAATACTCTCTTATAACTCTTTAGGAAAATGCTGTACACGTCAATAGATTCAAAAGGCAAATAAAAATTCGTTTTCGTGCAATAATAAATAATTTTGGCGATATAAATAACTCTTATCAGAAATGGATTGAAGTGAGACTTTGACAGGTTACCATCTGGATACGATACATTGAGAGATCAATTTTATAACATAATAGAGAGAACCATTAAAGAGCCCAAGCATCACTCGATCAACCATTTTCATAAATATTTGAGCATATTATTGGTTAGTCTCCGGTTTTAGTATATTAAATAAACGTATATGAACAATGGATATACTTTAATAGTATATTACGCATCAAGTGCGGTAAACGGCATTAGATTCACGAGTTTATTTGGCACGAGCGGAGCGAGTGCTTAATAAACGAGTGAGATAAAAAGTTTACCGAACGTGTTGCATACTATACTTTTTCTACGACCGTTAGTTTTTGGACACATTTTCGCAAAACAACAAGAATGCATTCACTGGCATGACCGTCAGAATCGACAAATGTCAAAATTCAAAGCGTGGGAAATATTACCGAAAACATCCGATCGCTCCAAACTCGTGCGGTAAAATCCCGAAAATGTCCGAAGTAGGTCGGATCAGCGGGAAACGAAACTGAGGTGGAAAAGTGACGCTTCCCGCACGCCAGATCGATGTATAATTAGGTATTTTACAGACGGGAGTAGAAAAATATATATTACACGTCCATGCTTCCAAGATTGAACCTTATCATGTGTTTTGTACCATTACCATTGAACCTTTCTTTTATCGCAAACTTTAAATAAATGTCCGTTGTGGCTTGAAATCTCATTTTGTCATAATTTTATTTTTATAGAATTTCAAAAAGTGCTAACAGAGCAAAGTACCATCAATAGACCCGAGGCCTGAACGAACAGAAAACATCAATAGGCCGAAGGTAGTAAAAATTATACATCTTAATATACAAAGTATTTTAAATACATCGAACTATCTAGAAACTTTTCTAGAAATACACGAACCACTACTTTTTTGTGTTATATAGCACTGGTTTAAAAATGAAACAATAAAAGATCGAATAATAACGAAATACTCCCTGGTCTCTAGTTTCTGTGAACTATTAACAGGCGCTGCATACTCTTTGTGTGCTGACTGCTTATGGGTCTCCTAATGGAAATATTGATTCATTTTTAGCTTACCTTTGTAGGATTCTGGATGGATTGACTACTAGATATTCTAACATGGTGGTTTGTTTGTTGGACCTTTCGGTTTGTTTCCAACGGTAAATAACAAATATAGATGTTAAAATAATTATTCTTGGTACACAGCGAAACTAAAAAATGAATGAAAAACGTTAAAATATAGGCGTAAACAATATCCCAACGACTTAGAATTAAATTTGATACACAAGAATCCTGAAATTGAACATGACAAAAACATTACTGACACAAGAAAGAATTTTTACAATTACTAAATAATGGAACAACAAATTAAATACATTGTGGGAAGTAATAAACGAGAGGTTGAATAGAAACAGGATTAAAAATGACGCCATAAAGCTTAGAGACCGTGGTCCAGTCGTCAAAGATAATAATGAAATAGCTAAGCTTTTGGTATATTTTGGTTCTCGATCGTTGCTAATCAGTTGAATAAGTATTTTGATGGAGGTCCTGATTAAAAAATGAAAAAGTGAATTTGAGGCCATAATGTAGAGAGAGAGAGAGAGAGAATTTCCCTCTTTTCTTAAAAATCTTTAGCTATACCTATTCATAAGAAAGATCCAATGTCACTCGAAAACTATAAGCCCATTTCTCTCTTGGGTACTACATCCAAAATTATACCAAAAGCTATAGCTTCGCGTTTAAATCAGTTTTTAACTAAAAATGAAATCCTAATAAATGAACACCATCCGTTTTCGGCAAGGGCATTCCACTGAGATGGCGACAGTTGACTTTGTGCAACATATTAATGTTTTACTGGAGAGGAGGAGCACGTATTTTTTTTACTTGAAGTGTCCGTTCGACTCTTTAGATTTTGCGAGGACGTCTAAGTATGACGTCGACACTAGGGTGAACTAGAACAATACTTTGGGTCCACTCTTAAGTTTATAAACGACTTGCCGTTGCATGCACTGGGAAGGTGATCTTGTTTTCTGATGATTAAACCAAAGAGTTTGATATTGAATAAGGTTGATGTTGAATAAATGTAAGACCATCTGTGTCTATTTTCACAGGCCTTCTAGGCCGGAAATTTATATTTTTACCATGAAGCTAGGTCGGCAACAGGTTTTGTTACCCCAAAAGACTGAAGTTTTGGGGGGTCTTAATAAATAGTAACTTAAACTGGGTGGATCACGTTGAAATAGTTTGTATAAAACTAAGCAGCGGTTATTTGCTTTTTTAACCTCAAACATGCTGTTGATGAACAAGGTTTAGAATTCTCTAGGCCGATGTTTAAAGAACACAAACTTCTAACATTTATTAGCATTTACTTATTGAAGATTCTGTGTTATGTATATGAGCGTAGATATTTATATCACAGAGGAGGGGGCAAACACAAATACCTGACTAGAAATAGAGACCAAACAAAATACAATACAATTATTGCAGTTGTTAAAAGTCATCTGAATACGCAGCATGTCTTCCTTTAAATATCCAGAGCTACGACTAATAATCTTTTCGAAGACGTATTATGTGCACGCATTTCACATACAATTAATTGTTTTGTGTACCTTTTAAATTATGTACCTGTGTTTATTTCATATCTATGAGTTAATATTTTGTAAAATTGTACTGTATTTTATAATTTTTTTTTATCTTTTTTTTTTTTGCTTCTTCACTTGTTCAACACTTGCTTTTGTCATTTAAAGGGTTCAATAAAACATCATTATCATTATCAATACCTATATTTTATTGCTATCTGATATTAACTTCATAATACACATAATTGAGTATGTACTATGCTATAAGTTTTTAAGAGACATCCTAAATTCCATAGGACAGTCGCCGATTAGGATTGGGTTAGAAATACTTTTAGTAATGTTTAGTGGACCGGTTAATATCACTTTATAATCTAGCGTATAATAGTAAAGTATATAGAGCTAATAGCTAAGTGTTTCTAATATTGTTCTGGGGAAATGGAAAACTCTCCCAGAACTCTTTATGAAAAAGATGTACAAGTGAATCTGGCTTTACGGTTTTAAAATGGCAACAAAACCATTCTTATGATACAACAATATCTGTCATTCTATAAACGTCTAAGTTAAAAACTATTTTTTTACTCACTTTTATAAAATACTCAATTATACACCGATCTAGTGTGTCATATCTGTCATTTTATCGATTTTGACGTTCCAACGGTAATCTCAGTGAATTTGTTGCTGTTGTTTGTCTTAGGTGTACCCAAAAACTAATGGTCGTAGAAAAAGTATAGTGTGCAACACGTTTGGTAAACTTTTTAAGTCACCTGTTTATGAAGCACTCGCTCCGCTCATGTCAAATAAACTCTTTACTTTTACCACACTCGTTGCTAAATATTAACTCTTTTATTCAAAATATTCCGCATTATCAGCATATAAAATGTGATGTGGTGATTTAGTTTCAGCCAGGTTTTTCGTAATTTCCACCAGTGTGCAGCGCAATAAAGCTTGCAAATAAGTGTCTTCCAATTAATTACTATCCACATCAAACAGACAATAGTTGAAATTGTCAAGTGCTACATCTATTTATGACGGTTACGTTAATTGATATTATTTACTCGCCTACACATTTATTCACGGAACAAAGTAAGTTAATTTTCACTGTTTTTTAAGTTTCTATAATCACACAACTTCAAAATGAAATTAAAAGCCTTATAGGGGGACACTTACTGCTAGCGCCTCCTGACGAATGGGAACCGCCTCCAGCGCTACCGCCGCCGCTGCCCCCGCCACTTCCGCCAGCGCTTCCTCCCCCTGACGCTCCACCTCCACCTGATGCACTGCCACCTCCCGATGAGCTTCCGCTTGACGATCCTCCTCCCGATATGCTGATACCGCCTGATATTCCTCCAGATGCACCACCACCTCCAGAAGCGGAACCTCCGCCCTGCAGGTTCCGTGGATCACAGTCTTTAGGCTGCACACATCCCTTTTTAATGGGATCCCAGATGTCCTTTTTGCAATAACAGCCTGGTTTCCGTATGCAAATGCTCGGTTTCTTTTCCGCACATGTTGCCTGACAAGGGGCTAATATGCTAAACTCTCTTGGGGCACAAGAAAAAAAACCCGAGGAGACTGGAAAATAAAACACCAATATTAGTACAGATATAACAAAAAAGCTTATTATACTTAATTACGTTGCACACTCTACTAGCGGATAAAATCATAGCCAAATGGCAGCCTGTCGAACAATTTTCATTTTTTGACATTTCTTATAATAGAAATGTAAAAAAAAATCACGACGAATTCTCATCAGAGACAAAAATTTAAATTTTATTATTTCTTAATTAAGAACGAGTTTTTTTTTATATTCGGAGATAGATTTGGAAACTTGCAAAAAAATATATATTAGCCAAAATTTCTCCATACGCTTGAAGCTAGGGATACCCAAGTTTTATTCGAATTCTGTTTTTAAGGCCTAAACGTATAAAAACATCGTCACAACATGTTGCAGTGTCTTAAAAAGTGAATGGTTTGTGTGGTATTTTAGAAATCTTTATTTCACAAAGCCTCAAACCTAAGAAGACCCTTGCGATCGTATTTGACAAAGTTTAGAGTTAGGAAATTTAATAATTTTGCTTAATAGCAACACAATTTATAATAGAATACTACATTTAATTAAAAAAGCATAAGTTAACAAAAGGATTCCCTCTTCATTTCAATCTTATTACCTAAGGAACTTTTAGAAATGAATTAAAGAAAAAACAAGAAATTTACAGAACCATGAGACTGACATTAAAATTAATTTTGCTACATCCATTATAAATAAAACGCTATAATTTTAAAAATTAAACTAAGCATTTTGTGACGATGATATGAACTACCACACTTTGTGTATTTTTGTCAAATCAGTTAGGAAAGGAATTTAATGTATCTATAACTTGTTTTATTGAAAATTATACTAACCGACATTAAAAATTTATGGTATCTACATTAAAATTTAGTTGCAATCCCCTGTTTACTATAAAAAGCGACTGAAGTAAACTCAAAAAACTCATACCAGTTCTAGTCATTATCACCCTTCTACGCCAGATAGATAGATTTGGTTTCTATATTATGGTGCATGAATATTTAAATACGGTATTTCCTGGACAGTGCATTGGTATCAGGCGCTAGAATGGCCGGTGTAAGGAGAAACCACAAAATTTATGTGATTTAAAATTAAGAGCTAGATGGGATATAAGGCAAATTATTGAAAATATAATGAGAATGTTTTGAAAGGGTATAAAATAAATAAATAAAAATAATAAATAAATGAATAAAAAAATAAAAGAGTGTCTTCGACAGGCCCTGCTTCTATAGAATTTGTCTCAATTTTTCTTACTGCAATGAGTCTAGATATTTTGCTTTAAGCAAATTACAAACTTCTTCTTCAATTTTGTTTTTCTCTTCATATACAATATGACAGCCAAATGCTAGTGAACAGAATAAAAATAGCTTACAGAACAATATAAAGAAAACTATGTAAAAAGAAACACAACAAATTAACAACAAACAAAAAATTCCAATTTTTCAATGAAACTTCCACAGGCTACTGTAATACTTTTTACAAAACTTCTGGATTCCTCCTGCATCGGTTTTTGCCGAGTCGAACTTGCTAACGTTACGCCAATCATCAGCTTGAATGAAACAAGGTCTGAAGAAGATTAAATTATAATTTTTTCATTAAGATAGCCCTCTTAGCTGAAGTCGCTTGGAGTAGAAATTTGAAATATTAAAGCGACGTTGGAAATAACTAACGCACGCTCATATTGAACATCCGCAAGAACACATCAACCCATTAATAAAATTTAATTATTTCTTACTAATCGGGGTTCTGATGTTATGAAATTACATCTCAATTTTAGAATATTGGTATAGCTCACAAAAGGCAGGCAATTCAATCAGAAATATTGTATCACAAACTTACTTCCAAAAATCTGATATCAACAAATAATTTTAAAATACTTTGCTTGCAAATAAATCATGGTAATAATTTTACGTCTAATGTTAAATTTATTATTACACAATCAAATAATACCAAGTCTACGATATGTTGCCCACTACTATTAGTGGAAGATGCTACTTGTGTCGAAAAACAACCCAGAAACGTTTTCAGTTCTGTATCTTCCTTCCTTATTTTAATTCTGATGCATTGCGAAACAAATGTACCTCATTCGAAAATTTAAGTGGTATGTAGGTTAAAACTCCCAAGTCAAAAAAGAGACCCTAAAATAACAAAAATTTATTTCGGCTTTTGGGTTATTATTAGGTTCGTACAAGCTTATTATCGATAGTTGGAAGTTTTTTTTCGAAATAAACTGATAACCGGTATCACCTAACAATTATATTTATATGTAAGTTGTTAAGACGCACTCATTACCAATTTAAACAGCTCGGTTCGATTTGTAGTCGATAATCGTAATTACACTTATTAATTTTTCAACGTACGCAAATGAGTGAAAGCGTCACGGGCGTTTACCAGCTCTCTTGCTATCTTTAGCTTCAAGTAATTCATTTGATTACTATTTACATTATTTGCGACGTATTATGATAACCGTTCAAGTAATATTATCAAAAAAAAAAGTGCTGCCCAGACCATCGCCGCTTAAACTTTTCAGCTTGCCTATCAATTCCCGGTCACTTCGTTTTGTCATGCAATACGAATTGAGCTACCGAACTTTTAATGGTTCTGTTAATAGAACTACAACTAAAAGCAGGTATTCAAAAAGTATGAAAATAAGTTAACAAAAAAATGAAACACTTATTAGGATTGACCCCGTCGCATCTTAAGTAAGGGTCTCCTCAACTCAACCAAATTCGGAGTTTCTACTTTTCTAGAATTGGAACTGTCTGGAACTGCAAAAAGTTTTCTGAACTTTGTCCGTTTGCTGGCTATATATATTTAGGTAAAAGTCAAAATCTTTTTCAACTGACCCAAATGACCTTTGGAGTGCGATTTAAGTTGTAGCGAGTTGAAAACCTTAGAGAGTGATTTGGCAAACGAAATTATACTGAAATTTCACGCAAGCTCGTTATTTCTACATTTTAAAATGAGAGAATCAACTACTTAGAGTTCGGTGTTCAACAGTAGAAGCAGTTCTTAGAATATTTTATTAACTGCGTCAAAACCTGCAGTTTTGATATCCAAAACCAGTTTTACAGCTCAGTTTCAAGAAAAAGATGAGCATTAAATATCTATTACATTTATTACATTACATTTTATTCACGATTAGAACAATTTTGAAAAAATTAAATAAATTTGGTGCTCGGTTTCATTTAAGATGATAAAACGAAGACAAAAATTTTAAGTAAAAGAGAGTATGAAAAACTGGATGAAAAAAATAAAATAAGGTATCTGCAAAACAAAAACTCTTGCGATTCCTCTGAAGCGATTTTTAAGCATGCTAACATTTTCATAATCAAAAAATAAGGTGGCTATAACAGTTTTAAAGAATTACCTGACGAGACTTGAACGTATAATACCAAAAGCAGACTTAAAAATTGTAGATATGACGCCGCCATTTTGAGGTGGTAGTCGCGCAACTTAAAAAACAGTTTTTGCTCTGAAGCAGTTTTAAACGGCCTCAATGTTTTAAATGTCCCTAATTAGTCGGGTTCTTATCGTGACATTATATTTTAAATGCATTCGATAACACCGCTGTATCTACAATTAGAGAAGACTTCTCTAATTGCCTAAGTCACCTAAAATTACCTTTAAGTTAACGGCGGGTTTTAAATAAACATCGTTATGTTTTGACCGAAAAATATATAATTTGGCGCTAAGCGCAAAGTAAAAATTCAATAAGCAAAACATATTTCGGGGTTGTTTTATTTGAATCGATTACCAAAATTTGTTTCAGTGTTTTAAGTCAATCTTTCCTACATTGTAATAACATAGAGGATTTCATATTTGCGGTAAGCATTGCCTTGGTTCTGAGTTCAAATGACTTGGAAATGCAATCTTCCAGGTATAGTGCAAATATATTATTAAAATAAATAAGGACTAAAAGTTCAGATTTTCACGAAATTATATATTATGACATAACAATTGTTTCGACAACACCGCGTTTTTATCAAATTTGATAAAGACACGGTGTTGTCGAAACAATTGTCATGTCATAATATATAATTTCGTGAAAATCTGAACTTTTAGTTCTTATTTATTTTCGGCTAATTTTTGGCTAAATCGTAAATCAGAAATGCAATGCAATGCTATTAAGAAAATTATCAAAATGCTCGAAAACAAAAAAGTATGTAATGCCCCAGTCAAGCAGTGAAATGTACATTAAAAATGCAAAAATAAATTATGCAACAAGTTTGCTTAATATACAGTCAGCAAATAAACGCATTAAAATCTGCGAAAGAATATGTAAATGCGGGGGAAAGGAATAGCAAAATGTTGTGGTTGTTTGAAACAAAATTATTGAACAATTTCGTAAACATCATTCAATGAAAAGAAAAAGTCTCAACATAACACAAGAGTTTTGAACAATGTTGTTAAAGACACTCTGCTTTTTGCGACAGAAGTTATTCATAGAGATTAACTATTTAAACGAAAAGTAGGTGAAAACGATAACCTCTAAAAAGAGATCTAGTAATACTGATATATTCTCAATACGCCTGTAGTCAATAAACAAAATACATATATTTTTTTACTCCTTCGTGTAAAATACCTTACACCACACTTGTTGCATAATTTACTATTTTCTTCCTTTTTACTGCTAAATTTCATTATTTTCTATATCAAAAGTTCCTTAAGATATATAATATATATTAATTAAATAATTTCATTAAAAATTAAATCGAACGTACTACGTGTGAACAAGAAAAGGACTAGAGCATATGATATGGGCTTTGAGGTGAGAAGTGTAAGTGTAATCCATTGTGTTTACTGATCTTGACAAAAATCTAAAGGCGGGTACAGACAAAGTAGACGAAAGCAAAAGAACATTAGTTCACGAATTCCTTTTCCAAATGAGTAGTACGTCAAAAGAAAATTAGCAAGAATTCGTTCAGTCTGTTTTATAATGTTTACAATAATGCTCATTACAAAAATAAAATTTTAAAAATGGATTTCTGGAATGATATCGGCCAAATAATGAACAGTGAAGACACCAAAATTTTAAAAAGTGGAGTCTTTTCGGCTTGAAGAAATTTTTAAATCCACCCGATTTGCATACAAAAACATGCTTTGTCTGTTTAATGGTTTAATTTACCCCGAAAAAAACAAAAATACTTGATCAGAGCATCAGAGCATGGAGAAGAAAAGAAATACTTTTCCGTGACTGACAGTGACTTTTTGAACTAAAAAGCATACATAGTCATAACGAGAGTCAGAACCATTGTACCGTTGTACCATCATCGTCAAGTTTTTGGTACATTTTTGATTTTTTTTATTTAAATTTACTTGACCAGCAAAAAAATAAATGATCTAAATTAATTAGTAAGGTCTAAAACTCCAAAAAACGAAAAACAAGCAAATAAAGCCCATATACGAATAACTAAATCCAACCAGTCCTTATTTATTTCAGAGAAAGGTGAACAGGTTTTATTAACTTTTTTGTATTTGCTTATAACTAGTTATATAGCCAGTCGACAGAGGACACAGCTAACAAGGTGCTACTATGACACTTAGAAATCTCCTCTACACTTATTATTAAAACGCTCTTAATTCTTCCAACCGTTATATGCGCTAGTTGGACAAAATCTTGAAAATACATCCTTTTAAAAATGTTATCCTGCAACCAAATCGGGATAGCACGTTCTTTTGGAAAATTAGAAGATTAGCTGGAGTGTTACTTCAGGATGCAATGTCTGGCAGATTCGTCTGTACATCATCACCATACACTTCGTCGGGGCGCTGGGACTATAAGAAGAACTAATAGAACTCTTAATATTTATCAGCTGCAAGATCGAAATTTCCGTCGAGGCAATGCCAGACCACATACCGCTGCAATTACCAGAAGATGTTGTAACAGGACTATACTGGATGTACAAAGTCCACGTCACGATATAAGATGACACTGTTAGAACCCACCACAGAAGGGTTTGATTTGAAGTATGCCGCATGCGTTCACTCACAACTGACTATTAAACTAACCAAACTACACTTATATTTCCTAACAAGGGTAGAAAATCTTACAATAGACGAAAGAAGTACTGCTATAAGAATCGAAAATGATGATAATTTGAATTGATAATTTTTTAGACAATTGGAGCAAGCGGGCAGGGGTGAAGTGTTTGACGGTGAAATATATTTACTGCTCCAGTAATATTTGTTTCTTTATTCTGTTCCTAAATGTTAAATGTGATAGCGAACAGTCCTGTATATTGAACTTATTTAAAATAAAAGCTGTATTATAAGAAAACGATTTTTTAAAACTCTTTTTACGATGTTAAGGAACAGTCAAGAGCCCCTTGCGACGTAAGTTTTAATTATGTAAATATATCACTTCTAAAACAAACTTTGTTGTTTTTCCGTTTTGCGAATTGAGTGGTTTCTTCCGTCAAACTTTGTCATCTGGTGCAATTGTTTTGGATGTATTTGGAGGACAACGACCAATTTTCTAGCCATGGCCAGTTTTTGTTTACAAATTGACATGGGCAAGATTTGGAGTAATCGGAACCGCCCTGACCGATCCGGACTCAGTGCAGGGTATTTCTGACCTTCTATAGGAGGAGGGACGCCCTCTGGCTCTGTCTGGAGGCCCAACGGGCCCATCTGGTGGCCTAAGTGCTTGGACGCTAGCGGGGGGCGCCCCCGATAATACCATACGAAATTATTTGATTGTCATCTTCTTTTAACCCTTGTGCATGAGATGCAACTATTCACAATGGCCATGTGAAAGGTACCAATACCATTTCGCTCCTTACATAAATATGACGTTTCTTTAGGAGCGAATAATGGTGGTCAACACCTTCCACAAATTTATTATAATTAATTATTTGTTGTGGCTGTGGGGTTGATACCTTTGTTGGATCCTGCTTTTTCCATCGTTGTACTTGAGTTGCAGGAGTGATTGTGTAAATTGCTAGCAAATGAGACACATTTGTTGTCGCTCCATTTGCGAATAACAATTTTATTGTTATAGTCAAATCGCCAATCACGTGAGCCTCGAACCTCCATTTCTAAAATTTTTGGTGAGATTGCAGAGCATTTTGCTGTTCTCGGATTGTACAAGTAACATGAATGCCTTTTTGATGTAGATCACACAGGAGATAATAATTTGTGAAAAAATTATCGAAATACAGTTTATGTCTCATAGAGTTTTCAATTACTTCTAAAATATTGGTGAAAACTCTGGTTCGTAAAGGTGTTTTGAGTTCGTCCCATTGATTTTTAGGCTCTTTGGTACAATAAAGTGAATAAAGTGAATATGAAGTAAATATCATCTTCATCGGTCAAGTCATCAACTTCCGGGGTCAATACTGCGATATCGACATCAATTTGTTTTGAATATATATATTCAACAGCCTGCTCCAATGTCTTGAAGGTTTTTCTGGACATAATTTCCAACAAAATTGAAATATCTGTAAATAAAGTAATTGTTTCAGAAATCAACCTTATCTAAAACCTAGTTAAATTAAATTTTATTAATGGTTTGATATGTTCTTGTAGCTGTTCACTATGAACAACTTCTAGTAAGAGTTCTATCTTAATAAAAAAATTATAATTTATTGACGTTAAAAACCGTATCAGATCTTACATTAACCAAATATCATATCAAATCAATATAGAAATATAAAATTAATTAAAACTTGGACGAATATTAATATTGATAAAATTGTCGAATGAGTAGCAGCAGTAACCATCCAGCAGAAGAGCTTTCACTTTATTGCAGAACTGATTTTTGGGTAATTCTCTAATGGTATAGGGTAACAAATTAATATTTTAAAGTGTCTACTTTTTCCGATCACAACATGATTAATTGCGAATATCAGCATGAGGATAAAACTTATTCCGTTTCATTACATTACCGTTGCAGAATAGATATAATATGAAGGTACTGTCAATCACATCACATCATCCTCATATATTTTAAATTCGCTATTGCCTTTTGACAGAACAGAAGCGCTCGTCATATGATGTGAATGCACTCAGATTAAAATTGAGTAACAGAAGAAACCCTGAAAAACCAGAAAAACCCTGCTGCGGCCTCCCGGAAACGAGCACCAATTCCGTATCTACGTAAGAGAATGCTGGACACAATATAATGTTTTGCAAAAATTGCACAGAACTATATAGAAAATCCTTTACTCTCAAAAGCAACTTGAAAACATACTCGAAGTAAGCAGTCATTTAAGAACATAAAATGTATCCAATAATTTTCCTGATCAGTGGTATAATAGATATTAAACACATGAGCCCTTAAATGTGAGAAAATACTTGTAGGTGGCACACCTATAAGTAACAGCTAAATTAAGCAAAAATTCTGTCCCATAAAAACTAAAAGCTACCTAACCTTTGTTTAGAAATCGGCAGTATTTACAACATAAAAACAAAAAACATCTTTAACATCCTGCATCCCGAAAAGAAAAATTTTGAGCAACACGTAATCTCTTACCTTAAAAATACTTGAGAACTGAATCTACGCAATTGAATATTGCATTATCTAAAATATTCTAAACTACAAAATAGCAAATTGCAATGTTATATGAAGTATTGCTTTCCAACTTTTTCTACTGAGAATTAATAGAAAAAAAAGTCCTCTTCTCTTATATATGGTACGCAATCAATTTTACCTTTCAACGCGTACAAGTAGCACCATAAAGCTTCGAACTGTAGACTGTTTTTAAAATATTAATCAAATCCATCTATGTTGTGCCCTATATTTTCAAATATTTCCAATAGTTGCTCGATGTAATTTGTTTAGGTAATTTGTTTTCGAAAACCTTGAGTGATAAAGACAAATAGTTGCCAGTTACAACCAAAACGCAAATTAGACTTATCAGAGTGTTTTTTTAGATAGCATTTTCCAAAGAAAACATGACAAAAAATATAAAAACAAATTCATATTTTATGTCTCAGTATTATGTGATGTTTCTAAAGGTCTTGCTAATTAATTTATTCCTAAAAATAAGGCATACAATATATATATATATATATATATATATATATATATATATATATATATATATATATATATATATATAAGAAGAAGCGAATTACAGTAACGGGGCTACTGGTAACACACAAACAAACTGTTAATTATTGGGATCACCCCAAACTTCGATGGATCGCCGTAAAGGGAGCAATAAAAGATGTTGAAGCTCAAAGCAAAGTGGCAATTTATTGTAATATCTAGCTTTCGCCCATGGATACAGGCTACATCAGGACACTAAGTCATATAGAGAACAAGAAAACACTTCATCAGAGTTAACAATCTAACCAAAAAATAGTGAAAAAACCTACTGATGATGAAGAACGCAACAAGCTAGAGTAATTATTTCTATCGTGTCAACAGTGTGAAATATTCGAAAGCGAGCCACTAGCATCACAAAGGAAATTTTGATAATTCAATTTAGTTCTCGTTGACTAAAGCACTTTAACTTAACTGGCCGTAGCATAAATGCTGGAATATACACTGCCCTTTAAAGCCTGTAAAACAAATCGTCCTAGAGAGAGCACTAGAATAGACTTTGTGGGCTTCACTTTCCCAAAAAACGTCATACATATTCTTTGTGTCATTTCGTACATCTCTCTGGAAACAACAAGAACAATCATTAATGGCGTTGGTTTTGGGTTTAATATCCTTATACGTATACATTCTGGGATATTAGGCTGTAACCTGATCAAGACATATGCGCCTAGTTCATCGGCTGATGAGGATGCAACCGAGCTTTTTTCAACGAACTAATGGTATATCTTCAGAATATCCCAAACAAATAGATTATTATGAACATGGGTGACCAAAATCAGATATCCTGTGTGGCTTTAATAATGCTCTTTCAATTGTAAGTACTCTATATTAACACAATCCCAGACATTCTGATGTAACCAAATCCATTTCATAATGATAAATACTCGTTAGAAACGCTCTATCACACAATCCAAGACTCTTCCTAGAGCCGACTTTTGTTCAGGCCACCAATCAATTTTTATAACTTTAAGGCAAAATTTCAAGGTATGTGCAAGAACCAAGCTTAGAAAATTTTGAACATTTCTAGAGTCAGTGCGATGAGAAATTCCAAAAAACACATTATCGACCTTATGAGTCGCACATACCAACAGATTTCTAGAACAATTCAGCCTGCAGACTAGATACGAATCTGAGAATACCTGTCTTCAAAATATCCATATTGAAAAACATGCTGATACAAACAATAGTAAAGAACTTTTTGATAGTGTCAAAATTCTTACCTGTAAATTTCAGCAGAATTTCTGGTCTGTCGAGGATGAAGAGGGTACCTTAGCTACATATCTTGACAAAGTTATACCTGTCTGTATGTTGCAGTTCGGAGCCTTTAAATGACAGCAATACCACAGACAGTGCAGTTCTAGAATCTGAAGTGGACGTATTGCTATCGAAAGTTAGAAAGAACAAATCAACAGGCTAGGATTGTGTCACTACCAATATCTTAAGACATCTGTGTTAATCCGGTGTGATAATACTACATTGTTTGTGGAATAAGAACTGGCACACGGGAGTATGGCCTGAGGGCCGGAAACAAACTATCCTTATCCCTCTTCATATGAAAGGAGCAACAGATCTCTGTAACGTTGTACTGATATAACAAAAAGTTGATCCAGCTGTACAAGCTTAAAAAATGAACCACAACACATCGGTCAAGATACTAATGACGATTATGATAAAGCACCAGTTTGTAAGGATTATAAAGCAAATATTGTTAGTTTTCTGTCTTCATTTCCGTCAATAACATTGGCATTTGTTGTATTAATTTTACGTTGTATTGTTTTGTTAATAGGATTACCTGTTAAAACTTAAATAATCATAGTTTTTTTATTGTTTTATTGTTTTAGGTCACGTTAAAGAGGATAAGTTACTATATAACTATTGGCAAGGCAGAATCCTTTGTATATTTAACACCCTTCTCTCACTGCAGGTTGCTCGTGGCCTTTAACATCTCAAGATATCATTTTTCCAATGTATATAGGTCTTGTAGTAGATCAAATGTCTTTTAATGGATTTCCGCAGATATTTTCATGTAATTCATTCGATATTTTTCAATCTATTCAGTGTATGTGAGCTCGAGATTTCCACGTGCAGAAACGGCAACATATATCAAAGTGCGTTTTTCTCTTTATCGAACAAGCAAACATCAGGTATATTGTGTTGTACTGGTTTTCGTTCATTATTCGTTTGTTTTCTATAGGAACCAAGGTGCCTTTCCTTTTTGTTCTTTGATAGCGATTTTTTTGGTTTATGTAACAAACTCACTGAATAGCACCTAAGCGCTGCAGCTCCTAATAGTAAGACTTTTGGTCTAGAAGTCATTATTACATATTATAAATAAAATAAGTATACATCAAACCACAAACCACAAAACAACTTATAAACTTTATGTTATTTTATATAGAAAAAAAACAAATCTCAAATGTCATCTGTGACAAAGGACTGAAAACAGCTTATTACTAGTACAAATGTAGAGTGTATTCTTGTTACGAAAATTATTGTGCACTGCGCAGGTGCATAGCGCAAATTTTTATGAAATTTAAATTGTTAAATACTATTATGTATCATAATATGCATTTTTTATGAAATAATCTTGAAATTTTTATAAAAAATTATTGTTATTATTTTCCGGGTAAATTTCAAAAATTCCGCTGAGTGTGAAACGACTTTTAGTTATACATAAATAGGGAGTGAACGTTTTTTGTATTACCTTAATAATATTCTCCATTTAAGTGCTGTAGCGCTTTTATAAGAAAAACCAAAACTCTCGACGAATAATTGTAAGGTTCTCGGGTTTTATAAAATAGGTAATCAAAAAGAACAGTTACCATTGTAGAAGAAAAACGAGGGATAAACCGCAGAGGGAAGATTGTACGGGGTGAGTCAGCGCTAGAATAAAGTTCATTATATCATTGGTCACAAAAGTTATGAAAAAACTTAAAATTATCATAAATTAAATTGTTTTGAAATTCTTCAACTTCTTTGTTAACAGCAATACGTATTTTCTAAAAAAATACTAGTTTTCACATTTGCAAAAAAAATACGATAGCGACATTATTTTTTAAGGCAGATAACTCGTATTTGACATTAGTGTTTTTCGAAGATGGCATGAAAAAATATGTGCAACGAAATTTGAATTAATTATATATATATATATATATATATATATATATATATATATATATATATATATATATATATATATATATATATATATATATATATATATATATATATATATATATATATATATATATATATATATATATATATATATATATATATATATATATCCTGCGAAACGTCTGCAGGATTCCAGTCGGATGCAGGATTTGCAGGATTCCAGTCGGAGTTCAACGAGCGAACGGATGATATCCAGGAATATAATGTCATCATCATATATATATATATATATATATATATATATATATATATATATATATATATATATATATATATATATATATATATATATATATATATATATATATATATATATATATATATATATATATATATATATATATATATATATATACTTTCCGATGTTAATAATGCAAACATTTAGAAATTTATTCTTATTTTCAAATTTTAAGTATTCATTAAAACATACAACCTTGAAAGCAAGATTTATCTATTTTTAGTTCTTTATTCGGTGCGAACTATCATTTACTAATCTAGGTCAGCGTTAAATACTGCATATCCTTGGGCTCCCAAGTTCGTAACTGCATACAAGCTTCCGGCACCTGGATATTCCTTCAGTTCTTCTTCAGTTAAGGACACTTTAGAAGTAGTGACGTATAGAATGTCAAGGTTGGGACCGCCCCACATCGTCGACGTAACATCTCGTGCGGGAATAGGAACCACCTGAAAAAATAATTCGTTTTAATTAAAAACGGAGCAATTTATCCCTCGAATATTAAAAAAAAAATCAACCAATCCCCAAAAGCTTAGCAGACGCCTGATGTACGAAATGAAATAAAAATTTGCTTTTTATAGATTCAAGAAGGAGTTGGTGATAAGACCTTGAAAATTTCATTATCACAATCATTAGCAAATAATAAGAAAAAACTGAATTGAACAACAATATTATTCTTCAAGTTCATCATTCATCGTTCATCATCAATGGGTCGCTTTCTCCCTTTCACCATACATATTGTAAGTTATTTTTTCATCAAAGTTTTTCTTTGCTCTTTATGAATTTCATAATTAATTTGCGAATTAAGCCAAATAAAAAATAATTTAATTTCATGGATTAATTCTAGTTTAAAAAATAAGTAATATTAACTAACTGTTTGTTTTGGTTAGTTTAGCGAACATGTTCCTGAAGTCTTCAAAAGAAACTTTCCGCTCAATCATTGTGTAATTGTGCATTTTCGGTTAAGAAAGTAGAAGAAAGTATTGCCTCTGCTATGCTATTAATATTTGGTTTATCTTGTTTACATCCTTAGAATAAGTTCTTGACATATTAATCAATCAATCAAATATTTTACAAAAAAGATGATTTTATGGCTATGAGGACGAGCGTAAAACATTTTTTCTAGCAATGGTGAAGTTTGTGGTCTAATAATCTTATTCACACAACAATATCCATTCAATGTTTCTACCTCATGGTTGTATAGACTTAGAATTTTTTTTAGAAGCTATGGAAAAATGCATGGTCTTTCGAGAAGAAGGATGTTTGTAATAAAACCGGACCTACTGGCTTTTGTTTTCAAGCTATTTCCAAAGTTGATATGACTCGCGAGTATATCATAGGTTTCGAATTGCGTTTGCGTTGAGTTTTATTTGCTCCTCTTTCTCCTCTAGCCCTGGGATGGGAAGCAATATCTCAGATTTCTACGGTGCGTTTCTAAACGCAAAAGAGTTACAAATCATTATTTAACTGTACAACTTAGAGGTCAAAGCCGTACTATATACGGATGGTATTCTACCTATGGTAATTGTCAGGGGTCCCGAGAGTGGTAGGTAGGCGGACCGGTAGTTCAACCACCTTTGCCCTTGTGTTTAAAATTATAATAACAGTCACTTTCCGACAGTTATGGGTAAAGGTAGTTAGTGAAAATAGAAAGGGTGCCTGAATTTCTTGCTGAGAAACGGATTACCAAAAGATAAAATCACTTTTAATAAAGAAAGATTTCGAAGAAAAAAGGGGAATATCTATTACTTGGACGAAACTTGGGTAAATTAGTATATTCCATTTCCATTTAAAATACACGGATAAAAGCACCTTTGGGAAAAAGTAAATGATAAAAAAAAATCTCACATTACTAGCAAAATATATTTGTCGGTACTGACTTATTGCCATTTCAATCAACATACGCCAGAAACTATCATGAAAACATGAATAATGATTTTTTGAAGACTACTTCAAGCAAATGTTGGATCTTAGTGCTGCTGGGTATATTATAGTCATCTAAAATGCCAGCTACCACCGAAGAAAAAATATGAGGTCATTTATTGCCTTACTTTAAGGAACTAATTTCAGAAAGATGTACTTCAAAGAAGCTACTCAGGATTGTAAATTGAAATAAACCTTTTTGCACGAAATATTTTTATCGACGAAATATCACAGCGAATTAATATGGGCGCAAGCAAAAGGGTTTGTTGATCGTTGAACCGCTCTTGGAAGAGAAACAAAAAAGGATTGTAAAAAATGGAATAAATGCTGTCATTTATACAGGGTTTTCGTGAATAGCACTCATTTTCTATTTGATAAGTACCATGAGATACATTTACAAGTAAGAACATTTTTGGGAAGAAAAGTAACTAACCCGTAACTGTTTTATACTTCTATAATTGACAGAACCACCTCCATCCAGAGCTATCCGATTGCATCAATCGTTGGTTTACTTTAAGGAATTAATTTCAGAGAAATGTACTGAACAAGAAGCTACTGGAGATTGTAAATTTATGTAAGTGTCTTTGTAACGAAATTTTATTATCGACGAAATATCATTGTGAATGATACCCGCCATAATTGGTATGGGCGCAAGTAAAAGAGTTGGTTGCGAGGCATTTCACCACTTTTAAAAGAGGGTACAATGGAGTAAGTCCGTCAAATAATTATATAATATGTTATTAATATAATGGGTGTTCTTTTTCGATGTATAGAACTTTAAGTTGGTATTACTGTTCAAGATGTCGACCGATTTAACAGCTGTGAAGTGATTTATTCTCAGTTTGGTTTGGCAATTCATCATGAATAGACTCACGCCTGAACAACGCTTGCAAATAGTGCAATTTTATTTCGAAAATAATGGTTCTGTGCGTAATACGTATCGCGCACTATGTCCATTTTATCCTCGACAAAATCGTCCATCAGAGCAGTTAATTAGATTAACCATGGGACGTTTTCGCACCACGTTTACTCTTATTGATAACTCGCATCCTCTGAGACGCCGTACGGTGCGTACAGAAGTAGCTATTGCTACTGTAGAGCGTAGCATTAAGGAAAGCCCGAATGAGTCCATCCGCCATCGAGCACAGGAATTGGATCTGTGTCCATCCACTTTATGGAAGATTTTGCGAAAGGATCTTGTGCAAGAATTGAAGCCAAACGATCATCAAGTAAAACATAGATTAGTCGAAATGAGATTGCCGTTGTTCCCGATGTATGTTGAAACACCGTTACATCCAGAAAAACTGACCGTTTGGTGCGCTTTATGGGCTGGTGGAATCATTGGTCCGTACTTCTTCAAAAACGATGATGGCCAGAACGTTACAGTCAATGGTAATCGGTATAGAGCTATGATTAATAACTCTTTCATTCCTGAATTGAATAACCATGATGTTCAGGAGATGTGGTTTCAACAAGACGGCGCAACATGTCACACAGCTCGTGCCACAATCGATTTATTGAAAGACACGTTTGATGACCGCCTAATTTCACGTTTTAGACCAGTGAATTGGCCTCAAAGATCTTGTGATTTAACACCGCTAGACTACTTTCTGTGGGGCTAGGTAAAGTCATTGGTCTATGCGGATAAGCCACAAACGCTTGACCATTTGGAAGACAACATTCGCCGTGTTATTGCCGATATACGGCCACAAATGTTGGAAAAAGTCATCGAAAATTGGACGTCCAGATTGGACCACATCCACACCAGCCGTGGCGGTCATATGCCAGAAATCACATTTAAAATGTAATGAAACAAGATTATCTTTCGGATAAATAAAATTCATGTCAATCGATTAATGCATCGTTGTTTTATTGCAACTTAAAGTTCTATACATCGAAAAAAAAACACCCCTTATAATTAATAAATGTATTATTCCAATAAACTACCTGTTGTAGTTGCAATTTATCTGAACTTCACGATGTACAAACGTTATTACTAGAGTATATTTCTGTTTTTGTTAGCTGAATATGAACTGCTCAATTTTTGAGTTTTAGTCAATACATATTACATCACACGATGTGTGTTTTCATTTTCTACCACCTAGCTGGTACTAACCAAAACTTATGGATAATTTTAACATTGTATTGTATCAACGCCGTGTGATGATGAAATACGCACGGAATAATGTGTTTATCTCAGAACACGTTTTTTTTATAAGGGGTTCTTGAGAATAACATTCATTTATTTTAGCACCATGCATTGGCTAATTTAAGTTTAGGTCGAATTTGAGATACACTTCCAGTAGGAAAATTTTTTGGAAAGTAAAGTAACTAACCTGTAAGAGTTCTCCACTTCTAGGGTCTACTTTGATGACGGAACCTCCTCCATACAAAGCAATCCAAAGGTTATCGTCCGTGTCGATGGTCATGCCGTCGGGTTGACCAACAACATTTGGTAATCCGGTCACGTTAATAGCAACACGCGGATTCGATATCTCTCCCTTTTCATCGTCGTACTGATATTCCAAAACCTGAAAAGCAAATTTCATTTACTCGACATTAGATTAAAGTCAGAAAATTCAAAACAATCTTGTTATATTTTTTAAATATTTGACCAAACATGTGAATGACAAGTTTCCAAAATTTTCCAAAAAAATATTGTATGACTGGGATAGTTAACTCCATGATAGAAGTAGGAAACTTCGTGATAAAAAACTAATAAGAGATAAAAAAGTTTTCATAGTTTTTAGCATCAAAGAGGAATTTCCACATGTCAACATATTTGAAGGAAACTTTTTAATCATCTTCTGAAACTATAAGTTATTTTCTACTGTTGATGTGCTGTATCTGCTTGCTGGTAATTATTGTGATATGGTACAAGCCAATATGAACTGTATATCTATTCCGTTTCATTTTTTTTTGAGATTATTATAGTATGTTCCTCTACAAAATTCACAAAGAAAATCGTCATCGTCGCGACCTGGTTGGTTATTGTTTTTTCTTTTGGTTTGGTAAAGCAATGTTTGATAATAAAGAAGATACTTTGGACTTAAGTGTATGTAAAACTTCTATGTTTAAGCATTTTGCTCTACAGTCCCTCTTTTTCCTATTTGTGGAAGAAGGTCGATTGTTGGAACAAGCTGTAAGAAGCTCATGGTTAATTTAGTTTCCAGCTGCAAGTGCAGATGGAACTGGAATAACATTTTTGTCAAAAGGCCAATCTGAATATGAATACGGGGTTTAAAATCGGCTTTTCTGGATTTCTCCTCGTAAACTCAAGCCCTCTTAATAATTTATAAATCCCAATGCCCAGTATGTAATTCCATTTTTAGATTCAACGGTTTTTAATATAAATACGAAATTTTGTTACTTTGCATCGTAAACTAAATTTCCGATTGTTATGTAAAATGGTTTTCCCATGATTTTCTAAAAAATAATTTTTATATCCAAATTTGGTAAATAGAGTGGTAACAGATATTGCACAGACAGTTTTTAAACTTTTAATACATACGATTTAAAAACCTGAAGTTGGCATGTGGTTCGAATAGATGTTGCAATGCTTCAACGTTCCAAATATTTTTAAAATAAAGATCAAAGCCACTTGTAGCCGCAACCCAATTTTCAAATGAATATCTGTTTCCACTCTCCATTTATTTCTAATATGGCATCGAGTTTGGATGAAAGTTGTATAGAAGTCCTGCTTATATTGATGATTTAGGAACTTTTGAGGCGACGATAAAAAAATATATTGAGATGGACTGGCTACTGATCCAAATCCCATGAAATGGTCAACAAAAAACGAATTACATAAGTGGAGATCGCTGTTTAGAAAGAAAATGAAACAAAGCACACCTGTGTGCATTACATTTTGGGGCATGCACGGAAGATCATTCTCTTCAGTACGAAAATGTAATAATTTTGAATAATAGTGATAGTACAGACTGAAACTATTCTACGCAAAATAATATTTTGTGTTTCCTTCCAATTTCCTTACCACTTCCCTGGATTATTTTGATTTTTAATTAGCATTATTTATCATGTGTCGGACTATACGTGATATTTGAGTGGAACGGGTGTGAATTTCCCATTTCATAACTTTATATTTTATCTTAAATAGCCTATAGTTACATTTAGCAAATATAAATGGTGAACGAAACCATGAAATTCTGACGGCAACTTTAATACTACATACAGTTACACTTGATACACAGTTTACACTTGATAACCGGTAGTGATACAACTGTCCGAAACGTTGTGTAAGTTAAAAATAAAGACAATGGAAGGTCGACATCATTTTAGTATTTTTCAACTTTAATACTCTTACCAAACTGGAAAAAAATTATAAAAACCGGCCGGAAACTCCCAGGCATATTGCCGAAGCTTTGCCATTCTTGCTTCTACTGACTAGGTTTTGTCTGCAACGTTTTGAACTGTGCTAACAGCTTTTAGTAAATCAATGCTAAATAATGCTTGCCAGCTCTTGGTTTATCTCCAAACTCCAAACCATTAGAATCGCCAGTACCGCACGAAATATTTTCAAAACAGCACAAAATCACGGTATAACGATCAGATAAGCAATAACAAACCAAGAAAAAACTCTTCAAATATTATTTTTTTCAAATTTCCATGTTTTTTTTTTCATATTTCTGATTATTGCAGTTTATCAGATCTATACTTTTTCTCAACTAATATAATAGCGTTACAAGATACTCGTGCTTTCATTTTATCTTGTTTTAGACAGTGTACCAATTGCTATAATCGAGAGGAGGTCCTTTTAACTTTTTTGATATTTTGATTAATAAAAATGAATTAAATAAATTAAATAATAAATAAAATAAAATAAAATTAGAAATAAAGTCACAACTACTCGTCTTACTTGGTAAGTTGGGCTGTCGATGTAATAAAATTTGTCGTTGGCCTTATTCCAAGCCAATCCGTTGCTGATTGTTACGGGCGCAATTACAACGGCAGGATTGGCAAGGTTGTCTTTCGTAATTTTGTAAACAACCCCTTCGTTTTCCTTTGTCTCCCCTGCGGCATTCGAACCTCCCATGGTACCTAAAATTAACCTTCCTATAGTACTAATTCTTATCTTACTAAATATTATTATATATATTACTATTAAATATATAAATATTATAAATTTTTATTAAATAAATAAATATTATCTTGTAAATATTACTAAATATTGTGTAAAGTTTCCCATATATAAAAAAAATATTTCAAAAATATTAAATCTCTTCGCAATTTATTTGTTCATGAAGAAAAAAATGTATCAAATACTTGTGAAAACATATATCAAATATTTTATAGATATTGTTATTATTTTTCCAAAAACATTTTTTCCCAGTATAAAATACTGAAAATTCCTCAATTTTACTTCATTCGCATATTTTTAATTGACTTAATTTGTAGAGCAGATACCATATTATTATTATTATTTAATTTCCTCTACGTATAAACAAGTCACAATTGCGAAAAACAACATTTTTGTAAATTCATATAATTATTTTATAAATCCAATGTTGATGAACTTTTGTTTGCGTAACGCCTATTATATGTATATTTCGATGTGTATAAAATATAATTCAAAAAGCACGCTTTGTTCGCTGCACCTTCCTACCACTTTTCACCCTCCCGACAACAATCCAACTAAGGCAAACACCAAACTGTCAAACATAAACTTGGTCGAAACGAAACCACTTGTGTCCACTTATTAATTGTTTGCAAAGTAAATGGTTAGTTAGTTTAGTTACAAAGGATTTTCTGTTGGTCCCATATATACATTATACATAATTAAATACAAAAATTGTAGTATATAATGCAATGAATACAGAAAAAACATATTTTTTGTAAATAAAAGGTAGATATAGAAAATTGGTTAATACTCTGTAGCGAAGCAAGTTGCATATGAAAAATATGTGTCTACTTCTTTTCATTTTACTATAATCAACTTAGGCAAAGGTGGTGCCCCATCCTACATAGCCTAAATATTTAATAGAAACATCTTTAAAATATTGCATACATATTTACATTAAACGTTTTAAAACATAATATATTAATTATTTAGTTCATATATATACCATATATTTTGACATATATTTATTAAAACATATATTACAAATATATAAAAATCTGTTACTCCAATATTTATTAAACATGTATAAGAAAATATTTATAAAATATTCTGTGCTATCAGGGATAGATCTTGTACCAGTCTGCACATAGTGAAATAAACTACCTGATAAAATAATCGACTACGCAATATTTTGATAACAAATATTGTAATGTATCAACAATTGAAATAACCTGCAGATGGCAATTTTCATGTGTGGTTTAAAAATTTTATATGAAAATGAAATATTACTACATGTTAGGCCATTTTTTAAAATTTAATTAAAACTTTATTGATATTTTTGAACGAATTTGTAATGTTTTATGTACGATACAAAAAGAGACGTTTTTAGAAGATGAGTTCGCGGCGACTCCGAATATTGTTTTTCTTACTCAATGAATGAAATTTTAAAGTTTTAAAACCAACCAACTAACCAAAATACTAAAGACAAAAAATTTGGAGAGCTTATATAAATAACATCGAGATGTTTATTTGTACTTTTATTTTTACATTTATAAATTTTATCATAGTTTGACGTCATAGTATCTATAGCGAGTAGAATGTTGAAAAATGTTAAGTTTATATCAGGCAATTTGTCTGGACTGTCATAAAGTATGTGTGTGTATTCTTTATGATTTACCAGTAATATTATGTTTGGTTTTGTCTAGGAAATATTACGTAAAAAAACGAAGAACCTTTGCATGATTTAGAGTGGTAAAAACCTTGAAGGATATGAATTTTACCTCAGATAAGCATAATCGCTAAATTGTTAGCGAACAAAATACTTGAAAAGTATAAGACAACCCCGCATGAAGCAGAAAAATAATCTTTATCTTGATACGTAGATTGATGAGGGTTATATAGTACCAAAAATATGGTAAGATCAGTAGTCTTGGAAAGCGGATTTGGTTTCGGTACTCAACATAATGCACAAACATTATAATTCACAGGGTACATGTACTACAGGGTTCTATTACTATTCTTAGATAATACTTACAATAAGGTTTACATTAACATTTAATTAAATAATTAAATAAACATGAAAAGGAGAAAAATAGCAAAGTATCCTATCAAAATTATTATTGGTGAAATATGTCTATGCTGCTAATTATACTTCTTTTGCATTTGAGTGATTAGGAAGCTTATTGCGTAATTGCCGATCTTCTTTAGCTTAGTTTCTTTCTAGTTTTGGAAAACTTTTTTTTATGTTTTCTATACTAAACACGTGCTTTCGAATTTTGACCTAAAACGTGTTTTATATAAATTTTGGATTACTGACATTTCTAGAAACTCGCATTTTAAAACCAAACAACACAACAAAACTAATACCTTTTTTTTTAATATTTTTTATTGTGTTCATGTGTTTAAAATACATTCCATGCCAAACACGTAAATTCCAAGTTTAACCTAAAACTCGTTTTACATAAATTTTGGATTATTCAAATTTTTAGAAACTCTCATTATAAAACCTAAGTTTCGCTAAGAATTATTAACTTTGATTTCAATATGTTTCTCAAACAATAATTTCAGATACTTAACATCAGAGATAGCTTTCTGGAACCTTATGGAACTTAATATCACCAACAAAGAATGCAAACTTGGTATTGGAAACAATGCTTGGTATTGTGTCAGATAAGCGAAAACAAGAGGGGACCAAGGTGGGCTCTTTGAGGAACTCCAAGGGTCAGAGTCTACATCGTTAGCCTTAAAAAACTAATAATTTTCAACTGTAAGATACGAGTGACAAAGTGTACACCATGTACACCAATATTAAAGTATCATTGGACACGGAAAGTACTTTGAAAAAAATGTAAAATATCTTTGAACTGATTGAAAATTTTACATCTACATTCGATTGTTATCAAGAAACACTAGCTTTAAACAAACGTATTAGACATGTATTGAAAACTAAAAAGTAGCTTACCAATCCACAAGCGTCCTTCTTTGTCTGCCTTGCCGTCATTAAATCTGGAATCCGGGAACTGTTTGGAGATTTCCGTCAAAGCCTAAGATAGAGAATTCAGTTGACCAATATGCGACTATGGCGCATCTTTTGCTCCTCATCGCTAATTCACGACACGTTACAATTTCCAAAGCAAACGAAAAAAAAAACACGAAAAAAGTTTGTGTCCACAAAGATACTAAAAAAGTCGTAGTACTTCCAAATATTGAGTTTTTGAATTGTAGTAGGTGTACCAAATTACAATTCGTTATACTTAAAAACTCATTTTATCTATTAAATTTAATTTACTCGTTCTGTGTAACAATTGTTCATTTTTACAATAAATAGGTTAAAATTTTTAATTTTTAATTTTACAAATGGTGGTCACATTAAAAGTCACTGTAAAATATATGTAATGCTTTTCTGGGGCATTCTATTCTCTTCTATGCAAGTACAAAATGGAATCACGTAGCAACTCTGCGATTTACAATTTTTGAGGCAGATTAAAAAGCTGAAAATGGAAGCCAACATGAATGAACAAAATTCCTGACTCAAATTAACATAATATACAGGGGGTTCTATTTTTAACGTTCTTAATAGTTATCTAAGTGGTTGCTATATATGCGCTACTTTTTGACTTTTCTGGAATTCCATAGCAAATTTGTTCTGTAGAGTTTTTTTTTAGGCCATCTGGTATACTTCAACTGTTTTGCTTTTAATATATGTGCTGTTTCGTTAAGATAACCTCTAGCAACACCATATTTAAGAACTAACTAAACTAGAAAAACTAAACCAGCAGGGTTTTCGGATGTTTAAGACCTTTTTACTGGATTGAAGTTAAATCCGGGATCTGTGTTTATTACATATATTAAGTATATTATTTATTTACCTGTTCTTTTCCCAAGTTGTTTCTGCCGTCCCAGCCAACAGCAACCAACGTCCTATTGACTCCGACTACGAACAAGCTTTCGTTGGACTTCGACGGAATGATGGGGGTAACTTCTCCGTTCAAATGGGCCACATAATGTTCATCGGAATCGTAGAAGTAACTATGGATGTTGCCCACGTGGATATCGACGAAATATAGGGCGTTGGTCCTTGGATCCCATGTCGGTTCTTCGCCGTGTTCCAACGGTTCAGTGAGTTGGTAAACGGCTGGCCCATTGAAGGCTTCGCCCAATCTAGAACGAAGTGTGAGTCGATATAGATATAGGGAACGTCCGACGACATGACTGCCATAACTTAGGAGTGTATTCCTGGTGTGATTTCAAGTTGAAAATGTCAAATAAACATGGACACCCGGAACTCTAAACTAAGTGAGCTAGACCATTTAAAAAGAAACCGCTTTATTTAATTAGTTTAAGTAGTATTAAGGTCCAGGTGGCTGGAATCTCATATATCGTGACAGTCAATTAGATTAATTTTGTGGGTTTATTTTCCTGTGTTACAATAAAATACTCTTCGGAGCCTGAGACGGTCAGCAGAGCTACACTTCAATTCTAAGAAAAGCTATACTATCTATACAACAGCAACTAGGCGGATATTTTGAATAACTAATTCAATAAAATAAAATAAAACAAAAAGTAAAGGGGTTATTTTTAAATGGTTGAAATTTCAAGTACTTGTAGCTCAGTTAAGATAGCGTTCCGGATATATGTTTATTTGACATTTTTAAGTTGAAATCACCCCAGCAACACACTCCCAAACTATGGCAGTCATGTCGTGAGACAACCTGTATAATTTTGTAACAGGATATATAATTTTTTTATTTCATAGCGACATCTGAGGAATTCTGAAAATTTATTTTTTTATGGTAACTCGTCGTATATCGAATTGCAGTAAGCAGAAAATATAAGGGGTGGGTCAATAAATAGACTTAGAAGATACTTTGTATGAACTGAACTAGAAAGTAGCTAGTACCAATAAAGTACTTCTTAAGTCTAAAATTTTACTTTTTGTTAAATATGGAGGCAGAGGACAAAAAATAAACGTTTGGGCAGATATTTTGAATTTCAAAATTATTGGACGTTATTTCTTCCTTTAAAATCTTACCGGTGCCCGATATATACAAATTGTTAAAAAATACTTAATTCCTACTCTAATAGATTCTTGTCCAAAGCCAAATCAATAGAATTGTGCTCCGCCCCATTTGGCTGATGTGCGTGAATATTGAAATATGGTATTTCGAGGACAAAGAAGTCATACGAAGGGTTCAATTCAAATTATAGAAAATGTCAGGAATAATAAAATAATAATAAATAAAAAATAAATAATAAAATAATTTTTTTGAAATGTCCTCTTTCTATAAATTTTCTCACTGTGGATATTGTAATCAGTCTATTTTGGGTAAACAAATTACAAACTTCTCGTTTTATCCACTTTATTTACTATTAGAAATGTAATTGTGACAATTTAAGAACTTTACTGGCACTAGTTTAATTTCAAAATTAAATTTCTCTTTTGCTCATAAAATTAAAAAAGAATTCGAAAATGGATTGTAAAAAATGGTTTTCCATTTCAAAAAAGGAACTTCTATTTTTTGACCCGGTCTGTATATCTCATATTCACAGCAAGAAATGTGCAAGAAAAATGTGTACGACCATTTTTCTTGAAATCCAATACCTAATTTTAAAATGAGTTTGTTCCATATATTAGCCGTTCACTGCATATTCTGAAAATTTGTAGAAAAAATCATATTTCATATAAATAAAAATGAATATTGATTATATTTGAATGAAGTTGAATCGAAAATCCGATCAAATTTACATTGTTATTTGCAACAGTTCTTTACGATTTGACATAAAAAAATTTAACTCACATTTTACTAAACATTATTTTTTGCGAATTATAAGAACAGCAAGAGCAAAAGAGGTTTTAGAGTCATAAAAATTGATATTTTCAATATGAACTAAAAATACTTTCGTAGGTTTCCCAATTCCATTTTTTGAAATTTTAGAAACTACTGTTTTCTCATAATCAATCTGTACAGAAATAGTTCTGATGACAAGCCTTAGAATTGTACAATTATACAATACTCACCGGCAGCACAAGAGAACAAGTACTGTAAGGGATAACTGGCGAAACATCTTCAATGAGCAGTGGGATTCGAAAATAAAATTACCTGTGAGGAAAGTGTTTTAATACATTATCATGACCAGGAAACAATAATAATAATTGGAGATAACCGATAGATTTCTGATAAAACAGTTGAATACGTGTGCATTGTCCAAAAAAAATATCTTTTGTTTTCGGAGCTGAGATTCGTCTAATTTTACACCAACTTAAGTGATCAGACTAAATTTTCAAAATTATCCAATCTGGTGAAATGACGTAAGAGTTTTCTAGTGCATTGTACAGATAATCTATTGTCGATCTTTAAGACTGAGAAATTTTATCCATTCAATTATGTTTGAAAAATACGAAATGTCACTTGAAATTTAGCCTACGGTTTAATCAGAAGTACTTCGAAATTTTGAATGAAATTCTCTCCTAATATTTCATCATTCCTGACTTCGATCAGTTTGATTTCAAAAAAATATTCAATTAGTACATATAACAATCTCCATTGGACTTCAAATTGATTTTGAAACGGAAACCACGTAAGCAGCATCAATGATTTTAATACTCCAATATTCTTCAGACTTGTAGATTCTTTATTTATGATATCGTCAGAAAAGAGTACCATATTTAGCCGTCATTCAAGGTCACTGGTCAAACAATATCTTGATGTGGCAAAAATGAGTTTATTTATTTGGAACGCCTTATAGCTTTAATCAGCAACCAACAGTTTTAAACCACTACCGTATGATATTAGTTTGTACGTAAGCCATTTTGGTTGTAATTTTTACTTTAAAAGTCGCATTTATTTTCCTGAAATGTTAACTGTTGACTTTGAGAAAATCTTTTAGAAATCAATTTTCTAACCAAGAAAATAACTGAAAATTAAATGGTTCTTTACCATGTGATGATAAGGATGATGATTTCAATCCAGTGTTTTCTAAGATATTGTACTTAGTGTTACAGTGATTGTCAAATTATCAATCAAAAGTGATAAATCAATTAACCAAAAAAAGCAGCAGATAAAAACAAATTAGATAAATAAACTGAGGATCAGAAATCCACAATTTTAGTTTTTGCAAAGCAGCACGCATGCGTGCAGCAACTGATGTGTGACTGATTAATGTCAGAACTGACTCACGTCATAATACCATGGAGAAAATCTACCAAAAATATCCGATCGTTCCCAAACCAGTGACTAAAGAACCGGATATATTCGAAATGGCTCGTGACAGTCGTTTAGAGTAGAGTAGAATATTATGGTCTGTTAGTATAATCCAGCACGCGATAAGTGGTCGTAATTGCCTGGCCTATCATAAGCGGAGGGCACTTTACCCTCATTAGACCAAGTAATAAACCAATAAAAAAACCGATGTGCAAGCATTTATCAGTACAGGGAGGTAATTTTATTTTAATAGTGTAGTAGAAGAACAATTCGGAATGGAGAAGAGTAACAAACCAAAAAGAAAGTGTCTTTTGAGTATGTTTATAGTTATTAGTATATGAAAGTAACATTAATATACTTATATTTTTATTTTTATTATCGGACTTTGCAAATTGCAAATACTGTTTCTACGTTTTTTCGAAGTAATGCCGAGTGAATTTGCAAGTAAGTGTATGTATGAAAGTAATCAAATTTCGTTACTTGAATCCTTGAAGCAGAAATGAAAAGAAAATGGCCGATTTACTGGCAATCGTGAAGCAGTGCGCCGATTTACAAATATCGACAATCGTGATGGGGATGGATGCTAAAATACTTAACCCAAATTCATTAGTTTCGCGTAGGAAAACGATATATATTTTATTTAAACCAGACTTGGTTCGACACCCCTGGCACTATGAAGAAAGGGTGAATTTGGCTTTTTTTGCTAGTTGTCACAGCATTCTAGCTAAGAAGGTAGCAACAATCAGCAGCAAAACCTTTCCAGCAAGCATGGCTATTATTTACTTATACTTAAAAAAAATCGTACCAGAAAAGTTCGCCAATTACATGACGTGGATGCCTTGCCATTAATTCTTGGAGGATATATTTATTTTCAGCAAGATGGTTGCCACGCTCACAACGCACGGATTGTAAGTGAACTTCTAAATGAAAAGTTTGGACAATTTTGAATAGAAACTAGAGGCCACAGATCGTGTGATCTCACTCCTCTAGGTTTTTTTAATACGACAGATTAAAAGGACTATACTTGAATATAGAATTTTGATACTTGTCATTCATTACGAAAAAAGTGCGGCGCTCAATTATAACAAATTTTTTAATTAATTCACAATATTAAAAATAATATCTAACATTAAATTTGAAATATTAAACGGTTCTTAGGTTTCGTGTTTTTCACTTCAAAGTTTTCCATATGCCTTATATCCACCTTTTTTCATCACGTCAGATACCTAGGAATTTATATAGCTGAAAAAGAGTCGAAACAGGCATTTTTTTAAGACCATAGCCAACTATGATTGCGATATAAAATAAGTTGTATTCATTTAGAAGAGAACGACCTGTGTTACATACTTTAGAAAAAATCTGAGTTCGCATTTGCCTTAAAAAATTAATAAATATAATGTTTTTATATGTATGAAGTGGAAAGTAATTATAAAAAACTTGGGACAATGTAAAACCATTAAATATATCTTTGCATGATAGTGACAGCACAGATTCAAACCATTTTAAATTACTAATTTTATTTAATAAGAAATTATTATTTATATAATTAAAGCTCTACAGTACGCAATACAACAAAATGCGTAAACGTAAATAGCATTGCCGCCAGTCATAACCATTTATCGTGTGTCGGACTATACCTATATAAAACGAACAATGTCCTCCACGCCCAGTCAAAATTGTACTTCAACAATTATTATAAATAATTTTAAAGAGATCGATAAAAAGATCACATCTGCAACAGTGATATTAACTTAAAAAAAAAAAAGTTAACTTACCACCCAACGATCAAATTGCAAATAAAAACACCTTGCTAGATTTGTTTATTTTGTCTATTGTAAACAACAATCAAAACCGCAGAACATGTGCGTTCAACATCAGTCGCAATGTGCATGAAAACCCATTCTTTTGTGCTCAAGGCCAGCTTGTCGGAGGTTGGAGTGTAGGATATTCACCTTCTGAATGATTGGGCACTGTTTGTTATCTTGATGGTTGCAATTTCGTAAAAAAACGAGCGCTCATTATTCACCGATTGAGGTATTTCGCGAATCTGTTTATAACAATTCCAAATAAAATCCATATTTTAACCGTACGTAACCACAATTTTTGATACCTCCCCAGAACCCCCTGAATTACCATGCAGTTTTATAAAAAAATACTCATTTTTTTCAGGCCAATTCCAAGAGCTTCGTGAAAACAAATGTCTAACAGATATTTAATGTTCATATTACAAATGATTATTAAAGTTCCAAAAAATACATGTTAAAATTTGATGCGGTATTTCCTAAAATATAATTTGTTTTCTTCTAAAGCGCATTTTGCAATATGTTGCAAAAGATATCCCATCATTTTGTATAAAGCACTTTTTGACTATTAATTGTGTTACATAACCACAAAAACTTAACAAACCATGAATCTAATCTTAAAGAAACTAAAATTTTTACACAAGACAAAAATTATCAAAAATTGACAATAAAAGAAATGATTCATATGAAAGGAGAGCTTAATACTGTAAATGACCAATATAATATAAATAAATAAATATATAAATTAATTCTGTTATACCACAATTTAATAACCCAGTCCACTTCCTTATAAAATAGAATAAACCAACAGTTAAGTAAATCTGTAGCCACAAATAATAAACATAAACTTCAAACTCAAAATATTTATGTCAGTTACTTGAAATTTGTACTTTCTTAATATATTGAAAAATTTAAATTTAGATTCAACTAAATTTGGTATTATTGAACGAACTCAACCATTATATATTTATATATATATATGTCAAGGCGCTGTCATAATAAATAAAGAGATGGAATGATAGCTAAGTAGGGAGATTACGTCACATGCTAATTAAGGAAACACATTAATTAAAAAGACCTTACTAGAAATAAATTTATAAAGAATGTTCACACAAATGACACACAGATAAGACCTTCTAACTGACGAATTTAAAACATTTCTTAACCTATTAGTTGTTTTTTGAAATGCTTCAAGAACTAATCTTCTCAATTGACCCCTAGTCTCAAAATCTCTCTGGCAAACATAATTTTTGTAATATCCCCATAATAAAGAATCGAGTAGAGTGAGGTCCGGCGAACGAGGGAACCACCAAACTGCTGCTTCAAGACCTATCCATTTTTCTGGTAATCTTACCGATAAGTACTCGTGCACTTTCGCCAATTTAGGTGCCTATTCTCTATGGATGCTGGCAATCATGTTGCTCCATACAGTCTTGTTGACAGCCGCCCTGCTGCCTAGGCACGATATTCGTCGTCGCCCCTGATCTCTTCGACAATCTATTTTGCCCTGCAAGATTAGTTGAATAAATTGATATTTCTCATTACGCATCACATGTCTAAGGTACGCCATCTTCCTCACTTTCAGATTATGTATGACTTCGAGTTGATTTTGCATTCGCTGGAGCACGATGTTGTTTGTGACATGGTAGGAGTATGATATCACCTTATTTCAAAGGCTTCCAAGCGCTTAGATGTAGCACGTGTAAAAGCCCAGGCTTCAGTACCGTATAAGAGCGTGGAGAATACATAACATCTTCGGATACGAGTTCTTATAGTAATGTTCAGGTGCATGTTACATAGAGCTTTTCTGAGGCACTTAAAAATGGTTTTGGCTTTCTGTTGTATACAAAACTTTATTATTGGCCCTAAACTCGTGGAATTGTGCCTTATCGTTTTTCCTAACTACAGGAATTTTGTTCTTCCTCGAACAGCTCTCCCACGTATTCTCCCACCGTTTTCTCTCGTTGTCAATTTTAAGATTACCTTGTTTATCTAGGATCCAGTTATTGCTGCCTAAACTAGTCCTTCCTGCCATAGTCTTAGTTTTCTTGTGCAGGTTAAAGGTGTGATGCTTTCGATATAAAGCTTCAATTTATCTACATTCGTTCTGTAACCATTGTTCCTTTGTTTTTGTTGATATTGGTATTTATTTCCTTTCATTCTTCGCTGCTTTTTTTTCTCTTTTCGGGTTTTACAGACATGTTTTATTTTGCCTCAGTTGTCTTTTATATCCATGTGTTCATAATTTGGATCTATAAATATACTGTTAATATTGTTGCTTAGTTCCTTTTTAAAGTCCTTTTTGTGGTGGTATTCTTCAGATTCAGGATGTCAGGATTTTGAGAATGAGTTTTGGAATCTCTTCTTTTTGACGATAAAGTCAATCTGATTCCTAATAGCTTTTTTGGGTGAAAAAGGTGTTCGTTATCACACAAAACTGGATTAGGCGTTTCCTTTATCATATATATATATATATATATATATATATATATATATATATATATATATATATATATATATATATATATATATATATATATGATAAAGGAAACGCCTAATGCAGTTTTGTGTGATAACGAACACCTTTTTCGCCCAAAAAAGCTATTAGGAATCAGAATCTAAACAAAAACGAAGATATTCTAATAATGCCAGCAGGCAAAGGAAATGCCACTGTCGTCATGAATACGTCGGATTATAATGCAAAATTGGAGGATATTTTGAACGACCCAATATACAAACTAGTTACCAGGGATCCTACGACATATTTGGAAAAAACAACTAAGTCCAAAATTCTCGATTCATCAATAAACGAGGATACAAAGAAGAAACTTATTCCGAGGGAAAAATCGAGTCGTTGCCCAAAATTCTACGGGCTCCCAAAGATCCATAAGGACGGGGTTCCCCTGCGTCCAATCGTAAGCGCCTTTAACTCACCATTATGCAAGCTGGAAAAACATCTGGCCAGTGCACTTCAGCCCATAGTGGAAAAGGCAGATTCCTATGTTAAAAACTCAGAACATTTCACTCAGATTTTAGGTTCTCTCAGGATGGACAAGGACGACATTATGGAAAGTTTCGATGTCAAATCCCTCTACCCGAGCATTCCAGTAGAAGAGGCACTCTTGCTTATAGAAGAAAACGAAGATCTTCCGCCGTACATAATAGACCTGTCAAGACATTGCCTGAAAAACGCTTACTTTATGTACAACGGGAAAATTTACCGACAAAATTGCCAACCTGTTCATGATTTACTTCGAAAAGAAAGCAATAGAGAAGGCAAATCTGAAGCCAAAACTATGGACAAGATACGTTGATGACGTATTTGTTGTATGGCCTTTTGGCAAGCAGGAGCTTTTGAAATTCCTAGATCATCTGAATTCCATTCACCCAAGGATTCAATTTACAATAGAACTTGAAGAGGATAACAGTTTGCCCTTTTTAGATGTGCACATCACAAGGGCCGAAGATGGACATTTGGAACACACTGTCTATAGAAAACCAACACACACTAATAGATATCTGCACGCTAAATCTCACCACCACCCATCACAGACACAGGCAGTGGCAAATACATTAATTGCTCGGTCCTTCAGGCTCACAAACGAGAGGAACAGAGATGAAGAACTGAAAAAAATTAGTACCTGTCTTCGACAAAACGGATACCAAAGGCGCACCAAAAAAATATAGCAGTATATATATATATAGTCATAGTCTTAGTTTTCTTGTGCAGGTTAAAGGTGTGATGCTTTCGATATAAAGCTTCAATTTATCTACATTCGTTCTGTAACCATTGTTCCTTTGTTTTTGTTGATATTGGCATTTATTTCCTTTCATTCTTCGCTGCTTTTTTTTTCTCTTTTCGGGTTTTATTTTGCCTCAGTTGTCTTCTATATCCATGTATATATATATATATATATATATATATATATATATATATATATATATATATATATATATATATATATATATATATATATATATATATATATATATATGTATATATATATATATATATATATATATATATATATATATATATATATATATATATATATATATATATATATACATGGATATAGAAGACAACTGAGGCAAAATAAAAAATGTCTGTAAAACCCGAAAAGAGAAAAAAAAAGCAGCGAAGAATGAAAGGAAATAAATGCCAATATCAACAAAAACAAAGGAACAATGGTTACAGAACGAATGTAGATAAATTGAAGCTTTATATCGAAAGCATCACACCTTTAACCTGCACAAGAAAACTAAGACTATGGCAGGAAGGACTAGTTTAGGCAGCAATAACTGGATCCTAGATAAACAAGGTAATCTTAAAATTGACAACGAGAGAAAACGGTGGGAGAATACGTGGGAGAGCTGTTCGAGGAAGAACAAAATTTCTGTAGTTAGGAAAAACGATAAGGCACAATTCCACGAGTTTAGGGCCAATAATAAAGTTTTGTATACAACAGAAAGCCAAAACCATTTTTAAGTGCCTCAGAAAAGCTCTATGTAACATGCACCTGAACATTACTATAAGAACTCGTATCCTAAGATGTTATGTATTCTCCACGCTCTTATACGGTACTGAAGCCTGGGCGTTTACACGTGCTACATCTAAGCGCTTGGAAGCCTTTGAAATAAGGTGATATCATACTCCTACCATGTCACAAACAACACCGTGATCCAGCGAATGCAAAATCAACTCGAAGTCATACATAATCTGAATGAAATAATCATTTTTTTCTGTGTTATACCAGAACGTATTAGCAATAGCCGTTTTAGGGTCTCTAATCAAGGAAAAAATAAAAGAATTATAATGAAAAATATAGCAGTATAATTAATTCGAATATTGACACAAATTTGCCTTACTTTGTTAGTGTTTTCCAAGTAATTACAAAAAATATCGAACAACAGCACAATACGAGAGCAACAAAAATTAACCAATGAGATATATACAGATTCTTAGTATCAGATATCAGACTTGCACAGCACATTTGTTTCTCTATCCCAAGCGTGTTTGCAGACATTTCTGAGTTTTAAATGTTTCCGGTCTTGCTTCAGCGGTATATGTCATGATTGGTCGGACTATAGATTTATATATGTGAGATTTTATTTCGATTATTAAATATTTATTCTTCCATATCGTGTCGTGCTATTGTATTGAATTTGCAGTTTGTCCTCTTATTTTATCCTCTATGTTATTATCATTGGATAATCTAATTCCTAAATATTTTTATGTTCATTTACCTGCTCTATAATTTGGTTATCAAGTTCCAGCTTACATCTAATTGGTTCTTTAGAGATTACTAGTGATTTAAATTTCTTTGCATTTATATTAAACCTCTGCAAATCATCTTCATTCTCTGCGTAACACAACATTTGTATTTTTTGTTACCCATTTTATAGCCATTTTTTGTTTTTACTTCTTTAATGATTTCGTCTAACATATTGTTAAATAATAAGGGGCTTTCCTAATACCTGTAGTAACATCTGTGAGCTCAGTTAGCTCTGAATTTACTCTAGCTTCTATTTTATTTCTTTTGTATATATGTTCGATTAGTTTTATTATATCGAATGGAATATTTCTGATATAAAGTATATGTATCACGCCCTGTAGCTGCACTTTATCAAATGCTTTTTCTAAGCCTATGAAGCATAAGAAAACTGGCCTATTGTATTTTTCTATATTTTGTCTAATTACAAATACTGCGTCAAACCTTGTTGTTCTTCACAGACTTTTACAAGTGAAGTTATTTTGTCGGTAATATTTTTTGTTATCAATTTCAAAGTCGTGCATAGGAGGTTAATTCCTCGATAATAATTTGAATCTCCCCCTTTTTAAAAAGTGGTATCATTATGCTTGTAATCCAGTCTTCTGGTATTTGTTATTATGAACTTTTTGATATTGTATCGGTTTTACATTCCAAAAGCGCTCCTTTTGCTTCGTTTTTGAATCTTTCTCCAGCTATTTTTTATATCTTCTTCTTCTATTACTGAGTTTTCGTTTATAAATATAAAAACTTTTATAAAAAAATATATAAACTTTTTTATTAGTTTTTTCATATTTGTTTATTTTCATTCTTATTTTCCCTAAAACAAAATTGTGGTTACTTCCTACGCGAGCAGAACATATCTTATATCTAGTATTTGTGTCTAAGGTATTTCCCTATTTGTTAAGGTATAGTCCATCATTGATTTATCCCCTCGTGTGTTTTGGAATGTATATTTATGTTGTTTTTTGTGTCTAAAAAAGGTGTTATTGATTCGTAATTCGTTTTGTGAACAGAAGTGTACTGTCACACTTTCATTCATTTTTTGTTTCACCACTGGCATTATTGCGGTCCCTACTCCATTCCATTCCATGATAATAAAAATCATAATTATCTCTCTCTTTGGTATAGTGTCTATTATCTCTTGTAATTTCAAACAAAATTTTAGTCTGTCTTCTTCTGATTTGCTGTTTTCTGGCCTATAAATTCCAATTGTCAGTTTTTTGGTTTTTTGATTTCAGTTCAAATAGTATAATTCTTTCCGTTATATATATATTTGTATTCCTGCATATTTTGAGACGGTTTTCTATGGATCATTAGTGGTTCACCCTCTTTTGCTATGACGTGTCTTTCCACTCCACTGTATTTGTATATGGAACACATTTGTATTTTGCATTTCTTTTTTATTTTTTGTAGTGCACATGCCTCTACATTTCTATCCCTTAATTCGTTTTCAACTTACTGATCTTTATTATTTAGTGTTTTTGTATTCCATGTTGCTATTCTATATTCTTTTTTAATAGCTACTTATTCTCCTTCGATGTCGTCATCACATTATCAATCCTGTTCCAACGCATTACATTGGTTCTGTGGGCCGTGTATAGTTTTTGCAGTGGGTTACTAACCTTGCCCACAAACTCTCCTCCTTTACCCGGGCTTGGAAACGGCAATGACAACGGTAGAGCTACTCAATCCACCCTGCCATTGCCCCATTCGGAGTTTTTTTATTTATTATTTGATTAATTCCTAAAATCACCTACGTGCGCTATTAAAACCAACGGTTTCTAACTTTTGCAAGCGGTAAGTTTTCCAAAGCTCCTTCAGCTTCTCAGAATTAAAAGAACCATTATTTAAAAAAAATGATGACGATTTCGATGAGCCGAAACGTCGTACTTAAAATATCTCAACACTAGCTTGTAACACGTAAAAAGTAGCAAGGACAAAGTGACCTTTTTGTATATCTTACGCTTTCATATTTTGCAAAATGGGCATAATTTTGTAATTGCGTGATAACTCGAATCGAATGTCGTAATATGACACAACAGTCTATTAGCATTCGTTGCTAAACATTCAGATTTTTATTTAAAATGGTTGACAGATAGTTAACAATTTTCATGATGAGTTGATGAGTGTTTTTCCAAACACTTCCTTCCCATTCCGATTAAAAAAAATAAATAAGGTGGCCAATATTTTTTAAATAAAGATCATAGTCTCCCATTGCCATATCTTTAAATGGTTTTCCGATCCCCATAGGCCATCGAGTTTAGAGAACCATGTATATTTTCTTGGCCAATATTAACCCATCAAAAAAATAGATCGCAAAAAGTGCGGTCTCGGTTATGTAAAATTAATAAGTTTGGCAATCAATAATTTTATATCAGCTTTTTTCAATGAATTATTTTCCATATCTCAAAACCGTAGCAGACAATAATCAATCAGTGTATTATCGGCCTATGGAAAATTAATCAAATCACTCTCACATAACGTGCAACAATTGGTTTTATATTTACCTTACACTCACGTCAGTTTCAAACCAGACGTCTTCACCATTGATCAAACATGTAATCAGATCGTGGCACGCGCAGAAAAAGTTCATTAGTATGACAGACAATGAAGAGCCTTGCATCAGAAATATTCTCAAAGGGAATGGGAAATGCCAAAGCCGAATTCAGAAAAAAGTTGTTTCGTTATTGTGTTGTGTTGCAATTTTTTTATCTATAGAAATGAAGCAATTTTTTGGAGCAAAATGGGCTTCATTATTTTGTGTATTGAATTTTGTTTTTAGGGGTTGTCTTTTAAATTTTATTGTTATTTGCAAAAGCAAAGCAAAATCGCAAAAATCGACCTGGTTTGTCTTTTCGATGTAGGTCACGTATAAAATTTAAATTTCAGTTTAGTATCTTAAGATATGCGCATCAATCAACTTGTACGACTGTGAAAAAATTGAAATCTGTATTTAGTAAGATAATCATAATATCGGTGTCTTTATCTTAAATGCGACACACTGTATACTAACAATATTAATTTATCCATTCTCTACAACTAATTTCTGAACCACTCTTATATTTAGGGGTAATTTAGGTTACATATTGAAATACAGCAATTGTTTATTGACTTGTTTCATTTTTTTAAATTTTCAATACCTACAACTTTTTAAGCAAATTGTTTATTGACTCGTTTTATTTCAGTTTTTAATTTTTTGCGTTATATTTTTCAATTCCTTTAGTTTTTTAAACAATGTGTCCTTTCGTACTTTTTATGATCGTATATTTGGAAGCCGAAACTTTTATCTGCAATTATCAGACGATGAAAGAATGAGCGTTCATCTTTTTTCCAATTAGGTGTTTTCTGCGGGGTATCTAGTATCTCATAAAGTTACATTTAGACTTAAAAGAGTTATTTTTTGTGAGTTCGACTTTATATACATTTTTCGTTGGAAATATTTACCTGCCGCTAGAGGACGTTTGTCAGAACTGCGAAAATAATACAAATTACAAAATTTCGATGTCAAAGTGTCCCTTACTTTTAAATATAAAGAAGCATAAAAAAAACTAAGAAGTAATTTTCAAAATTTGTTTCGTCCACACAAATAATTATTTTTGAGGAGTATATTTAAATCTCTATAATTTTGTGAAATCAGAGAAAATTGAGAATAGGTTATTTGTTTTATTTTAAAAATGTTCCAAGTGTTTCTTTTCTAGATTTCTGTCAGGATCCAAATTATTTACTTACTTATTAACGACACGTTCCGATTGGGACACAAATGCGCTATGTAACTGCTCAATAACCTCAACTGTGAACAGTGAAGTGGTCACTAATCGTATCGAAATCGTCACCAAAATCCAAAAGAGCTAAACTAGTAATTTGCTTGAAATGTTTCTTGTAGCGAATATTGTTTAGTAATATAACTGGAGCAGTCTGGTCCAACCCCGACTTACCATCTGGGACAAACTTTTCTAAATTTGTTGTTATATATTTTAGCTTCTGTTTAAAAGTGCAATGTAATCGACCCGTTTGCTATTAACCACACAAATCATACTAGACTAGAAAACACACGATACTTGATTAAATATGTTTTTACCAACCTTTACCAAATTCAGATCCATCAAGTGTAATTTCCTTCAATTGCGATTTCTTTCAGTCACTTTAATTTCCAAAATTTTCCACAAATAACAATCAGCACACCGTGCAATATCTGATCGGATTGCGAAAAACCGATAGAGTCATTGTCACTTAAAATCTGTCAATCGGTTTTATATTTACACCAATTTTTAAGAGGAGCACTTCCATATTGATCAAACAAGTAATCATATTTCTGCGTGTGACGTAAAATGGGCGATGATGATAACGCGTGTGTGAGAAATATTGTCAAAGAAATTATTCGGGAATGTTTTCCAAAACAAATCCAAGTTCATAAAAATTTTGTAACATATCTGGTAAGTTATTACATTAAACAAAACGCAACCATAAGTTTTCATTTTGAAAGAAGGGTAGTTATGAGAATTAAAATATGGAAGCACCACTCATACTCGGCTTTAGTGATTTTTGTTTTAATTTGTTTTCTAGAAGCATTTTCTAGCCACCAGCTAGCTAACTATTCAGAATGTGTGGGGTCTTGCGTTGCGGTATCTGAGTGTATAAGAATTTAATAATATTGTTCAAATGTAAAATATTTGAATTTTCATTTTTGAGGTATGAATTAAATTTAACGACTTCACTCAAACGTGGATTTTCAAATGGGTACTCGTGATTTTCAATTCTTAATCTAATCGTTAAATATTTCCCCTACTATATTAAGAACGGATACCACTTCATTGGTAAATTTGAAAACACATACATCTAGCGAGCCATGTAAAAATAAAGCAGTTTATTTTATAAAAAAAATTGGTGTCATTATTTTTTGCATTTAAATTTAATTTTTGCTACATTGGCAATGGTGATGTATATTTTTTTGGACAGCTAGGGATAAAAAATTTTAGATTATTTTGAGGACGCCCACATTCTAGAAGGCGACATTAAATTAAAATGTCAGTTGAAATTCGAAAGTTTTCGATTTTTTATCTTTATTTAATCTTTAAAATAATCTGTACCTACATCCGTCCCTATGTACCCCAGATTCAACAGAAAATATATAAAAAAGTCAAATTTTTTTTCCCGAATTTTACAATTTTTTTGTCAGATATGGTACGTTTTTTTTTGCACTACACACAAAATGTATAGAAAGTTTGTTAAAGTTCGCCTAACAAAAATTTTAGTTTCAGTTGTGCAATCTGACACTATTATTGCTGAATTATTTGAAGATAAATTTAACCCTTTTTGAATATGAAGTGTATTTTGCTAGATTTTGGTTCGAATAATATATCAATATTATAACAATTCATTTACTTTTTGATATATAAAGACATCAATTAGAACATTTACCTTTTTAGCTACCAAATCCAAAGCGATAATAAATAAATCAATTTTATAGGACCTTTAAAATAATTGCCAGTAGATTTGAATTCGACAGAAATGAGCATCTCAATGTTTTTTATCTGTATGTCCTGCGCACAGGACTACACGGGTCGACTACCATGCACAAAATTCCTCTAGATGGGTACGCCATCACACATGGTGTACCACCATTGCATATTTTACTTTTTACAAAACTTCTGGATTCCTCCTGAGTCGAAATTGCTGACGTTTCGCCAATCATCCTGTTGGCTTCTTCAGAGCTTGACTGAAACTGGCTTGTATTTTACTCTGTACCTGCTTATATATTGTTTGAGGGGGGCGGAGCTAAATGAGGGGCATAAACACCGTCTCGGATACCTGATTCCCAAATTGGTGACCTGAGTCGCGGTTAAGATTGTTAGATTGTTGATAGATTTCTGTAGACTCTCGGATTTTTCGTTGGTAGAAGAACTGATTACATGCAAGAATTTTAGTTTTATCGAATAAAATTTTATGTCCGGTTCCATGAGTGTGTTCGGCTACAGCTGATGAGTTTATTTGTCTTAGTTGTAAGGCTCTTTAGTGTTCTTTGAGCCTAGTTGATATTTTTCATCCGGTCTCTCCAATGTATTCTTTGTCGCATATGCATGGAATGCTGTAAACTCCTGGCATCTCAAATGTAATTTGGTCTTTGACGGACCGAAGATGTTGAGAGATTTTTGGACAAGTGGTAAATCTGGTCTTGACGTTATACTTCTTTAGAACTTTTGATATGTGGTCAGTGATGTTTTGAATGTAAGGAAGGACCACAGTGGCAAGTGTAGTATTGCTTTCGGTCTCATTGCTATGGGGAGGCTGTGGTGAAGTGTATTTTTTGATGGAACACTTAATATCTTTAATGTGCAAATTATTAGAGAGAAGAGCAGAAGTAGGGTGCTTTAATTCTGGCTTCAGTGACTCGGGCTGAGATAGTTTTACGGCTCTGTAAACAAGAGAGTTGATAAGCGATGATTTTTGTTGATGGTGATGTGACCATTGGTCTGTGTGCGCAGGTTTTCTGTAAACACAATGATCTAATATTGGGTCTGATTTTCTATTGATGAGAATATCTAAGAATGGATGGTAATTATTAGTTTCCAACTCAAAGATAAAACGTATGTTAGGGTGTATAGAGTTTAAATGTCCAAGAAAATCTACTAGGTAGGGTCAGGCCAAATTACAAAAGTATCATCGCGTAGCGTTTCCGTAATTTTGGTTTTAGATGAAGAGCTTTCTTCTCAAAGGCTTCCATAAATATATTCGCGATGACTGGTGATAGTGTAGAACCCATAGCTCTTCCCGACGTTTGTTCAAAAATTTGACCGTTATAAGAAAAACATGTTCCGGATAAGCATTTTTCAATTAAGGTGAGGTTTGTTTCCAGATTCTCGAATTTTAATATATCTGAAATGATGTCGAGAGTTTCAGGAATAGGAACTTTGGAGTCGAAACTAACTAGAATATCTTGTGAATCTAATGTAATGCTTTTTAATTGTTCAATGAAGTGAAAGGAATTAAGTACGAACCTGTCAGTTTTCCCTATAAGGGGTTTTAATAAGGAAACTTATTTTTCCGTTTCCGAAAGTTGGTGCGATGATACATTTATTACAGTGTTTGGTAGTTTAGAAGAGTTTGATGGTTTTCCTAGTGTTGACGTTAGTGTTTCAAATTTCTGATTGTGATTTTGAGTAGTAGATAAATGAAGATTTAAAATTTCGAGAAAGAATTCATCATACCCGTAAGGAAACAGATCAAATCAATAAAGCTCTTCTGTCTCTACACCTTGAACTTTTTTCAATTTTGTTCCCATCCAAGTTACAGGGAAAACTGACAGTTTCGTACTTAATTCCTTTCACTTCATTGAATAATTAAAAAGCATTACATTAGGTACACAAGATATTCTAGTTAGTTTCGACGTAGAATCCCTCTTTACCAAAGTTCCTATTCCTGAAACTCTCGCCATCATTTCAGATATATTAAAATCCGAGAATCTGGAACCAAACCTTCTCACCTTAATTGAAGAATGCTTATCCGGAACATGTTTTTCTTATAACGGTAAAATTTTTGAGCAAACGTCGGGAACAGCTATTGGTTCTCCACTATCACCAGCTATCGCGAATAATGTATGGAAGCCTTTGAGAAGAAAGCTCTCGACACCTTTCATCTAAAACCAAAACTATGGAAACGCTACGTCGATGACACTTTTGTTATTTGGCCTCAAAAATACACCCTAATATACGTTAGATATTCTTATCAATAGAAAATCAGACCTAACATTGGGTCATTGTGTGTACAGAAAACCTAAGCACACAGGCCGATACCTTAATGCATGGTCACATCACCATCCGGCCCAAAAATCATCGGTTATCAACTCTCTTGTTTACAGAGCCGCAAAACTATCTCAGCTCGAGTCACTGAAAACAGAATTAAAATGCCTGCTCTTCTCTCTAATAATTTCCACATTAAAGATATTAAGTGTTCCATCAAAAAATACACTTCACCGCAGCCCTCCAATAGCAATGAGGCCGAAAGCAATAATACACTTGCCACTGTGGTCCTTCCTTATATTCAAAACATCACTGGCCACATATCAAAAGTTCTAAAGAAGTATAACGTCAAAACCAGATTTAACACTTGCTCAAAAATCTCTCAACATCATCGGTCCATTCCATGCATATGCGGCAAAGAATAAATTGGAGAGACGAGACGAAAAATATCAATTAGGCTCCAAGAACACGAAAGAGCCTTACGGCTAGGGCAAATAAACTCATTAACTGTTGCCGAACACGCTCATAAATCCGGATATAAAATTTTATTCGATAAAAGTAAAATTCTTGCATGTAATCAGTTCTTCTACCAACGAAAAGTCCGAGAGTCTATAGAAATCTATAACCAAACTAACAATCTTAACCGCGACTCAGATCTCTAGCTGTCTCCAATTTGGGAATCAGTCATCCGAGACGGTTTTTATGCCCCTCATTTAGCTCCGTTCCCTCAAACAATATATAAGCAGGTGCAGAGTAAAATACGAGCCAGTTTCAGTCAAGCTCTGAAGAAGCCAATAGGATAATTGGCGAAACGTCAGCAATTTTGACTCAGTAAAAACCGACGCAGGAGGTATCCAGAAGTTTTGTAAAAAGTATTACAGTAGCCCGTGGAAGTTTCTTTGAAAAATTTATTGCGTATTTTATTCTTAATTCTATAAAACCGAGAAATGCGACATAACCAAATGTCTCAGATTTAAAACCGCACACTATAGAATTGTGAGATTTGCGGCTAATTTCAATTTATTTGGAATGGAAACACCCAAATGAGCAACAGAGGCCCAAGGCAGAACCCTGTGGACCCGCAGTCCTTAAAATATTCAATTTATTTTTACATTTCGTTTCGGTGTCTTGTATTATTCCCCTAAAAGACATTCTTCTAGTTCATCCAGAAAAATACTAACACTGAAAACGCGAAAAACTTTTCCCAAATCTACTGCATTGGATATTTCCCTATTATCCAAAGCGTTAGAACTGTTCGCAGTATGTCCATAATGGAACTCTTCGGTCGCATTTTTTTTTTCTAAATATATGATAAAATTTCATTTTTTATAAATTTTTTTGTTATTTCTGAAAATGCCAATTAAAAAATTGGAATTACTTTCTTGTTTTTAATTTGGAAAGTTTCTTAAAATTCAGGTTCCTAGAAATCCAACACTTAATCTCAACAAGATACTTCCACAGAACTATTAGATCACTAACCACTTCGCCGAAAGCAGGAGAATTAAAAGTGCGGTAGCTGCAGCTCTACCGAGAATGTAGAGGTCACAGTAACCTAAAAATCAATAAAAATTTTCATGTGATTTTCCTTACCATTTAGGACATAAAGTCGCTATCCTGAATACGGTATTTAGTGAATTACCAACATATATCGAAAATGCGTTTCCACCTGCCTGTGGAGTTTAATCAAAAAGACGAACCCAGATAAAATTCTATGGGTATGACAAAAGTCGCAATGGATTATTTGGATTGCAATGACTAAGTCTGCCAAATCTTGAATCATAAACCAAAGATACAAATTAAAAAAAAAGTTGTAAGTATTGACAATTTTGTCCCCAGTGTAATTCTGTATTTGGATATCATTATACAATCTTCACAGTTGACTTAAAGTTCTAGCGCAAGATAGTATAGTCTACATGGTATATAGTATAGTATATTATAGTATATATGGTACAGGATAGTGCAAAAATAAAATAAAAAAATTTGTTTCCATACGATTTTTTTTTCAGACCAAATTGCTTCTAATGGATCCCAATTGGGGTATAAGTGAAGACTTTTTCGTCCGAAGGGAAAACGTGCAAAAGTTCGTCGGATACGTGCTGGAAGAGATGTTAGAAAAGCAGGATCGACCCTTAGTATGCACCCTCAAAATCCAGTTTTATTTTGACTGCAACTTAAAACATGTGGATTACGTGATCGAAACAAATCGAAATGATATTCGGAATCGTCTGGCTAGGCTAAAAGACGACATATTTTGCTCACAGAATGTATCCGACAAAGAAGAATTGGATAAACTATTCAGGAAGATCGTTTATTATATAACATTGATATCAGGCTTGGGCAATCCTACTCAAACACGGGTAAGCGGAACTGAAAGAAACCGACACAATTTTAAATTATGGTAAACCAGGAGACAATGACCATTCATCCAAGGATGTGATATTAGTTTTATTCGTTCAACATTTCTTGGTTTCTACAATAAATGATAGATCAAAATTGCTTTTGCTTGGGCATAGAACAAGTGTGAGAATATTTGTGTTATGCATAGGTCTAATTAGTAATTAGACGCTATAGGTCATCTACATTATCTGGGTTTAGAAATGCATCGTCTGCATCCTTTTTTGTTTTTCTTCTTTTGTTTGGCTTCGTTAAATAGTGAAGTATTGAAAATTGGTAGGAGAAGATGCACCCTTGACGGATACTTTTTTGTTCGACATGTCCTGCCCCAACGTTACTTTGAACGCCCCATCTATACCTAATCTTGTTTGTATTTCTACCATCTTTCTGTGCTTTACTTTTTTAAAAGTCTATTCGAAGTCAACAGCGGTAACCAAAAGGAAATGGATTACCGATGTAACTATCCTCTTTTACACAGGAGGTTTAAGTAATTTCCTGCTTTGACATGAACTCTTGTTCTTAGCTAAAATAGCACGCTCAAGCTAAAATCATTTCATTTCTAGATATATTTCTGCTCCTCTCTTCTTTTTACGAAAAACAAACCCTCAAAGAAGATGCCACTGCCGTCATTTACTATTTGTTGTATGTCTGAGTGTAAAATGTACCCCTTCGCACAGACGTCTAAACAAGGTCGATGATATTATTGCTGAACTTTTTCAGGGTGTTAAGAAATCAGAAAAAATGAAGAACATCATTTCTAGTCCGTCCGACTTGTCATGGCATAGTCGGCAATAAAATGCCAGACAAAATAAAATTCATTGTTCGTCTTGCTTCTACTTATACTTTAATAAATGTTCTTCCGACCTAAATCTGTATCTGATCAATGCAAGACAGCCGTCACTAACGATCACAATTATATTGCTTGGGAGTAAGAAAGACAGAATCAGTGGTTTTCGATTAATAGCAATGTCTAGGAATGGAAGAGTGTTATTTTCTAATTCGAATTCGAAAGGTTTGAAGCCGTGTGGCCAGTCCACAGTTTCGGCTTAAGTTGGAACTTATCAATGGCTAGTTTTTCAAGATGGTCCATAACAATATTAGCGACAACAGGGGAAAGTTTGCAACCCATGGCTGCTTCTAATATTTGTTCGTAAAGTTATCCGTTATATATGAAGTGTTTTTTAAAAAGACATTTTTCGATTAAAATGAAAAAGTCTGCAGGAAGATGTTCGAACAGAAACAGGAACTTTAGCAAAGATAGTTTCAACGTCAAAAATAACTAGAGTGTTTGGATCTAATTTAACATTTTTCAATTCTTGAAAAAAACGAAAAGAATTAAGCACAACACTGGAAATTGTTCCTGTGATAGCTTTTAACGACAGATTTAATTTTAGATTTTAACCAACACCTTTTATGAGTTGGAGATAATAGCTGTCTGGGAGAATGTATAAAATTTTTTCTTGGTAGTCGCTGATAACAGCAGCGTTTACCTTATCTACTTTTAAGATTACCATCTCTGGATCATATCTCAATGATTTTTAATGCAATAAACTCTCTGATTTTGGAATATTTGGTTGGGGCTTCAACTTTTTTGAAAACTTTGACTGCCTCAAAACGGATCTCAGTTGAACTTATTAATGATAATTTATTTAAAATAGATTCAAAGTTATATAAATTATTTCTTCTTTGGGATCAATACGTGGAGCTTTTGTAAAAACAAAAGGTCAAAAAAAAAGAAAATAAGCTTTTTATCATCTTGAAGTGCTGTTCACCGTGCCATTACGATTTGGCATAAATAATTGAATAATGAACAGAATATTTTACAGAAGTTACCAAAACAAAACAGGCCCCTTAAATACTACCCGTGCCAATTGAAAAACGACAATCTGGTTTATAATGTATTTGATTCATATTTCATATTTTCACAAATTTGGTGTCGCATTCTTCGAATTAACTTACGTTTAGAAAATTTATTAAAAAAATGGCCAATACTCACCCATTTATCGTCACTATATCTGTGCCTGCTCTATGTATGATATGTGGTCTGTGGCTAAAAATAAATCTAGTTTTAATTTGCACTTGTTTTCGTCCTTTTTTATATACAGAGTACTTAAGTTTTAGAATCTAGAAAATTATAGGTTTAACAATATATAAATTAATTATGTTCGTTTTCTTCTCAGAGGCTTCAAAATCAACATATATATAAAGCCTATAAAATGAAACCTATTGCAAAAATATATGGAGAAAGAACAGAAAGAACTTTTGGAGGTTTCTGAACTGAGCTAAAAGTCCACAAAATATCATAAATTTGGTGGTATATTCTACTCCACGGCAATGAGCAATTCTGGTATTTTTGCTGCTATATCGTGTTTCAAGCGATGTTTAATTCCATGTTGATCTGCAATTTTAAAAGAGAGAGATATTTAACCTTCCCTGGTTCTACCAAAAGAAATTGCGTCAAGTTCCTTAAGATGAATATTAATAAAATTTTGTAGTTTTAATAATCTTTGACTATCATCTTTTGACTGCATTCTTAAGATTAACTGCAAATTCTCAAGAAAATGGAAAAGCACAGAGGAAAGTTTAAGCGCGAACGTCTCATTATTTTGAATGAATGAATGAATGAATCGAAGTGAATCAATTTATGTGTGGCCTCCACCAGAAGGAGGGTCAACTTTTGAGCAACATGCATAAAACTCCGCGGCACTCTGCTCTATCCTCCCCTACTATGACTATCGCAATTTATACAAGATCTTTCAGGTATAACTAAAATAACTTTAGGTATCCATTGAACTAATCGGAATAATGATACATTTTGATTTTTTCTTCATTGCTCTTAAGCAAGCAACTTTCTCCGTTGCTTTTTTTTTGCAGTTTCAGTCAAGCTCTGAAGAAGGATGATTGGCGAAACGTCAGTAATTTCGACTAAGCAAAAATCGACGTAGGAGGAATCCAGAAGTTTTGTAAAATGTATTACAGTAGCCCGTGGAAGTTTCTTTGAAAAATTAGCTTTTTCCGTTGTTAATTTTCGTTTATATGTTGCCTAGTTTTAGAGACACAGTAAGACTATCATGGAAAAGGCTCAAAACAAAAAAAAAACACTGAAACACTGAAAGTTGGCATGTTTTTAATGGAAAAAACGACGAACATCATAAAAATACGTTTTTAAAACCGCAACAACAAACTTACAATAAAGGCTCGAAATGCAATGCAAGTATTTATTGGTGTTGCATAAGCCATACCCTTAACGTGACCCCAAACATAATAATCAGGCCTATTGAAATCAGGTGAATTATATGAGGAGGCAGAAAATGTAATCCAAACAATTTACTGTTACCTACAACAACAATCCACATATTTATATTGAAACCGTGCTGAAATGGAGACTATGATAGTTCACGACTGCAGCTCTTTTGAAATTAGACACATTCGACAGACTAAAAAAATCAACATACAAAATATTAGTCGTCTTCCAACATCGCCAGGTACCAAAAATTGACCAGGCTGTAAATCGAAGGTATTTCGGCGATCTTAGGAGCTCTAAAAACTTTAGATTATCATACACCGAGTTGTTGAGCTCGTTGTCTATTAATTAAGAAATCTGTTTTGATCTTTTTGAACGATGAATTTCCACAAAAATATGTCCGGAATTTTGTGGAATATCTCAAACACTAAGCGAATAAAAAGTTAGCAAAAAGGCGAATCTGAGAAAAAGAAATTTATCCAGTGGCGTGCTACAAAAAAATTCAAGTTCTGTGCAGTTGACACTTTCAAAAACAATACCCTATATAACAATTAATATAATTTTTTTTTCTCGCATATCTTCAATATTGCCCTTAGTATTTATTAGATGATCAAACACTTGCGTGTTTAGATCATCTGACTTACAAGCATTAAAATAAAAACCAAACTTTGGCGACATTTTACTCCAAGCGAAAGCGTTTTTGGTTAGTTGTTTTGGTTACTTGGAGTATAGTTTATAATACAAACTGTCATTATTTAGATTAGTTCTATCGATAGCTAAAATTATTCTAGTAACACTTGAATCACCCTGTATTTTATTTTTTATTTTATTGAAATGTACATTTCAGGTATTTCAGGAAGTTTCGTCAGCACTTAAAAGTGCATTAGACGATGATGAATTGAAAGCCTTCATGAGGTCTTCGAAAATATCGAAACACGAATTAATGGAGCAATTAATTAAAGTCGTGGCTGGCATTCGATTGTTTAATAAGGACTGCGGCAAAGGCGGCGAGGGTATTGAAAACTGTAAGTTTAACAATTTATCTGAGTGTATGAGAAAATGATATACCATTTCAATATTGCTTACTAACCACATTAAATTAACAATATTTCTGCTTGATCCCGGACGAATTGAGTGACAGAGAGTTGTTTCCTAAATTTGTTCTATATTTAGACTAGCAGAATAAAGCAGACATCCTAGTCATTACCACCCAAGTATTAAAATAAAATTAAAACTGTTTTGGACAGTCTAATATGTTATTAACAATATTATTAAAAAAAAAACGCCAGGGTATACATTTCTCCTAACAGATAAATTCGTATATGAACAGGCGTATCACAAAAAATCGACTTTTTGAAATAATGTGCTCAGTTTTTCTCCTTAGGCGATGTCTCCTTGCAGTTAAAGTAATTTCTAAAAGCAAACAAAAGGGCGGATCTCAATTATGCCTTTATGCTTGCTATATATATAGTGAGTCAATAGTTTTTAAACACCGCCTTTTTAATAGAAGCCACGCCCTTTTAGTTTTTGTTGCTTGTATATTTCTATAGATGCTAGGATTTTTCGTTGATAGAAGAATTGATTGCATGCATGCTAGATTTTACTTTTATCGAATAAGATTTGATGTCCGATATCATGATTGTGTCCAGCAACTAGCTGATAAGTTTATTTGTCCAGTAATCTGGACGCACCTCGATAATCCAGACGAGATAAGCATTTTCCAGTTTGAACTTGTCAGAAAGATAGTGCTCGGAAGGAGGCATTCCCTGTAAATCATTTAGGTCACCTATTAAAATCGACGAGTAATATTTAGAGTGTAAAGTGAACAAGAACTAAAAGAAAGCTGATAAATATGGTGTTGGAAAATCCAGAAAGCAGAAAGAAAATTTAGCTGGTATCTTGAAATGGAAAAGACATTGTTTTTCTGGTTTCTCCAGGAAAGAGCAAGCGGTATGTACAACATGCAGCTATTAAGTTAGAGTGTGCATTTACATAATGAGAAATGAAAATCTTATGTTTATTAATGATTATTAACATAAGTGTTCTTCATTTCACGTCTTCTATTTTTAGGTGATATAAATTCTTTGTAAGCCAATTAATTCGTCACAATAAAGAATTCTAAGCGACTTCTGAGTGGCTTCAGAAATTCAAAGACAGGTTTGGTATAAGGCAACTGACTCTTTGCATGGAATCACTTTCTAGCAACCTCGATGCAGTAGACCAATTTAAAGCGAAACTATTACAGAAAATTAATAACTTGGATCTTAAGATATACAAGATTTATAACGTGGACAAATCTCACAAGCTGTTAAGCTTTATTACTGACAACAATCGTCCATTCGAAAACTGATATTCCTACAACACTCAAAAATTTAATAAAAAATCATAGAAAAAGCTCTTATACCTCAGCTTAAAGACTTATTTTCCCATGATGAAGAAGATTCCATCCCTTAGTCGGTTTGGGCAAGTACACTAAAAGAGTTCCAAGTTAAGAGAACAGCTGGCAACAGAAATAAATAAGACGGAAACAGCCTCAAAAGATAAATAATCTATCTCCAGTGAAGCGGTTTTATCGTTTAACACTTGTATAAAATGAGCATGTGAAAATTATGCGGCTACGATAAAGGGAAGAATTTGAAGAAATAAAAGTCGATTAAAGATTTCCTTTCTGTTTGTAAACGTTGTATATTTTATATTCGCTTGTTTTTACCAATTTCTTTGATATTTTGTAAATTTACTTTATGTTGTATACTTTTTTTTTGTTTTCTAAATTCAGTTTTTCTATTAGGCATTTGATGGCTTAAGTTTTATGTCACACGAACCTATGAATAATTGGTAATAGGTGAACCAATATCATTAGTGTATAGTAGATACAGTGGAAGTAATTAAATCTAAACCTGATTTTTCGTATTTTGAAAAAACAACCTATTTTGATTATTACTAAACATATTTTAACGGTATTGGGATGTTAATTTTATAGAATAAACCACATTCATCTCATCAACACTGAGCAATGAGCGCAGACTTTGTTATATCGAGCGGGTGATTGGTCGGACTTTAGTAAAAAAAATTTCAGTGCCAGAACTGCTTAATAAAGCTATAGATGTAATCAAGGAGGGACTTCAAATGACTCTTCTAAATGTAATGGAGAAAGTGAATACGTTGACTACTATCATTGACCGATGCTACGTTTCCAAGAAGACTTATGACCAATTCGAGATGTTATTTGAAATCCCAAAAAATATTGTCGATTTCGTCGCTGGATTTGATATTGAATATACGAAAGACCTATTGGTGTTTTTCAGACAATACGAGTTGATTGTGAGGTACTAAGAGTTCATTCAAAGCGATAGTTTTACGTCCTAGTCATAACTTTCACAACTCCTATTTTGTAAGCCAACGCAAATGCACTTTATATTTGTTGCCACGTTGCCTGAATAACGTTAGAATAATAATAGATATTATTATTATAGAAATATGTATGCCTATAGTTACGCAACAATACATGCAAAATCATTAATCACTGGGAACTTATTCCCTATTTCCCGGCGATCCTGATGATCAAGATAAGTGCAGTGAATTAAATTAGGATAAAATTCATTTAAATGTGTTTCTGATTTAATTATGTTTTAGCAGCATCGGTAAACAAGTACACAACTTTATCAAACGGTATAAAATTAACTAAAAACATGTTGGTCGAACTGTCCTGAATATATTAAATTAAATTAATGAAATCGTGGTTTTATGAAGAAATAAAAGGATAGTACATTTTTTATTTTTAAAACATGCTATTCAATTCAATTCAACTATTCAATAATTTTGAACACATTTCGAATTCCAAAACTCAAACCCTTTCACAGATATTTATGTAAAATATTGTGAATGACCGTTTTGAAAAACCATTAAAAACAAGAAGGTTCTTCCATCCCCTCTCACAACTTGAAAATATACAAACAAAAAAGGGCACTTCCTCCTTATGAAAATAATTAGGACCGGCTAAAGGTTCCAACTACCGATTAATGCAGTGATTGATGTGTCTGGAATCTGATGCAAATGTGCCAACAAATTTCAAATTATACGACGTCCCATAAGGAAATCTACAAAACAGTCTAAAAATGCCTAAAATATGCACAATATGAATTATTACATCATACATACATATTATTAAAATGTTTGAACACGGTGCTGGAGTATGCAACAATTATACGCTTGCGTATTTTTATATAAAAAGGCCACTTGGATCATCGGTTTGAGTCGTATTTTATCAATTTTGCTGACAATGATTGAAAATGACTACTTTTTCATTAAATTATTTTATTGTATCGTCCTAAAAATAATTTTTGCTCTATTTTATTGCAAAACAATGTTAAAAAAACTTGACGTACCTTTCATTCTCGAATAAATCTTTGAAAAAGATGAACCTATTAAATTATTGCCTACCTTATACGGGGCATCTCAGATTTCATGTTTTTATATATAAACCTGTTTTAGGGGCATTCTTGAACAACTAGACATTTTAGCGCATAAAGCAGACAGTATATTTAAGGCCATGGAGAAGGTTTTAAAACATATTCACGAAACAGTGTTTATGCGCGTAGCTGTAACCATTCAAGTGGTGTTCGTAAGTAATTTATTTAGTCTTAAGCTGCATTTTATCAAATTATTACAACCTTTATTGATTAATAGGCTTAACATATTCGCAAGGGTGGTTTCGTGCTAACAAACTTAACCTCAATGAAGCAAAACACAATAAATTATATTTTCTTTACGCGAGTCAACTTTCAACAACCCATTACATGTGAAATGTCTTGGGGTTCTGCTTGATCCGAAATTGACGTTCGAGCAGCATATTATTGGTCTTTGTGTAAAGTTCTTCAGGGTGGTGTACTTGTTGCGCGGTTTGGTCGGCGAGGTCTGTCAAAGTATAATCAGAATGGTATATTTTTAATTCTTTCAGGGATTATTTAGTTATGCAATTTTAGTTTAGGGTCATTCCTTACATACCGAAAGAGTTTTTTCGATACAGAGACGAGCCATCAGGGCGATGACACAGTTGAATTATAGGGATGACGACGGTATTAAAATATACTAAAAGCAACCAGGATCAATATCCCCTTCATATTAATGTTTGCCACCATCTCACCAGAAACAGAAATGATATGTTGATTAAATACTCAAGAATTGCAAAGACTAGAAATTATAAGAACTATTACGGACCTAAATTCTTTAATCTATTGCCTCTAAGCGTTGGAGAGCTGCCGGAGAGACAATTCTCTATTAAGGTCAAATCACTTCTGCTGGATGGGGCCTATTACTCATTTGATGACTTTTTTACCAATTTTAATAATGTTTAGCGTTTTCTGTGTTATGTCGCGGTGCCTTTGTAATTATACATATAGGGTAAACTTGCCTAAATCGTACTTGCGCGTAAATCGTACCACCTAAATTACTCAGAATTTATAAAACATACAGCGGCATCTGTCGGTGATTACTTGAGTTAGTGCTAAGCTAACCAGCTGTGATGCTCCGAAGCAGTGATTCTTGTGCGAGATGTAATTTTACTGATAGAAGTAAGTTTTTTTCAGTTTTCTTGTAAAATTTTAGCGTTTTTTGTAAGCGTTTTTTAAGAATTCTATAAACATAAAATTGTGAATCATACGGTTTTCAAAAATTGCATTTCTTTACAATTCATTTGGTGGTAGAATTAGCGCGCAGCGTTTTCTCATAACCTAAAAGCGTTAAGTGTATTTTGAAGAGGACTTTGAGCGTAAATCGTACTTTATTATACATCCTAATTCGTACCGGTACAAATTAGGAGTACGAAATAAAATTGTTTTCATTTTGGTTTTAACCAATCAATGTCTGTTTATACATATTTGTTAAGTTTTTAATTTTACCATTTTATGAGAGGAAAAAATAAAAATATTTTTTTTTAGCACACAATATCAAAACGACAATATAATAAATGGTCTATGCAAAATATGAATGCAGCAATACAAGATTTTAATAATGGGAAATTACGATTCAATGAAGTATGCAGGACATATGGTATTCCAAAATCGACCTTTCGACGTCATTTAAAAGGTCTAAATTCTCAGAAAAAAATAGGAAGACCAAGCAATTTGACGGAGCAAATGGAGACCGAATTGGTTTATCACATTTTGGATTTGGAGTCTAGATTCTTTGGGTTAACTATCACAGATTTAAGACATCTAGCATTTCAGTTCGCAGAAAAATACAAACTTCCGCACCGAGTTAATAAGGTGCAAGAGTTAGCCGGTTGGAAATGGTATTACAAATTTATGAAAAACCACCCAGAATTTGCCTTAAGAATGCCTGAACCAACATCAATGGCACGATGTAAAGGATTTATTAAAAACATTGTATCAGAATTTTTCGATAAATACGAAAAGATTCTAGATGATTTCCAATTTGGACCTAACGAAATTTTTAACATGGATGAGACAGGTCTTAATACCGTTCATAAGCCTGCTAAAATATTATCGTTAAAAGGAAAACATCAAGTCGGAGCAGTCACTAGCGGAGAACGTGGAATTAACACTACATGCGTTTGTTGCATGAATGCTAGTGGAGACTTTATTCCTCCAATGTTGATCTTCAAACGCAAAAGAATGACGGACATCCTTAAACGTGGTGGCCCGCCTAAAACGCTGTACACTTGTTCTGAGAGTGGGTGGATTGTCGCTTCAATCTTTGTCGAATGGTTACAACATTTCATAAATCATTTAAAATTGGAAAAACAATTGAATCATAAAATTCTATTAATATTGGATGGACATACCTACCACACATACTAAGAATCTAGAAGCCATAAACCTTGCTAGTATCGTAATGTTTTCTTTGCCGGCGCACACGACACACAAACTACAGCCTTTGGATAGATCATTCTTTAAGTCATTAAAAATTAATTTTAACAATGTGCATCAGAAATCACCCTGGTGAACCAATCAAACAATCAAATATATTTGAAATTTTGGGAGTGGCGTATCCTAGATCGGTTTGTATGGACATCGCTATGAAAGATTTTGAAACTTGTGGATTGTGGCCTTGCGACAGGCATCGAATACCAGATGAAGAATATGTCGTGCTCGATGAAAATGAAATGACCCAAACTGATATGCAACTTTCGGATCCTGGTCGTTCCACAGCGAATGTTTCTACAAATGCACACGATCAAACTGACGCGTCCATCCGCACGATTATTGAGAATTTGTCACCAATATATCGACTTCCACCGCAAACATCTAAGAAAACAAGCAAGGCCGTAGTCCTTACTGCGAGTTAATGCGAGTTAATTAGATGGACCAACAAAACCAAAGAAACGCTCTTTAATAGAAAAGACTTCTAATACTTGGTATTGCATTTTATGCCGCAAAGATGAAGAAAAATCAATGATTCAATGCATCAAATGCAACATATGGGTGCACGACAACTGTGCAGGTGTAGGAAAAGCCACATATTCTTACACTTGCCAACATTGCATCAGAAGTACGATTTTGGAATAGTGCGGTACGAGTTAAGACATATGGTCTTAAATCGTACTTTTTTCATTATTTTTTAAATATTTTATTTTGAGTAGTAAAACAGGGTTTCTTTAAGTATTAACACATGTCTAATGTTTCTTCTATTAATAAAGTTTTAACAACCAAAATTTCATAGTGTTTGATGCATTTTTGAGAAATCTACAAGTTGTTCAAAACTGGCACGATTTGGGCAAGTTTACCCTATGTAGATTTTTCTCAATGTTTTTTGCTGACTTGTGTAAAACCGTAGGGTTGTTAACATCAATAAATTATTATTATTATTATTATCGAAAAGACAAGAGAAAGAAAGAGGAACCAAATAGAAAAAATAACCAGAAGGATAACTGTCAGCTTGCTCGCGAAACTTTGCCTAACCTTAACAATAAGATAAAACTGGCCTATGCGGTGTTTAATATAAATACATTTATGTGCGGTGAATCTCTGCCGTAGTGATAGAACTTTTCACAAAATGTCAACATCAAAATTCGGTACTGGTGGATCAGTTTGTGGTTTTAATGCGGTTTCGCTTTCTGTCTTTATTAAGTTTCCATTTGTTTATCTACTCTATACTTAAGGTATTCGCAAGGAGAACAACAGCTCTATTATAATTAAAAAAATTACCGTTTTCGTAAAATAATACAACAACACCAACCCACAATATTTGTAAGCTTAAAATAATAAAAAAATATATACATATAAAATCGTAGGGCCGAAAGTACTTTTTTCAATTGTAATTTTTTGCAAAATATTTGAGCCCGATGGAATTCATTGGCTTTGGTATAATCCCAAATGTTTAAATTTGTAATCAATACGGTTGTCTTGTATTAGTGGAATACCATGTATATTGTTCTAATTTTTCGAGCAACGGGCACGAGCTCCCCGCTGCCCCTTGCCTCATATACATAGTGTGCCCAAAGGTAAGGCAACTTTTTTAATTGTTCACAGTTTCAGCAAGTTTGTACATTCATTTTTTTTGTGAGACAGACGCGTTAGACGTGTTTTGTGTACTCGGCAATTTTGTGCTGCCAAAAAAATGGAACAAAGAATTTGCATAAAATTTTCTTTAAAAAATGGATTACAGTACTGCAAAACACTTGAAATGTTGACCACTGCATATGGTGAATCTACATTGAGCAAAAAAAATGTGGCACAAGTTATTCCAAGATGGCTGAGACGCTCTGGACACCCAGAAATGATGAAAGCGTTGAAAAATTGCAAAAAATGGTGTTGAAAAATCGTCGAATCACTATTAGAGAAGTAGCTGCAGGCGTCGACATCTCTATGAGCTCGTGCAATGAAATTTTTTCCGAAGCAGCAAAATTTGTTCCGAAACTGTTTAATTTTGAACAAAAGGACCGTCGAAGCAGCATCACTCAAGAGCTGTTAAACGACATCGATCATGATCCTGATATGCTCAAATAGATCATAACTCGTGACGAATCATAGGTATATGATTATGACGTCGAAACCAAAGCCCAGTCGTCCCAGTGGAAGAACCCAAAATCGCCAAGACCGAAAGAAGCACGTCAAGTTCAATTAAATTTCAAGGTTTTGGTTACTGTTTTTTTTTTAATATAGTGACGTAGTAGATGAAGAGTTGTTACCACAAGGTCGTACGGTCAATAAAGGATAATACCTTGAAGTTTGGCGCCGTTTGCGAGAAGCAATTCGAAGAAAACGTCCGGAATTGTGGGAAACAATTCATGGATTTTGCATCACGACAATGCATCGTTGCTTGTGTCTAACTTTTTAGTCAAAAGCAAAACCACAATCATGCTTCAGCCACCATATTCTCCGGATATGCGCCCCTGAGACTTTTTCATGTTCCCAAAACTCAAGAAACCCATGAAAGGAACGAGATTTCGAACTATTGAGGTGATAAAGAAGAACTCGCTGCAAGAACTCAAGGCTTACCAGAAGTGCTTCGAGGATAGAAAAAAACGTTGGCACAAGTGTATAATATCTGGGGGAATTACTTTGAAGGGGACAATGAATAAATAAATAAATATTTTTTGATAAATATTAAAAGTCATCTTACTTCTTGAACACACCTCGTATGCACGGTTTAGTGCCGCAGTCAAAGCAAGCTATGAAAATTTCAATGGTAAAAAATGATGAATGAAATTCAAAATAAAAAACACTCAAATCGGACACGCAAACATTTTTCCTTTTTAAAGATTACCATTAAAAAAATATGTTAAATAGTTTATGGCCAAAGTGTCAAAGTTTTTAGCTCAACAAAACAAAAATACCAATCTGACTCCATCCAACTTCTAGGAATAGGAAATGGCATTTTTCCAGGTTCACTTCCACACTGCCGCAAATTACATTCACTGACCTATTTAAATGTTCTTTTTTTTAGACCTAATAACCTCAAACATAATAAAAACCATTTTTCGGGGGTACCTTGGCAATTCGCTTCGAAGACACGCCAAAATAAATAGCAAACAAAAATATAAAAATAAATAAGAACCAAAAGTTCAGATTTTCACGAAATTATATATTTTGACATGACAATTGTTTCGACAACACCGTGTCTTTATCAATGCTGACGATAAACTTTGATTGAGGCCATGTTTTGTTTTAAGACGAAGATAAAATTAAAAAAAAAAAACATACATTTCAGCCTCTTTTCGAACAACTCTCGAATATTTGGTTCCAACTGCAGGATCAAGTGTTGCTTTTATCGAGAATTAATCAAATTATCAGTAACCTGGAACTGTATGCGAAACAACCCAACTATAGTACTTCTATGATTCACGAAATTCTTGGAGCAAACGGCGCGCTTACCGATGCTCAAAGACTCGAGAAAACAGCCCATTTAAAAATTCGGTCGGAAAACCCTGATATCGAAATACTGTCGGTTGAGGATTTCAGGAATTTTGACAAGATTGACTTGGAAGTGAGTAGTAAATCAAGATGTCGCATTAATACTTTAGAGTGGGAGATAATATGCATGAGATATGTACTGTTTCTAACATAAGGATAGAAAAGTATAGTGAAATAGGAAACCATAGGAGATACAGTGTCGATTCAATGGGGAAACTTTCAAAGAACTTTATATATATAGAGAATTACAGATCAAATTACAGCGTGTGCTGTTTTCCGCGACCAATATTCTATTTGCTTCTGTCCTGGATATCCTTTGTGCCCACGTCCTCTCCTTTTTTGTCCATGCTGTTCCATTTTCAAATCTTCGTTCGCCATGTATTTTGCTTCGTCGGATTCGGGTGTCCAGCCTATTCAAATCTCTTCTTCTCTACTCTCTATTATATTATCTTTCATTCCATTATTTCTCTTATTATATTGTTCAGGATAAGTTGCAGTCTTGAGATTCTGCAATTCCGACGCATCGCATCTATTTTGAAGGCCTGTAATTTATCGCTGTATTTTTTAAAAGGTCTCATATTTCCGCGTTATATAGCGTTATTCACTCCACTATTGGTCGGTATATTGTTTTCCTTATGGAGTTTTGCAAGCTCCTAGCTCTTAGACCACCATTTCGTCCACATTTGTGCGATTTTCTTATCTAAGATACAATTAGGATTTCTAATAGATCCGAAGTATCTAAACTCTTCGCAGCTCCTTGCTTGTGCTCCCTCTAAACCTAGATTTGTTGTTCCAGCTTCCACAGCGAAGTATTTCGTTTTTCCTATATTGATTTCTAATCCTTGGACTTTTCGGCAGCTATGGCAAGCAGACGATAACTTGTATAGGGAGGAATCGTCTACCTGAACCCCTGAATTTGAGCACTTCTTTAACCTATTTTAGAAAGAGTAGCTACCATGCAACAACCCTGCAACAAACCTTTTGGTTGACAATGCATATGATGGTTTGATCGTCACTAAAGATGTTGTATTACTTAATCTCTTATAGTTCTCGCATAGTGTTGGTTTATGTTTGAGCTAACTAACACATCAAATAATCTGGCGTGTGGTACGCTATCACATGCCTTCTTTAATTTGCCAATTTTTGTCGTGGTGTTTTTCTCTTAACTTTGATGCTTATTATGCTGCCGTACAACACTTATTCCCTTATAATTTTCACATTTTCATTTCACACTTTTCTTAAATATTGATGTGACATATGCTTGTTTCTTGTTTCCACTCATTTGTGACTGTTCCGCTCCTTTCATATATTATGTTATGTTTTATAAGCTCAATAGAAATATCTCCAAGACCAGAAAGAAGCCTTATTGTTTTCCATTCAACTTAATGCTTGATTTATTTCTTCCGCTCATATACTCTCTACTCCTTCTATAGTGTTGTAAACTATTGAATCTCTATTTGTGCCATCTGTATTTCTTCGCTTTAAAATTTCATGGAAAAATTTGTTCCGATCGCTGGTGTTCATGAGAAATATCATGGTTCTTTCTTTTAGGTTTTTTCTTGTATTGGAGACAACTTTCCACGCTTCACTACTTTTACTTCCTCACATCGTTCTATCTGTGTTTTTACATTTAGCCACACTTCGTCTTCCTCTCTTTTCCTCTACTATGTATTTTACATCGTCGTCAATCCTTCCGGGTTTGACGTTATCATCTTGTTTTTTAAATTTTCCTATTCATATGCTGCATCGTTTTAGTTTTCAGCATTTATCATCATTCTTGGCAAGCAAAAATTTGTTGTATTATAGTAGGCCATGATCGCTCTTAGCCAACATTCGGAAAAACAAGTTTTTACAGTCTTTCGATCGTATACGCTAAACTAATGATAAATTTATTATTTATTCAAAACTTGAAAACTAATAACGTACCAAATTTTAATCAAAAACTCTTTAAAGTGTGTTCTATTTTTCTGACCGATGTTGTACATTATTTTCAGTGTTCTCATTACGTAGCTTATTTCTTTTAGTAACTTCTTTCTTTTAATTTTCTAATTGGCGTGTAATATTTCCATGTGTAAATAACTTAAAAGGCCACGCACTTTTGTAACTGAGGTGAAACTGTGAACAAACGTATTTGCCAATAAGGACATTTGTTTTTCAAAGCCCTCTATGTTTATAGCAATAAGTAGAGTGATTGTTAAAACTTTTGTTTTTTCGAATATTTGTTGAGAGTGATCATCACTTCAAAGCATCGTTCTATGCTCCATCAAATAATGAAAATATTCAATGTGGCACACTTAAGACAATTTAACAATCTATGGTGTATGTCTCTAGTAACGTACTGATCACAAGATGGCGTATATTCGGCTTTAAAAACAAAGAAAACTTTTTTTTGCAAATTTTTCACGCTAGAATTATTTTCAGAAAAAATTTTTTTAAAAAATTATTTAAAACTTTCCTAGTTTATATTGGACACACTGTATAAATTAACAGCAAAAAAAACGACTATAAGCTGGAACCAATTTGAAAGTTGATTTTTGTAAAATGTAGATTGATCAGTCAACAACGATGCAATGTCAGCAATTTTTATTCAGATTTGAATTTAATCATTCAACTTAATAACCAAAAAATTCAAAAGGTGTTCACCACATAAAGTAATGGCAAACGATGTACGAGGTGGCCTGTTTATTATGGGATAATACCTTATCTCAAAGCCTGTATGTATACAGAATGCTTGTATTTTCGAGAACACCCTGCATATTATTGTATTTTTTAATTCCTCTAAACTTTCTAGATATTTGTAATATACTATATATTACCATTTTTGACATATTTTGAATGTTGCCAAAAGTGACATTTGCAGGTGTAAATATATATGTTGTTATATAGTTGGGAATGATTTCCTTATAAAATTGGATCTGCTTTAATGGTCTGTGACGACATTTTCAAGATAAATAAATAGATGATGGTCAAAAAACTAACATAAAAGAATTAAATGAAAACATTTTTTTATCGTATTTAGCAAATAAAGAGAGAGACGAAGGCCCCCTATTACAAAAAGTTGTAGATTTGTAAATATTTTTCACATGTTTTATAACACAAAATCTTTTTTTTAATTAGATATTAATACACATATTCCGAATTAATATTGGATAACAACGTTTTTTATTATTCCATAAGCCTGAAACTGATGCTCACTAAAATAAGAACACAGCATTATTGCATACTTGTTGTGGTGACTGTTTCTAAATACGAAATTGTATTCTGCACAAACTGGCCATCATTAAGGAAAACACGTTTACATACTGGCGTTTGCTTGTATAGAATTTCGTTTAGGCTAGACCAAAAATGAATCCATGGGAGTCAAATCTGGACTCCTGGAGGGCCACCCAAAATCGCCGTTGTCTCCAATCCAGTATTGGTAACAATTGGACATTGACAAGAGTTGATATTATTTTACTCGGCATTCTACAGGTCGTTCCAAATTTCATTAAAAAATTTCTTTCCATTATTACACCCCGTATATACTCAAATTCAAATCTGAAAAACTTTCTGCCATAGCATCGTCACTGAAGGATCAATCTACAGTTTAGAAAAACAAAAAACATAAAAATTAAAAGAACGATTCAACTTTAAAATTATAGGTGTATTTTTAGTAACCGCTTCTTTTATTATTTAAATTGTTTCTTAGACTTTTTGGTATCGCATTTTAGTATCTCGGCTTTTGTTGTTGGAAACTTATTGAAACCGATGGAGCACTAATTCCCGGAAATCCCAGTATGGGTATAGCAAGATATAAAGGCAAAAATTTCGTTTTTTCATGTGAGGAGGGGTGTTCGATGTTTTCTAAAAACCCGGATATGTAAGACTCGTTGAATCTGGAAATGTGGAAATAATAAAATACCTTTTTTTCAGTTTTGTCAATCGTGTTTTGGATCTCGCGAGGAGAAAGCCTCAATTAGTAAATTTTCTGCAATTGCAGGATGCTCTGGAGAAAGTGTATGGAGTCGAAAAGTAAGTAAAATTAAGGTTATAGCCTCGGGTGAAGCAAATTGGCATTCTCAAGTCTACAATTGTCGGTAGTTGCGTTAGCTATTTCCTGTATGTTGTGTTATTTCATCCTTCTCTTATGCTTATTAATTGGGGATATCGTAAATGAATTAATAAGTCTAATCCCGCCCACGATAAATTGTCATGACTTGTCTGGCTTATCACAAACGCAAGTCCTTTGACCCCAAATACACCCAGCAATAAACCAACAAAAAGCCTTTCGAGCGTTTATCAGTGCAGAGAGGTTTTTTTTATTTTAGTAGTGTTAAAGGAGCAACTAACCCAAAACCTTGACTCCATAACAGAATCGTAAACAAAATAAACCACACTCTAGCAATAAAAAAAAATTGGCAACAGAAGCAGCTAGAAGATATAGAGAAACAAAAAGACACAACAAAGGCATTAATGTAAAAAAAAGAAGAAATTATGAAACAGGAAATAGAAAGTCAATTGAATACACTAAGATTAACAAAAAATAAAAATAAAAACATGAAATGTCTAAAAACCAAACTAGGGAGAAACAAAATTAAAGACGAAAACGGAATAAAGGCAAACATTAAGGATGACATTTTGAAAATAATCCAAGAACTGAACTGAACTATATCGCACAAAACAAGAGAAATAAAGAGACAACTCAAAAATAAAGTATAAAACGTGAACGAAGGGATCAGATCATGACATGAAGGGCAATAAAGCTCCACGAAAATATGGAGTTGCTGTGAAAATGCTGAAAAACAGAGGAAAGTCATCAATTACCTCCGTACACTATTAATCCAAATATTACGAGGGAAAAGAATACCAAACCTTTGTGATAACTCTATCGCAATAATTCCATATAAAAAAGGAGATAAAACAGATATGAACAGATATAAAAAACCTTCTTAATGTCATATATTAAAGTTTCAGAAAAAAGTTTAGTACAAGCGACCACTAACAATGATAATACTTATTGCAAAACCAACCAATAACATATACTCATTTGATGACTTCGAGAAGCTTTCGACACCATAGAGCAGTGGACTGTTAAAAACGCCTTGAACAAAGGTAGAATAGACTACAGATATACAGAGCTAATATAAAACATATACGAAAAAAAAAAACAGAACAAATACCAATAAATAGAGGAGTTAGGCAATAAGACGCAATATCGCTGAAACTTTTCAATACGACATTGGAAGACATATTTCAAAATCTAAATTAAGATATGCTGATGATAGTCCCAATAGCAAGTAACGAGTTAAATGAAATAATCGAAGCAATAGATAGATATGCAAGCCCAACATATATAATTCAAAATAGATTATATTTAAGCAAAAATCATGACAATACAACAATAAGAATAGGGCAAGTCGAAGATTACATATATTTGAAACAACATAAAGAGAATCAAACAGCAGAAATCACAGGACTTGGCTGGATAGCACTTGAGGTGAGTTTTATCCTTAGAACAAAAAATATGGACAATACCTGAAAGCAGAGTTTTTAACCAATGTGTACTCCCAGTACACACAAATGGGGCACAAGTATGAACATTTACAAAAAAAAAGTAAACAAAATAAAGAGAACACAAATAGCGATGGAAAGACTTATGCTACACATAAAATTAAAGGATAAAAGACCAAACATATAGATTAGAGAAATATCTAAACCAGAGATGTCGTAAGAGAAATATCTAAGGAAAAATAGAAATTTGGGAGACACACAACATTATGATGAAAGGTAGAACGGGGTGATTATAGAGAGGAGACTTGTAGGTTCAATGTGGATAAACATAGCAAGGGATCGAGAAGAATGGATACAATATTGGACGGAAGAGGCTGATTAGATAAAGTGCCGATACCTTAGAAATTTTACAATCATATCCGCTTTCGCATTAGTGGTTTTACAGTCATTATTTGTTATGTTTAGGCCCTAGCTTGTAGATGGAATTAAGGAGTGTAACGAAACAAAAAGAGTCATTTGTATATGTGTTGTGAGAATCGTTTTACAAGTAAATGAAGGTAAAATTTATACAATTCTTATATTATATATTTATTGTACTGCTTATTCAAATTTTATAAAAATGTTTGAAAAGACATCGGTCAAAGTTTACTATAAAATTTCCTAAAACTTTAACATATAAAATAAAAAAAAATTCTTTTAATGGAAAATTTGTCTGAAGGTTTTTAAAAAAAAAGGCCGGAGGTCATAACAATTCACTAGAAGCAAACCAACGATGTGACAAAGACATAATGAAAATGTTTAGGAACTGTGATGGCAAGTGGAGGCGCAGTGAAGTATAGGGGATGAATAAAGTTCCGTCACATGAATCATTGGAACATAGATTAAATGAAACTGATCAATTTACTGGCAGTCGTGAAACATTTCGCGAATTTCTGCACAAAATCGAATTTAGAGTTAAAAATATTGACAATCATGAAAGAAACCGGACGATTAGCGGAATGGAGACAAAAATATTTTATGTAAATGCATCAGTTTCGCATCGAAAAATGAAACACATATTATTTAGGCCAGACTTGGTTAGGCACCCACAACACTATAAAGAAAAGATGGCAACATTCTTCATCGAACGCTTTGCTACTTTGAGCATAAAATTGCAAAAATTCCTTAGCGAACATGACCTTTATTTTGAAGATACTTGGTATTGGTATTGGTATTGGTATTAAAGGGGGGCGCCCTCGCGGGCGTCCAAGCACTTAGGCCACCAGATGGGCCTGTTGTGCCCCCAGGCCGCTCTAGAGGGCGTCCAAATGCCGCCCCTCCTGTAGAAGGTCAGCAACTCCTTTAGCCCAATACCGTGCACTGAGTCCGGATCGATCAGGGCCGTTCCGAAGACTCCCAATCTTGCCCATGTCAAGGCTGGGCACTCGGTGAGCGGATGATACGGGGTCTCCTCCCCTTCCATGCACCACCTACACTCCGGGTCGTCTCCAATGCCTAGCAAGCAGAGATGCCTCCTAAGCCTGCAATGTCCTGTGTAGGCCCCTGTTAGTGCTCTATACTCCCTTCTGGTCAGTCTAAGCAGCTCCCTGGTCCGAGGAAGGGCGGGCCCATCCATCATAAGCCTCGCCTGCCTCATTCCCGGAGCAACTCTCCAGCCCCCCGCGGCCCGGTCTCTCGCCCAGGCTTCGAGAGTTCCCCGCCTCACACACGGGGCGATCCCCAAGCGGGGCTCTGGCCCTATATGCCTATGCGAGGAGCCCTCCCTGGCTAAGGCGTCCGCTGCCTCATTGCCCCGGACACCGGTGTGACCCGGGACCCAGACCAACGTGACCTTTCTCTCCTCAGCCACCCTCCTCAGTACCCCTTTGCACTCCTTTATCAACAAGGAGCGCGTACGCACTGACTTCAGCGCCATGAGTGCAGCCCTACTATCCGAGCAGAAGAAGACTCTCCTGCTTCCGTAGTTGAGCCGAAGCACCTCTCTGGCCGCCATCAATAAAGCGAAAATTTCCGCCTGAAACACAGTGCAGTACTGAGCCAAAGGGACCGACAAGCTTGATCCCGTTGTCTCGCAGTACGCTCCAGCTCCGGCCAGATCTCCCATTCTGGACCCGTCCGTGTACCAGATAAGTCCATCCCAGGAGCCGACTCTGCCCTCTCTCCAATCTTCCCTTGATGGAAAGAGAAAGGTCAATTTATCAAAGAAGGTCATCTCGGGGATCATGACGTCACTCGGCATGCTCATGACCCCGCGATCCCCGCGACAGCCCTCTAAAATGTCGTACGGACCCCGATTGAAGGTTCCCTCCCTTCAGAGCCCGCAGCTCGCCAGCCTCACAGCTGTCCTGGCCGCCTCCATCTGCACCCGATCCGCCAGAGAGGGCAGCCCCACCAGAGCCTCCAGGGCCCTCGTGGGCGCCGTTCTCATGGCGCCCGTTATGCAGAGCCAAGCCAATCTCTGCAGTCTGTCAAGAACTAGCCTTGCTCCCGCTCTTTTGGTCCCCGGCCACCATGCCACTGCCCCATGCGTGAGCATAGGCACCACCATGGTACCGTAGATCCACTGCATGATCTTCGGCCCCAGGCCCCAAGTGCCCCCTACCGCTCTCCGGCACGCCCACAGAGCTCCAAAGGCCGACCTGGTCCTTGATCTTATATGTTCCTGGAAGGTCAACTTAGAGTCCAACCATACGCCCAAGTACTTGACACTTCCGCTTGCAGAAAGAGGCACCCCATCCATCGAAATGTTGAGGTTGCACTCCATCTTTCTTTTCCTAGTGAAGATGACCATCTCCACCTTGCCAGGATTGACAGCCAACTTGCTGTCCAGGCACCATTGTGAGAATCTTGCCAATGCCCCGTTCAGGAGCCCCTGCATCTTCCTCACGTCCGTCCCCTGCGTCATTATCACAAGGTCGTCTGCATATGCCTGAGCATAGACCCCGTGTTCTTCCCTCAGAATATGCAACATCTCGTTCACCACTAGGCACCACAGGAACGGGGACAAGACCCCGCCCTGTGGACAACCCCGTGATGAACCGATGGAGACCTGCTCCCCACCCAGTCTTGCCTCGACCCTCCTGTCGGTTAGCATGGAGCGGATCCACCTTACAATGGCCGTCCCCACTCCAGTACTCTCAACCGCCCTGCAGATCGAGTACAGGGCCGTGTTATTGAAAGCTCCTTCGATGTCAGCGAACACGCACACCGACAGCCGTCCCGAGCCCATACCCTCCTCCAACCTGGAAGTCAGATGGTGAAGAGCTGAGCCCACAGACCCGCCACTTCGGTACGCATGCTGAGCTGGCTCTAAAGGGGCCTCCAGCTCCACCCAGTCCCTCAGATACCGGTCCACCAGTCTCTCCAGAGTCTTCATAATGAAGCTGGTGAGGCAAACAGGCCGGTACGACTTCGGGTCTGTGTAGTCACTCTTCCCTACCTTGGGAATGAACACTACCCTGCTGTGTCTCCACAGCTCGGGCACGTACCCCCTCGCAATGGAGACCCTGAACAGGTCCATCAGCGGGCTGGTCAGGAGACCTCCGTCCCTTTGCAGCAGAGCCGGAAATACTCCATCCCCGCCCGCCGACTTGAAGGGGCCAAAGCTGTCAATAGCCCACCTCAGCCTACTATGGGTAACCACCCTCCTTGCCGTGGCGTAGTCGCCTCCAAGACGACCCCCGGCTTCAATATTCCCCCCTGTGTCCGGATCAGCGGACCCTGGGAAGTGCGTGTTCAGCAACTGTTGTGGTGTGTCCGCTGGTCCCGCTGTGTAGCCACCGCCGGTCCTGCGGACCACCCCCAGTCTTCCCGCAGGGTCACTTCTGAGTACCCTAAGGAGCCTAGCCGCGTCCGGGGTATTCATTACTCCGTCGCAGTAGCCCCTCCAGGCCCTCCTCTGTGATGCCCGTAGTTCTTTTTTGTACTGTCTGCGGACCTCCCTATAGAGATCCCAGTCCGCACCTTGGCTGCTGCTCCTCGCTGTATTGAACAGCCTCCGCACTTTCCTCCTGAGACGCTCCAGGGAAGAGCTCCACCAAGGAGTCCTTCCCGCCCTATGCTCCTCTGTCTCAGGGCAACTATTCTCGAACGCCCGCATCATAGCGGAGCTGACTCGGTCGGCGGCCTCGTCAATCTCCTCCATTGTGCGGTGTTTCCTTGGTAAGCCCCCTAGGCGCCCAGCGAGTTCCTCTCTATAGAGTTTGTTGCCCGGGGGTTCCTAAATCTAACGGGTTCCCGAACACCCATCTCCAACCCAAAGGTGATGTATCTATGGTCCGACATAGAGTCTTCCCCACAGACACACCACCCAGTTATTTCCGGGAGCAGAGCCCTGGTACAGAACTGAAGATACTTACACAAAAAAACAACTTGTTCAAGTTTTAAGAACCCAATCGTATCATGGAACTTGTTTCGTAGACGAGGTGATAAAAAAATTCAGGGTAATATACCCCTTAGATTACCACCACTGCGATTTTAAATCCTATCGAAACGATATGGGGCCATGTAATTGATGTAATTAAAACTCAGTACAAGGTAATACCGGACAGCATTGAAATAGTATATTATGCAACAAGTGCGGTAAACGGCATTTGACTCGTGAGTTTATTTGGCACGAGCGGAGCGCAGTGGAGCAAGTGCTTAATAAACAAATGAGATAAAGAGTTTATCGACCGTGTTGCATACTATATTTTTTCTACGACAGTTAGTTTTTTTCGCAATACAGCACGAATACATACATACATTCACATGACCCACATGGCCGTCACAATGAACAAACGTCAAAATTCAAGGCGTGAGAAATATCTCTGAAAACATTCGATTCCTCCCAAACCCGTGCGGTAAAATCCCGGAAATGTCCGAAGAGGCTGGGATTCGAAACTGACGTGGTAAAGTGATGCTTCCCCCACTCTAGATCGGTGTGTAATTAGGTATTTGACAGACGGGAGTAGAAAAATAATGTGTTAATCATGTAATTGAAGTGGAAAATGATTATAAAAAAACAAGGTTATTATTTCATTCTGTAGTTTTGGTTAGTTATTTGAATCTTTGCATTACGCCGTTTAGGAGTTCATTTCCTATCCTTGCATTTAGGTCGCCCATAATGACATGACATGATTTTATCTTGTGCTCTAATTTCGTCTACTACTGCTTGTAAGTCTTCATAAAATTTCTATCGTTCCTCTCTCTCATTACTTATATCCGGTGCATACACACGCATATAAGATGGATCTTGTCGTGAATGATGCTCGTTGTTATTTGCAGTATTCTATCGTTGACATATTTTTCACTCTCTATTTTTTGTTTATATTTTGATCTCGTGGCACTCCACTGTATATTAATAGATATCTGTCTATTTCACATTTTCCCCTTCCCTTTTTATTTGTTTCGCTAAGAGAGCATAGATCTAAGCTATTCTCTTTAAGCTCTTCTATGATTTCTTGGTCTTTTGCATTCCAGGACATTATGTTCCAGGTGGCAATTCGCAGTATATTTTGTTTCCATATCTTAGTGCGTTTTTTTGCAGTTGTCGTCATCCGTCCATCAATCGAGTTCCGAGGCTGGCTTGTGGTTCTGTGAGCTAATTGAGTCTTTACCTCAAGTGGTAGCTGCCCAGTTGATCTGTCATGGGAATCCTCCTCCTTTATCCGGTCTTGGGGCCGGCAATGGCGCTCATTGGGCTACTCGGTGCACCCACTGCATACCACAGGCGAACTTGTATTCGTATTGTTTGACGAAAATGTACCCAAAAACTAACGGTCGTAGAAAAAGTATAGTATGCAACACGTTCAGTAAACTTTTTATGTTACTCGTTTATTAAACATTCGCTCCACTGTGCTCCGCTCGTGTCAAATAAACTCGAGAGTCAAATGCCGTTTGCCGCAATTTGTTGCATAATATACTATTACAGATATGACCATTATTCGTGCGTTGGAGTATATACTTTTAGAAAGGCAGGAAGAAAAGCATTAGATTTGAAGGGCGTTCAGTCTTATCAATTACAAGTACATTTTGGAGAAGAAGTTTAAGATAAAGTAAATGGCAACGTTTTTAGTATTGCTTTAATATTTTAGAATATGGTTCTAGTATAAGAAGAATATTTTCGCCGTTAACATATAGTATATAATATATAAATAAAAAGAGTGTATCCCACATCTTTAATTTCTGTTTATAATTTTATTTATAATATACTTTATACAAGATGTTCTAAAACATTTCTTTTTAACAATTTTTTTCTGTAAAAAAAACCAAATCTTCTGTTATCTATTTAAAACTTCTAAAAAATATTTTTTATGTCCACAGAAGCTTGTTCATATGTTTAGAAATTTTTCATGGAATCCATTCCATTAAATAAATCAAATATTTTATATATCTTTTATTTATTTTTAATTTCATATCTATTAAATAATACTTTCCGATAAACTGTAGAAAACAACTTAACAATCTAAACTTGACCCAATACCAGCAACATGTCAGTAAGACACAGTTAAAGGTATTTTTACTTCAACTTACTTTAAACTCCATCTGAGACAATTCTTTAATTGATTAACAGTACCGTGCATATAATACCTATACCTATTTAAAATAATCTTAAAGACACATCAAAAAATAATGATTCCCATAAGAAACACACTGATTTCCATAGTTACTGTACCCATAATAGATAACAGTTATTGAAATCAAATCTCAATCAAATGTTTTACGAGAGATCCCTAAATTAGGCAGAATTTGCCAAACCTAAAAAAATTATCAACAAAACAATTTAAAAAACCTATGCTCTTTTTTCAGTATGAATGTTTTTGTTGTTACGCCAAAGTGTTGTTCGTCATATATTTGTTGTTGTAATACTTTTTTTATACATTTTTTAAGGTTAATGCGTACATTGTTTTATTTACATAAATTGCAATGTGTTATGTATTTGTTTTCTCACAAAACATCCCCTGTAGTGTGCTATATATTTACCAATCTTTAATTAGTCTTCCATAAATTTATACATTATTGTGGTTATTTGCTTTGAACTACATATTAGTTCAAAAAATCAGATTTTTAACTGAGAAAATATTTTCATGATAGATGTTATTTGCAAAATTTTCAAAAAAATTATTTTTATGTGCACAGTAGCTTGCTTAAATGTTTAAAAATTGAAATAAATAAAATGGATAACATTTTTTCAACACTTTGCATGGAATCCATTCTGGTGAATACAGTTTAATATCGTCCAAATACAACTTTTAGGTTAGTTCAAGAGACAACGAAAACAAAACTTTGCGAAGACAAAATTGTACAAACTTTAGATCAGGTCGAAAATCAAATTGATGCAGAATACACATGGAATATTTGGGAACTCAAAAGAGAAGCTTTGAACTTGGTAAGAAGTTAAACAAAACCTATGAAATACTCTTTCGTATGATTTTTTTTCCTTTTTTAAGTGCACTTGTGGAAATTAAAAATAAAATTTTACTCTCTCCCTCACTCCCTCTCCCTTTCTCCCTCTCTCCGTCTCCCCCTCTCTCTCTCTCTCTCTCTCTCTCTCCCTCTTTTTATAACAATGGACTTTACTAATTAACTGTGATTAATGTAATAACCTCAATTTGATCTTAAAACTTATACATTATTTGTTTGCTTTTCACTAGCTTAACTGGGCTTAGTGCCATTAAAGAAAATAAACTATCTTCTAAAATATTGAATGAACTAACAAACTAACCAAAAAGTGAAGAGAGAATTTTTGGCAAATTTTTACGAAATCGATGAAGAGCTGAAATAAAATAGATTTTAGTTTAATTTTTGAGGAATAAGGAGAAGCAAATCAGAATTTCTGACATAATTCTTTCGTAAGGGACATTGCGAAATGAAGTATCAGATATACAGGATAATTCATTAATTCTTAACTAGACACCAAAATATTATAAACCCACAAAATTTAATTCGAAATTGACTTCATTGCTATTAAAACAATTGTTATTGTTAAACATTAGTTTTTATTGTTCCACATAACTTTTCAGCTTTTAAGTATTTAAAAAAACAATCAGAAAAAATAACTTAAACTTTTTAAATGCAAATAAGACAAAAACCTACAGAATTAGGCAGCCTTTCTATGAAAAATTGAAAATTCTTTCAGCTTTTCATCACGTTTCTACCAAACTCGACACGACAGATAGAAAACATAATATTCAATTGTTCTAAATAATATAGTGACTAACACTAGTACCCTCAAATACGAAATTCCAAGTAAGCTTGAAATTCGTCATTGCCATGAAACATAAAACTGCTAATTCAGAAAATATTGAACGTCCAGTGGCGAAAATGTTACTAGTTTATTTTAAATTTAAAAATCGTGCTATTTTTCGATTTGAATTTCAATTTTCTGCAAATTACTTACTGCTATTCTGCTTTCTCCGAAAAAGGCCAATGGATGAAAATCACTCTACTGGCGGAATATCAAAATTTTTAGCGGAAAGAATATAAAATTTAAAACCGCTGTTTATTTAGGCATCGGGATGTGATTTTCAAGAGTTTTTTAGGTTTTACTAGATGTTATCCAGATTTTTTGAAAAACGTACAGGAGCAGCAATTACAAAAAAATTAAAGGACAAATAAAAAACGTCATAACTTAAAATAAACAATTTTTTTGAAAAAAATATAATACCATAACACCATAAGGAATGAAGCATCCAAATTTTCGAAGAAGGCTTCTTTTAAGGAATATAATAGTATATAGGAATAAAAGAGGCTCCCTCAATTAAACTTTTCCAAAGATTTATTTGTGAATTATCCCGTATTTTTGAAAAGTTAACATGGCAACTCCAAAATTAACCAAAACTCACGAAAATGATTATTAACCTTTCTGGAAATTTTAGAACGTTAAATCGGCTACATGGTCTCTAAAGTTCCACATTGCAGATTCGTTTCATGTTTGGAATTTTTTTTTTAAATACATGAAACATGAACAAAAAATTTCGGTTTGTGGCACCTTTCGTTTCTCATCTTCGAAGATAATAAGTGAGATAAACCTTGAAAATGTCCAAAATTAAAATTACTCTGGAAATATTTTGTCGCATAATATTTATAATATTTTTTAGGCTGCTTTGCTAAAATGCAAAACGACCTCCTCCCAAACCGACAAAGTTTCTAGTACAAACTCCATTAAAACTCAAACTTATTCCTACAAAGACGTCAGCCAACAGTGCAGCAGAGATAACTACACAAACGTTCCTGCACGGCGCAATTTTATCTATGGACTGAGAGGTCGGAAAAGTGCAAGACAATTCTTAATCGAACTCACTACACCGATAACGGAGTAACCAATAGCTGACAACTGGGGATGGCGAGTAATTTTTTATTTAAATTATATATATTATGTATTTATTTAATAACAGACTAGTTTAAAATCACTAACGGATTTATTATTGACTTCTCACCCATCAACGCTGCTCGAAAAATTTATGATTAAAAATACAAAAAATAACAAAACTATCCTAAATCGAGTTTCTAGTTTCCACTTGTTCAGTCAAGTCCAATCTATGTCTGAAAATCTTGCCTCGGACATGATACCATTAGTTATTAAATTTTCCTAACACTCTTGGTGGCAATTTTCGGAGATCATCAGGAACTCAAACTGTGATTTTCGTCATACTTTCAAAACAGTTCTCAGGTTGGACAGCAATTATACAGGGTTCCCACGATGACAGTCCATTATGAAACTTGGTATACACCTGAAGTACAATTTAAAAATATTATCGCTTTTGCATTGTTGCCGGTTCTACCCGAAATCAGTTTTTTATACCATTTTCGAATTCGACATAAAAATTTAAACAATTTCCACTCTTCCTACACTTTTCTGCCATCTAGTTCGCAAAAATAAAATAAATAGATTTTTTTAGAAACCTCGCTTCGTGACAATTTGATATAAAAACGAATTATTCAATTAACACTTTCAAAGGCGAATGAATGTACCTAATCACTAGACTTGACATTCCAATGTTGCCATCGATTTTGGGTAGAACCGGAACACTGCAAAAGCGAAAATATCTTTAAATTGTACATCCGCGACAATTATCGACGTATACCAAGTTTCACAACTTCTAATAGAATGTCACCGTGATAACGCCATTAAATAACCCCACTGGAAAAATTTGTTCCGCCTCAATAGACAATCCGTAAAAAAAATCACGCGAGTCCAGGGACGGCAATTTTATTCATTTATTATTTCTAATTCATCTGCTCCCGGCGTGAGATGATTTATGTACCGCGCCTTCAATTTATCTGGATAACATTTTAATTGGCTTTAACTTTTTTGTTTTTAGAAATATCAAGGTAAATAAAAAAAACAAAATGTAGGGTTAGCAGCCAATTTTTTTCCAAGTGACGTATAAAACAAAACACTATCAATTTTCTGACATATAAGCCTACATCATATTTTTTTAAATGGAACACCATGTATATTATATGACACTTGTGTTTATTTCATTAAATTCAGAATTAAGGACCTATTAGTGCGCTTTGTGTCTAACTTCAATACACAAAAATTAACCTCAAATACTATATTCGGCGACAAATTTTATAAAAATTATTTTAATTATGAGTTTTATTTGGCACGAGAAGAGCGTGTTTTTTTTTAATTAGTGACAGAAGAAAAAAGTGTTGAAAATTAGCAGGAATTCATTCGCTAAGTAACGCGTGACGTAACCATTGGTATCGAGAATCATCAAAATACAATTCATTGCTCGCGAGAGTGGGTAACAAAGATGATGTCATACAATGATACTTCGGGTGTGCTTGATAAGGGATTAATTAGTATTTTAGAGTAGGAGATAGAAAATTGCAATTATTTCATTTGAAGCGATAAGAATAATTGAACAGGAAATATACAATTTAATATGCTCGTTTATCTTTTTGTTTGGTTAAACTTTTAATTTGGAAACTTGGCAAATGGCCTATCTAAGAATGCAATATTGTTGGAGGTTAAAATTTTGTAAATAAAGCTTTTTTTACTGTTAATATATGGTTTAGACCACACTCGGGACCATATCATACATCCAGTAAAATGAGGCAATAATTCAGATATAGGTAGAATCCAAAATAGAGCACCAAAGACGACATGACACCTATTTTTTTCCTAAATGTCGCCTCTACGCCTGAGTTCGTAAAAGGCTTTTGAACTCCCGGCAAAAATTTGTTGAAAATTTAATATTTACTTATTAACTTATACTTTAACCCATGATAACTACTTGTAAGTAGGGTGAATTTAAAATTATCGATGCAACAGTTTCTTTCAATAAAGATAAATGTATATGCAACACACACCAATTCTCATCCTCATTAGGTATTTATCCATTAATTTTTAAAAGAAACTTCCAGATGCTGCTATAATACTATTCTAGATTCGTCCTGCGTCGCCTGTTTGTAAATTAAACTTGCTGACGTTTCGCCAATCAAAATCTTAGCTTCTTCAGAGATGTGAGGGGAGAGGAGCTAACAGATGGGTATCAATATTGTCTCGGGTGACTGACTCTCATATTGATATGATTTCGGGGTTGTACTTGAACCGTGTTTATAACGGAATTACTAATCGGCTTAACTTTGCAACCGTAAGTGGGGAGAATAATATTCAAAATTAAGTTAAACACAAAAAGTGTGGGAGGTATCTATCTAAAAATAATTTCTTTAACTACTCGTCACCTGACGCCACTAGTGAAGTTTATTGTTAACCAATGTATTACTGCCTGCAACTTTCCCTCCTTGTGGGAGAAGGCTAGTATAATGTATCATAAGATCTGAAACCTCACATTTTCGCCCTATGAGAGGATTATAATATCTTAATATTCATGTTGCTGATTCAAATATTTTCCAGCCTGCTACTCAATCAGGGCTTAGGATCGGGCGCATTACAACTACAGCAATGCTCAATATTACTGTTTACCTTCTTAGTGTTCAGGATATATCACGAAATACTTGTGTGATTTTGTTGATAACTTAAATCATAATGATGTTTAACTTTCTGCCAACTTTAAGGGGATTTCCTCAGGGCCGTATTTTAGAAACTTTATTGTTCCCGATCTATACGCCTGACTTTTTTAAGCACCTCAATAAATGTTATTTTCACCTGTATGCAGATGATATGGAAATACACTTATCATTTTCGATCAAAGATGTAGCTTCGTCTTTCAATGGCATAAATGAGGACCTTGAAGTGATTTCAATAATTTGCAAAGCCTGATACTAAATAATTGCAAGACGCATAATGATTTGAACATTTATTAATGATTTTGTCAACAAACGTAAAAACTCGGAAGTCTTTCTTGGTAGTATGCTTCTTTTTGATTTTCAGTTGACTAATTTACTACAGAAATCCTACTGAAAGTACTTTACATATATAGGTAAGTATCTACCGAGGCCAGACTTAAATTGTGTGATGTATAACTCTCCTCTCTGGGTTATGGAGACGTTTACTAGCCCGCTCTAGCACGGAAAAACCAAAAATTGAAAAATGCCTGCCTGAGCTAAAACTATGATTTGCGAAAATTTGGTCATATAACGTTGGTACTCGAGGATTCTCGGTGGTTAAATCTGTTTGAAAAGTTAGTTAGTGTATAAAAACACTAGGTACCATATCTCTATGATAAACTTAGTAGAGGTAGGCATATACATAATAGGGCAACTCGCGTCGTAACCAGTTCTATGATCCCAAGCATAGTACCGCCGCGATTCAGAGCTCTTTCACACATAACACGATTAAAACTTGCAACTCACTTCCACTGGATATTATTGCTTGTTCATTAACTTCTTTTTTTGTTTTTCGTTTAATCATTCTTGAATACATTCCTCGCTTTTTTCTAGTCTGTTATTTTTTATGAATATAAAATGTATATGTTCATTTCCCTTTGAGTAGTTATAAAATTGTGCGACGATATTTATATTTTAGTTTTTTTCTTTTGTTAAATTCTGAACATTCCTGCCGCCACCTCCTACTTCTATTGTGTTGTTTTTTGTATGTTAAGAAAGCTATTTATTATTGTTAGTATAAAAAAGCTAGATAAATATTAACAGGATTCCAAAATATATTTAAAATTGTCTCGATTTTTTTATGCATCCATGTCCAATTCTTTTTCAATAAAATTGTTACCCAAAGAACTCATCTGGATAATTAGAATTAATATTGATGCAAACGCATCTAACACAACTTGTAAAAGAGGTTTGCAAAACGGAAGTAATGCCAAGGAATTGGAGCAAGGCACAATCATATCAATTTTTAAAGAGGATGATAAAATGGATTGCAAATATTATAGGCTATAAAATACTGGCAACACTATTAAAGAGCAGATTGGAAGAATGCTCAGAAAGATTATTAGGAGACTACCCAGGAAGATTCAAAAAGAATAGATAAACAGTAGGTCAGGTCTTCATGTTAAGGCAAGTTTTAATGGGTTCCTATAAATAAAATATTCTTGCTGTTTGTAGATTTCAAAGCAGCATGTGAAAGTGTGAACAGAGCAAAATTAATAAAAGCTCTAAAAAACCTTAAGATACCACCAAAACTATTGAGAATAATAAAACTAACAATCCAAAAAACAGATACTATAGTCAAGTATAAAGGAAGGCAGAGTAAAACCTATAATATTGCAAAGGATTAAGACATGGGCACCCACTATCAACAACACAACTTGTTCAATTTCACGCTGGAGGAAATAATAAGAAACAATGGGATCAACAGACAAGGCACATGTTCCATAAAAGCCACTAATGCGCGGACGATGTGGTATTGTTGGCAAGAAAGAGCTCGAAAATATCACCAAACAACTTATAACGGGCGAAACTTTTGGACTACAATTTAATTTGGATAAAACCAAATCTATTGAGCTCAAGAGTGGTATAGGAAGCAAAAGCAAACGAAACTTACAAGCACAGGGGTGTGAAGAGGACCAGGAAGTGGATCTACGTATAGCAAAATGTAACAATTGTCTGTGGGGGCTGCACAAAATTATGTCAAAGGAGGTATCGAGGGCAACAAAAATCAGACTCTACAAGACAGTGGTCCGACCAACTTTAACTTACTGTTGTGGGACATCGGCACTCAATCGAAAAAAACAACAGAAACTAGATATACAAAAAAGGAAAGAATTAAGACGAATCTTTGGCGTTAATATAGATGGCTGGGAGAGGATGAATAGTGAACTCTACGAACTATTTGGAGATGAGGCAATCAAAAATTTGTTCAACACCTCACCCGGATGGAAAATAATAGAGAAGTAAAGGAAGTGGCATGGAAAAACCAGAGGGGTTGAAGAAGCGGTAGACCAAGGAGGAGTTTGAGAGAAATCATGGAGGAAGATTTAAAAGAGAGGATTATTAATTGGAGAAATATAGCAAGAGATAAAATCGAATGGAGCAAAATTATGCACCTCTGGGCCTAAATGGCCTGTCAAAAAGCTGATATTGATGCAATGAAAATATGTCTCCATAGATTACTGAATTTTCGAAATTTGTACCAGAATCGCAGTATACTGAATCAAAAAAGGAGGCTTGTCCAATTACTCTAATATTCGCAACAACGTGCTTGTCATCAAATCACCAAATTTCAAAGAATATTGAACTTGTATTTTTGTTTTGAATGAATATAATTTCTATAAAAAAAAACTCAATTCCCACTCTGCATACCTTTGACAAACAAATCTCAAATTAAAAATTTGCTTGGACTATCAAGGAGTTATGCTTAAAAGTTATTTAGAGAAAAGTCGGTCACCTCGAGCTGCATTTTTTAGTAACTCAGCGACGTAGTCCAGGACATAATGCTATCGACATTTAAAACTCTGGACTTTTGCACTAAACTACCATTTCCAAAAAAGTTATTGGAACATACATCTTTTCATACTCGGCGAAATAGCAAATGAAAGAAAGTAAGGAACAACCAGTAACAAAAACATAATATTAAGTAATTAAGTAATATTTTTCCTTTTTTCATATAAGAAAACATACTTGAGAGTTAACTACAAATTAATGTCAATTCTTTATGTAAAAATAATAAATGCAGCAAAGTCTAGATGTTAAAGTAGAGCTTAACTCAAAGGATTATTTTTAGTTCAAAAGGTTCAAAGGTGATCCTTGAGCTGTCAACCAAACATACTTCTTGCATTTTAAAATCTGTAAAACGGTTTTTCAGGTTTACACCAAAATACCAAAAATATACCAAATTTTAAACTTTTAATCAAAATGGCACTTTCAGATTAAAAGCAGCAACAAAACCAAACCAACCAAATCAGTAAATGAAACTTGAACCGGCATCGAAGACACACATATCTATATTTTGTCAGACTTCTAGATCTAACTTACACATTAAGTTACAGAAAGGACAATACAAATATAATTGTCAATCCAAAAATTTATAATAAAGCATTTTAAAATTTTGAATTAACTGATAAAGTGATTTTTGAGATATTTCATCATACCAAACGTCCGGAAACGTTTGGTTCCGATTACTTTAAGCAGTGCGTCATCACAAATGGCATACTGCTTATTCTTAGGATCGTAAAGATTTTTCTCCTTAATAATTGACCACACTTTCTTAACGACTTCGTGACGGGCCATGGACTCGGCACCAACTAGTGCTGACAATTCAGGTGATAACTGCATTTGCCTGGTGTAACCGCCACCCTTCTTGCCAGCGCCCTAAAACAATAACCACATTTTAATTCCATACATATTATGTTTGCTTAAATCCCAATCCAAAATCTACCTAAATCGAATGTTTGTTCTCATTGGCCAGTCCTTGCGAGGAATGGGTTCCCAATTTCAATTCTCTTAACTTTCCACCAAAATCAGAAAGCCTAGTTTTATATTTTAATATTAAATTATTTATACGATTTCTAAAATTATTATTATTGTTAATTTAGAAATAAAAACATCCATGCCTTTTGAAATTTTCAGGTCAAACGCTACTAAACAAACTAACCAAAACAAAGCTTGCTCATTTAGCCTAAATCTAGGTGCCACCGCTTTTGATTAATTTATTAATTCACTACTTTAGAATTTTTTTTTTTTTTTGAGCGCCACTCCTCATTGGTATGGTATTTGATTTAAGGTGTTTCTTAATGGTGTGTCAATACTAAAGAGGGCAATGCTTGAGGTCATTTTAAGAAAACAAATGCCCTAAACCTGTTAAATTTAAATTTAAATTTTAATTTAAAATGTTTTTAGAAAAAAATCTTGTTTAAGTTTTCCTAAAATCTAAGATTCTAGAGACCTTTATGATATTTCATTAGTGCATTTATGTATCAAGACCAACACTTTTTCTTATTGCTACCATTGGCGTCCGTGCGCAATTTATATCGCACATTTATGAAGGAAAAAAACGTTTTACCACTGACATTTTTTCAGGTGAATATTTATTTTCAATACGTTCATCTTTCATTCCATTAAGTAAAAGTGATTGCAGCAATGAGTAATAAATAACATATACTTGTTACAAAAATTTATGAATGGCTTGAATTGAACAAAATTATGGAATGAAACTTTTTACTCTCCTTATGGAATTTAGAATAACCTAAAAAATTTGATTCATCTTATAATTAGCGAGCTAGTGAATATTCTGAAGGTACCACTGATAGAAGGAAGTTCACAAGATGTGGATAATCCATCAGGAGTAATCTGTAATCTTATAATATAGATGAAACAACAAAATCTATCAGCATCTGGCAAACAATTTGATGACAAATATTTAGAGCTCTAACGATCCTTCTTGATTGACACAGCTAGCAAATCTTTTGTGATAAATACGCGGCGCTTGTAATTCACAAAATTGAAGGATAAGTTTTAAGACATTGAAAAAATTAAATGGACTCAACAAAACACAAAAAATGAAATAAATATGAACTTAAGATGGTTTGGAATCAAAAAATGGTAATTTATTAAACGCTCACCAGATTTTCTCTATCTTTAAAACTGTGTAATAAATGTAGTACATATATTTAAAGTATTTTCATTTGATATATTGATATAAATTTAAAAATGTGTTCCGTGTTCCTTTAAAAAAGTTGAAAAATTTGAAATAGAGGTAGTTATTGTTGTTTCCTTGGCCTACTTTATGTTAGAAAACGTTAGCAAGTTCGACTCAACAAAAACCGAAGCAGGTGGAATTTAGAAGTTTCGTAAAAAGTATTACAATAGCCTGTGGAAGATTTATTGAAAAATTTCCTGGACCTCATTATGGACACTGTTTTTCGACCGAAAATCAGTATTTAGGAAGAAAAAAGGTGAATATTTTCTTTGGTAATTTCTTTATAACAATAAAATATAATCAAATGAAGATACCTTAAATAAATGTACTACATTTATTACACAGTTTTAAAGATAGAAAATCTGGTAAACGTTTAATAAATTACCGTTTTTAAACGTCATTTTTGATTCCAAACCATCTTAAGTTTCTTTCTGTATTTTGTTGAGTCAATTTAATTTTTTCAATGTCTTAAAACTTATCCTTCAATTTGGTGAATTACAAGCGCCACGTACTTATCACAAAAGATATGCTAGCTGTGTCAAGAAGGATCGCTAGAGCTCTAAACATTTATCATCAAATTGTTTGCCAGATGCTGATAGATTTTGTTGTTTCATCTATATTATAAGATTACAGATTACTCCTGATGGATTATCCACATCTTGTGAACTTCCTTCTATCAGTGGTACCTTCCGAATATTCACTAGCTCGCTAATTATAAGATGAATCAAATTTTTTAGGTGATTCTAAATTCCATATGGAGAGTAAAAAGTTTCATTCCATACTTTTATCAATTCAAGCCATTCATAAGTTTTTGTAACAAGTATATGTTATTTATTACTCATTGCTGCAATCACTTTTACTTAATGGAATGAAAGATGAGCCTATTGAAAATAAATATTCACCTGAAAAAATGTCAGTGGTATAACGTTTTTTTCCTTCATAAATGCGCGATATAAATTGCGCACGGACGCCAATGGTAGCAATAAGAAAAAGTGTTGGTCTTGATATATAAATGCACTAATGAAATACCATAAAGATACCTAGAATCTTAGATTTTAGGTAATACAAAACAAGCTTTTTTCTAAAAACATGTATCTCGAAATCTTGAGCAAAACTATTCAAACATAATACATATATAAAAGCAGAATCTCTGGTGTCAGATTTTTGCTCGGTTTCATCTATGAAACACCGGAAAGAAGCACTCTAAAGTTAGGCAAATATTTTTTTCCAAATATGGTGGCTATGACTCCAAAATGGGAATACATAAAAACGGCTAAGAAATAGAAATGAAGAATAATTTCCACACATGTTAGACATGATTTAATAAATTACGTTTGTTACCAAAAGTATAAAAGAAGGCCTATTTTATTTGAGTAACCAGAATTGACTTTATAAAGCAAGCTTCCCAATAACAGATGTTTAATGTGATTGTTAAAATTGTGTTTTCCAAAAAACTGATGTTTAACAAAATGATACTCACGCCTTTCTTACCGCCCTTCTTCTTCCCCCAATCCTCATCAGAGTCTGATTCAGATCCCTTCTTTTTCTTGGGCGGCAGCTTGCGGGTTTTTACAGGTTTTGATTTCTTTGGAGAATACTCTTCTTCGGAATCACCCTCGCTTAATTGTTCACTGGCCGACTCATCATCTGAACCTTTTTTCCATTTTTTTGCAGCAGGTTTTTTACCAGACGAGGGGCGTTTTTTCTTTTTGTCATCTTCTGATTCCTCCTCCTGGTTTCGAATAACAAACATAAAAAAAGGTAACTTCAAGCAAAACAAATTTGGAAAAACCCTATGCTACATCTGAATAAAAATTAAGTTTCTAAAATTTTACTTGGAGTAAATCTTTAAAACATCATTGCTACTCTAGACTTTTCGTTTTTACTCATTAATTTAGTAAATTAGTTCAAACACAAAGTATAACTTTTTATGTTACTTCCTACAACTTCAGTGAAACATTAAGTATAGGGTTGCAGTTTTTTGGGTTATAATTATCTCTTTAGCTTGTGTTCTATGTGAACTGTATTTGTAGAATTCTTTTAAACTTACAGATTTTGATTGATTTTCCTGAGCATCTTCTTCTTCATCCTCCTCTTCCTCTTCTTCATCGTCAGAATCTGCCTTCTTGCCCTTCTTCTTCGGTGCACTCTTCTTAGAACTCACATACTCCATCACCAGGTCATCAATTTCTTTTTTCCTGGATTGAAGTTTGACATCAAGTTTCTCCTCCAGTTCTTGGCGAACTTTCTTGGCCGAAGTCGACGCCAAGTTAGCATCTTTCAGAATTTCTACACAAAATTATATTAATGAAAAAAATAGTCAGTCAAATATTCTCTTAGGTTTTAGGATCGAGATGGTAGATTTTCAAGCACATTTTTTTTGTACCTGCGATAATAAAGTAGATATAGACGTCCCGTTTAAAACAGTATACTGGTGCACAAGTAGGCAAAAAGCGAACATACTATCTATCTATGCCATAATAGCTTCCTAATAAAATATTGGAGTATGATTATGACACCACAGGTACCTGTAGTCAGATTGGAAGGGTAATTTAAGACAGATTAAATGGGACTGAAATTGTATATTTATTTTTATTTATTTAGATATACAAAAAAAAAATATTTCAATGTTGATAGTATAAGTTCAAAATTGTAAACAAAACAAGTGAATTCCGTAAAAACTCATTCAGAAATTTAAAATTTGTAATTTTAACTTTTGAAACTTGGCTTTTGTAAAATTGAAAACTGATGTGCTAGGAAGGAAAAACTAAAATTAATTACTCTAAAGTATTTGTAACCTCACCTCTGATTTTAATTTTGGTAGTTTCATGGCAAAAAAAATGGCAAATAAGGTTTATTATTAATCAAGTAATTTCATATAATGGCGAAATGAAAATAAACATTCTATTTTGACTATTATTCAGACCAAAATGTAGGTCAGTGATAGACAAACATGCTAAAACGTCTAACTACTGGAGAAAATGCAAAGATTTGCATCGTAAAACTGCTCCCATTAAAATTTATATTATATGTATTTGATAAACTTATAAACTGCATAAATATCCTATATTTTTTTAAACCCTGTACGAAAACGTGGTATTTTATTCGAATGTATTATCTAAAACGATCTGGGTTAAACTTGTAACCTTGCAAGTTCTAGCCACTACGCTCCCTAAATAATATACTAATATCAATGTATATATTATATTACATACGCTTCGTCTACAATAATTGCTTACACAAGCAGTTTTATTTCATCTGGCGCCATCTACTGAGGAACGCAAATTTACAGTTTCATCGATTAAATAAACTCGAGAAACCTACCCAAAACTTTAAATTATGCAGTTTGACTCGAGGAAACATCCCAAAAGGGGAAAAGTTGCATAGAATGCATCATAACTGCAGATTATAATTAAATGCGTGAATGCAAAAAATAATTACCCAAAATGAAGTTAATATTGTGGCCATTTTTCCTACCAATGCGATAAAAACCGAAATATTTTATGTACCTGCGAGAACGTTTTTAATAAATTAAAAAATATATCGGCGGCGGTTTAATTTCAAACAAACAAAATGTATTTTCAACCAAACCTATTTCAAAAATGGGTATTGCCTACCTGACTCAAAAGAGCAAGAACAAGATAATGCGCGCGAAACCAGATTAACGAAAGCGGTAACGATGCGAAAACCTACATGGAGAAACTGGAAATGCGAAAGTCGGATATATGATGTTATATACAGACAAATAAGAATATATGAACCTAAATACTTGCTATCAAGGCGTGGAATGGCACAAAAGCGAAATTGAATCGACCCACACCAACTTCAATGATCGGCCAAACACACAAGACATCAAACGCGCATTTTTCCAAAAACTTGTAAAATACAAAGAAATCCGGGGAGAAAAACACCTGCGAAAATCGAAAATAATATTTTACGTCAATTTTGTCTCAAGGTTTTTATCATCCGAGGCATAAAATCAGAGAAAATCGCGAAAATAAATAAGCATATAATACACCGTAGGTACATAGCGTCATTCGGCCATTGTTTACGAACGGCCCGGGATAGATATATTGTACAAGAGTAAACTACCCGATTTTAACTGTTAAGCCACAAAAATCTTCGAACAAAAATTGTTTTAAAAAAAATTACGAGTCTAGTTTTGTAATTTTCAATACGTTTATTAGAGGAACTGTATAAAAAACAGGACTTACCGGCAATTTCCTTGCGAAGCTCGTCTTTGGAGATGTCTGCCATGTTCTCGAGTGAGACAATTCTATTAAACTAACAAGGATGGAGCTAAACGGTTCGAGCTTCGGAATGTGTTCGGCGTTCACGTTAACTCTCGGAAAATCGTGAACGCTGATTGGAGAAAACTAAAAGAATGAAGGGATGTTGCCAAATATTTAAACGTAACAAATGTATAGGTAAAAATGAAATCTATTTTACCATGCAAATGGCAGGATTTATTTTGTTTGATTTGATTGATTTCATATTTAATTACCGATTGCAAAAGGGTCGAAACTCCTTACGATTGTTTCAATTAAATTAATAATTGTGTCATAGCAGTAACAAGAAACCAAAACGATAAAAAAAAAGCTGAAATAATTTTGAAATAATCATATTCAAAACAAGTCAAAAAATAATTTAAATTGCTTTTAAATCAATCAATCGATACTTGGTCTACAATTATGGTGTACGTAAATTCCATTCGTCTTTAATTTGCTTTCGATTTTTTTTAAGTTTTGTGAGTTGGGTGCTGTTGAAAAGTCGGGACAGAAAGAAGTGTTACGCTGTGACGCCCTGTGTTGCCAACTGTTCAAGCATTAATTCTCAATGGATAAGAATATTTTACTGATTAATTCTCCTATGCTTTTTATTGATATGCTTCATTAAATGCGACAAAATACTCGAAAAGTAATATAAATATAAAATATTTTTCGGTCTTAGGTTTGTTTAGATAATAAGCTGTTATGCATTGTACATAAGTAGTTATAAAATACTGCTCCTTTTATCCAATTTCCATTGTGCAAATAGTATTTGGTCACACATTTTTTAAAATTACGATTGCAACAACTTTAGGCTTCAAATCAAATGCGTGCTTAAGTTAATGGAATGCGGCTTGGCAACGCTGCGTGTGCATTCCTACGTCGTCCCAATCTAAGCCAGAGAACACCTGTGTTTTATTTAAAACATGTATGATTTTGTTTCATTGTTATTCTTTTCAGGTGTCCTAATTTTCTTGGGTGAAATTGTGCCATTCAATTTCACAGTCTTGATTGACTGGTGTAATGCTAAATAGACAAATAAACTTACTTTTATCCTTACAGGTTATAGATTATGCACAGATGATAAAAGGGAATATTGACAGGGTAAGTGAAAAGTATGAAAAATCGTGAAATATCGCAATAGAGAAAAGGTTTTCTTTTATTTATTAGCCAAAAAATAGCGAAACTCATTTTTTTTAACTTAAACAACTCCAAGATTTTTAATTGTACATTTTTTTTTTCGTTGATATGCTGTCCTATTTTTTAATGTTTTGTTTTGTTTAAGGGAGAATCGCCTACCTAGGTTGGGTTAGAAGATGCGAGGTACTTCTGAAAACATGCCATCTTTTACCATCTCTGATCACTTCCTGTTTATGGCGATAAAAAAACTTTAAATGCAAATACTTAAAAAACTGGAAAACACTTTTTCTAGTTGAATATATTAGTTATCATGTTTCGAATTCTATAATATTTTTACAAGAACAGGAGTCTAAAAGTGATTAAGTGCTATATCGAGAGTAATAAAAATAAAGATGGAGATTTACGCTTATATTTTCAGCTTTATTGGGAACAACGACGGGCATAAAGGCAAATATTTCAAAGATTATGTCATATGTTGAGTGAGTATAGGTCCTCCTAAATCATTTAGTGAAATTTATAACCAGGAATAATGGTGAAATATGATGCTCTTCGACTTTTATTTTTTATTAAAAAAAATATGCATCAGAATGACCAAAGTACTAAATATATGTATTGTTCTGTAAAGCCCGAAATGCGCCCAAACATCATCTTGGGATTTGTATGTTACTATGATTTATGATGACATAAAGGGAAACAGAAGTTTTAACATTTGATTTCAAGATTAAATTTTCTTATGGGTTCCATATTGAATATTTTCATTATTAGAGCATAAAAAACTTGTAAATGATGTATTATATGATGCATTTTTAACAACTCTTAAGATGGCAAAGGCAAAATGCGTTTTTTTTACAGTAGGCCATGGTCACTCTCACTAGATATTCGGAAAAACAGGTTTTGACAGTTCGGCATTAAAAAAATAAGTGTCCTTATTGACAAATTTCTTTTACCAATTTTTGATTTATTTAAAAATGAAAAATTCTTTTCAGCATGAGTTTGATATGTTAAAGTGTTACATTTTGTACCACAATAATACTCGAGAAGCTGGGCAGATGTATTTAAATATGTTAATATAAATAAAATAAATATAAAATCCTCGTTTGTACAAAATGTCTAGGCACCAACACTGAAACTAAGCAGAATTTTCTCGATTATGAATCACCAAAATTCGCTACTTTGCCCCCACTTAACGGACTTTGGTTCGCGAGATCCCAAAGAATTTTTTTATTTTTCAAAGGGTAAAATCATAACACAAATTGCAATCTCTCAAGACATTTGAGGATTGAGATTCAAGAATATTTCAGGATATGTACGTAATCATTCTTCCAAGCTTTTTACTCGTCCCTTCGTAACCACAAAACGATCAGGGATTTTAAATCAGAGACGATTTTTCTTGCGCATCCACCATTTTGTAAATTGCACGAAGGCCAATCATACAGAGACCAAAGTAGTAATAAGAAATGGTTACAATTTGTTAACATCCGATGTTATGAAATTATTTCGACAGTTGGTTAATAGAATATTTCTCTTAAATGTTAATTAATGTAATGTAGTGTTACTGTAATGTAAATTAATAAAAAGGAGAATCCAATACATTTTGCTATAGTTTGTATAGTAAAATACTAATGACTTTATCATTTACCTGTGATTCACGGTAACAAGCAAAGGAGGTTGCTTTGAGATATATGAAATATTCTTATATTATGGGACAATTTTAAGTAGCAAAAATTTATACAAATTTCCTAAAGCTAAGTTTCATCGGTTTTCAGATACTTATTATTTTCTGTGTAGACCAAAGAATATTCACAAGTTTTTTCCATGATAAATTGTCGATAATATCAATTAAATAGCTTTCTATGTATGTATTGTATGTGTACCAATATTTAAGGTGGTGTTCGAAATGTACTGGGTGTTCCACTAAGAATAGCTCGCAACTACATTATGGAAAGTCTTAATTATATTAAAAAAGGCCGTGAGAAATTGAGAAACTAACCAAAACTATTGGCGCCATAATCACTAGTAAATTTAAATTTTCTATTTCTATTTAACTATTAGCATGGGTCGTACAAATATTATTTAGAATTAATGACTGAATAAAAATATAAACAAATAAAATCAAGACTTGCTGACGTTTCGCAAGGCTGTAATGAAGTATATTTTTTGATGGAACGCCTAATATCTTTAATCTGCAAATTATTAGAGAGAAGAGCAGAAGTAAGGTGCTTTAATTCTGGGTTCAGTGACTCGGGTTGAAATAGTTTTACGACTCTGTAAACAAGAGAGTTGATAAGCGATGATGCGGTCTGTGTGCGCAGGTTTTCTGTAAACACAATGATCTAATGTTGGGTCTGGTTTTCTATTGATAAGAATATCTAAGAATGGAAGGTTATTATTAGTTTCCAACTCAACAATAAAACGTATGTTAGGATGTATATAGTTTAAATATCTAAGAAAATCTACTAGGTAGGGTCATTTATAATAAGTATCATCGACGTAGCGTTTCCGTAATTTTGGTTTTAGATTAAGAACTTTCTTCTCAAAGGCTTCCATAGCTGTTCCCGACGTTTGCTCCAAAATATTCCAAACAAGCATTTTTCGATTAAGGTGAGAAGGTTTGGTCCCGATACTCGAATTTTAATATATCTAAAATGATGTTGATAGTTTCAGGAATAGGACCTTGGGTACGTCGAAACTAACTAGAATATCTTGTGTATCTAATGTAATGCTTTTTAGAGTCGTGGGGGGTGACAGATTTTTTCATGGAGTATGATAGATAAGAAGCCTTAATAACATATTGCGATCCATAGATGACTTAGGATCTTTTTTATGTTGACGATATGATCTGTCTAAGAATATCTTGAATCTTTTCCTGATTCATTTGTGTTCATGACCACCGTAGCATTTCCTTTATCTGCTTTTAAGATTACGATGTCTGGATTAGATTTTAGAGATTTTAGAGCAATGCGTTCAGGCTTTGCAATATTAGATTTAGGAGGTTTTCATTTTTTAAGGATTTGAGATAGCAGTTTGTTTAGGATATCTTGACATTTGATACATTCTTGCATGTAATCAACTTTTCTATCAACAAAAAATCCGAGAGAAATCTATAAGCAACCTAACAATCTTAACCGCGACTCAGGTCTCTACCTGTCCCCAATATGGGAATCAGTCACGCGAGACGGTGTTTATGCCCCTCACTTACTTCCGCTCGCCTCGGACAATATAAAAGTAAGTACAGAGTAAAATACGAGCCAGTTTCAGTCAAGCTCTGAAGAAGTCAACAAGATAATTGCCGAAACAGCAAGTTCGACTAAGCAAAAACCGACGGAGGAGGAATCCAGAAGTTTTATAAAAAGTAAAATAAAGACTTCCATAATAAAAAGTGATATGATATATATGATGTGATGAAATGTGCGAGACGCTAGGGGCTTAAATGCATTGCAAGACACGGTCCCCTAGCGCCTATCTTTAAATGCATATCACTATGAATTATGAATGAAGTGTGACCCGACGGTGAGAACTAACAAACGTCGAAACTGAGTGTCCCTAAATTAGCAAAGTACCGTAAATGTTGGTTGCGGCAGAAGGGTTATTGGTAAAAATATAATTGAAATTGTTAAATTATGATTTTATATCTTAAGAGTGAAGTTAGCAATGCCTATTTTGTATTCTGTGCCTTTTGGTTGTGGTCTGTGTTTTGTTTTGACCAGAAACTAAGAAGAAGAACGATAGAACTGTGGTGGTGCACATGTTTGTAAGATTCAGTTAGAAGAATTCCGTTTCATCATTTCAACAGAAATAACATCTTTTGATTTAATTCGATTCGGTCCTAAAATTTAAATTTTAGTTTCAGCGCCCTCTAGCGCGTACTGCCTACTAAACTTTAATGAGAACTAGTTCTTATTAACCAACCTTCTCTCACCACTTTATTTTAGCAGATAGGGCAAAATGGTTTAAACAGAAAGAAACCAAATTTCTCTTACAGCTCTTGAATAGATTTTGTAAAAATCTTTAAATCTCTTACTCCACACAGAAGTTGAGTAGTCTAGCTGCCATTTTTTCCAGCAGTTGACACGGCTGTTTCCGGATGGCCACTCTTATCACCATCAAATTATCTCTAGCAAAAATCAAGTTTAGAATTTTTTTAGCACTTTAATTGCCTTGCAAATGAAAACTTCCCTATTGGTTTGGCAACAAACCGTTATTTAGCGCCCATCTTAGAAAAGGGCTTTATGTATTCCTTACTATATTAAAAACTGTAGAAAACAGTAGGGCAGTAATTAGTCTTCCGTTATTAGGTAACATCACTTTTGAATGCTTCATCGCGAATATCCAGAAAACTGTTACACCATGTGTTGTACAAATGATGTTTAGAATTAATCACTGAATAAAAATATCAAGATCTTTAAGTATATGTCACATCAAAATAGGCTTATCCATCTTCTAGGTACATATGCACCTTTCCGAATTCTTTTTTTTTGCCCGCTGTTTTCATGATCATCTGACCACGCGTTTAAAGATAGATACTATATAAAGTTATCAAGTGTTTACACCAATGACATTATGGTTATTATACAAAATTTGGGGTTTTTACAGCAGTTTACGTATTTAGTAAATGGACTCATGGATACCAAAATTGCAAGTTGGCACAACCATCTAGTTTTTTTATATAATTTTTCGTCCCTTGTTACCAAATATTCAATTATTACTTTTTAGACCGTGTTCCTTCTTTCCGTTCATTCTGCTAGCAACTTGTGCTTATTTTTGGTCACTGATTTTCAAAAAAATTATAATGACTCATTGACAAGTTTCAATTAATTGTTAAACCTAATTAATATTGTCGATTCTAACATGATTAACTGATATGTTAGTATTAAATTATATTTTCCTTTACCCAATGGAAAAAAACTAATTCTTTCTTCAATTTTCTATTTCGCAAAGAACTAGATTGGATTTCTGCCATAAATTCCGCCCTCTGGTAGCCTCAGACTGAAGTATCTAGCTCGAAACTTCTCGCAGTAGTGCATAGATGGCGACAGGTATATTTGAAGGCGCTTTTATTAAACTTTTTAAATAGTAGCAAACTTGTCCAGGTTGCAACCAACGTCAACGTTTCAATGACATACATAAAATATGTTTAAATAATATTAACCAGTCGTAATCGCTTTTAAACCGGAGATATAGTGCGGTATGGAGGTATTATTGTGCGACAAACAAAACCCATAGACGTAGGAACATATATCGGACCGGTTTATTGGCCGACTCTTCTCTTTTAGAGGTTGAGACGAGTTTTTTTCGTTAAATACAGTTTGCAGAAACACAACATGCAATTTAAAACGATTTCGTTGTACCATGACCCGATTTTGAGTGCACCGCTTATACTAACCGAACTAAAAACATCGCGCCAAAATATAGCCGAAAAGTCGTATGCATTCTTGGATTTGCATTTCCGAAGGCCACGGCCTTTGGCTGAATAAGCTGCGTCTATGCGGAACTGCGACGGTGCACGATGTGCGTTTCGTTAAATTTTATTTATCTGGCGGAATAATGGGCTTACCCCGACCTAGATCTTTTTTTCATTTAGAGTGTCAAATAAGGCCACTATGGATCTCGGAAAGATTAAGAGAGGGTGGATCAACTTAAATAAAAAATACGTATACAGCCTGATAATATTCCTTTAAAAAACTGAAGTTAGGGTCTGTTCTATTGGAAAAATCTCTGTTTGTCGTAGAGGAAAAAAACTATAATTACATTGCTTTTCTTAAACAGATGTGAACTTTAATGCCACCATGGACTCCATGTTGGATTTTCGCAGTTTAGAACAGTCGCGTTAAGTATACGTTACTAATTATCTACCAAAAAAGTTACCATTGTACTTCCAAAATCGAAATATTACACAATTACGCAACCTGTTTGATAAACTCCATTAACATATTCATCCAATTACTTAAGTATTTTAGGATATTTTAGCGTGGGGAGTAAAAAAATTTTAATTTTCAAAACCTGTGCCAAACGTATTCAGTGACTATCCATAACAGATTAATGAATATTCACTTGATGCAGGGTGAAATAGACGAAAAACGAGCACGTGGCAGCGAACTGTTTCGATGTGCGGTTTCCAAGGTGAACCTCCGAAGATTTGTCTTAGTATTAAGGCTCTTTCATGTTCTTTGAGCTTAGTTGCTATTTTTCGTCAGGTCTCAATGTATCAATGTATTCTGGAATGCGGTAAACTCCTGGTATCCCAAACGGAATTTTGTCTTTGACGGATCGACAATGTTGGAAGATTTTTGGACAAGTCGTAAATCTGGTTTTAACGTTATATTTCTGATATGTATTCGGTGATGTTTTGATTGTAAGGAAGGACAACAGTAGCATGTAAGGAATGTAATGTGGAAATTATTAGAGAAAAGGCGGATGTAAAGTGTTTTAATTCTGGGTTCAGTTACTCCGATAGTGAGGTGACAATGCATTAAGGTTAGGTTTTCTGTAAACAGAATGACGCGATGTTAGGTTCGCTTTTCTATTCCTAAGAATATCTAAGAATGGGAGATTATTATTTTCTAATTCAATGGTAAAACGTATATTAGGGTGTATAGCGTTTAAATGATTAAGAAGACCCTAAGAAGAGATTCTTGACATCAACGTAGCGTTTCCATAATTTTTTATTTCAAATGACAGGTGTCGACGGCTTTCTTCTCAAAGGCTTCCAAAATATATTTGCTATCACTGACGTTTGTTTTCAGGAATAGGGACTTTAGTAAAGAAGGATTCTAAGTCGAAACTAACCGGAATATTGTTTGGATCGTTTTTAGTTGTTCAATAAAATGAAAGGAATTAAGTACCAAACTATGTAAGTTTCTTTGAAAAATTTTCAGGGTATTTCATGGTCTAAAATCTTTTCAATTCAAGTTCAATATAGCGGGCTCTAAAATTCAGTACTTAAATTTAATCGAATATGTAATCTATCATCGAGCATCAATCACTTTACATGTGTGTTTTCTAGTCCAGATTGATGTTGAATGCATGACGTATTGGAATATTTTTCTAAAAAATTTGTTATCCAATTTAAAGGAAAGTTCTGAAGAGCTTTTCATAGAATTTATATGAGTGAGAAAATCGAAGGCCCTACTCAACCCATTAATAATATAAATAATAAAAAAAAGAAATTCCCACGTTAGAAAATTTGATAGACCCGGCCCTGCATAAAACTCCAATGAAAGTTTGGTCGCATTTTTTCACCTAGATTTCACAATACGTTTATATCTCTAGGACAAACATTTTGTGACAAGGACACGCGTTTTTGTGACATTTCAAATTGTACTGTTATTTTAAATACGGAGCCTTGAATCGAATTGCACGGAACATTTTTCTTATGGGAGTGTTTCGACGCAGGCCGGCAGCCTGACACTGGCTGCTTATATTTATAAAACATATCGATTTTTGGGCAAACTCTCTTATATCGTAAAAAAGTTGGGCGTTGGTTAGATACGCGAATCCGGGCCTACTATATTGCCGGGCAAAGATTGTTTTGCGAATAGTCTCCTACCCGTTTAGCATTTGGCAATAAGTAATAAATCAGATCGTCGCGATTGGTTATTAGAAAGTCCCAAAAACGCCAAATTTTTCATTTTTTAATAGAGTTTTTTTTTTAATTTCGTGATGAATTTTAAAAATGAAAAAAAAAACCTCACTTATTTGTATGTATTTTCCGAACTCACTAGAGAGAAGTTTATGCACTGATGAGGTGTGCACAAAGTATTATTTTAAATTATCATTTTTGTTAAACTCTAGCCCGAGCTATTTAGAGAGTTTCCGGCACTTTAGTCACGGGTTGAGAGCGATCGGATATTTTCGGTAGATTATAGGACATTGGACATTTGTCGCATGATGGTCGCATTACACTGTCGTCGTACTATTTACTACACTCAGAAAATTTTTTTTTCAAATGCATAAAAAAATCACCTTGTAATACAAATTATCTCTTCTACAATCTAGCTAATTAAAATATAATGTTTTAGGTACTTTTGAAAATATTTTGATACTGATTTGTTAATAAATTATTAGATTAGCCACTTTAGGATATCAACGATTTTCTTTTGTCCTTTATTTAATATATTGCGTAAGTGTTTTAAACGGAATTAGGTTACGTTATCTTATAATAAGACTACATTAATCAAACTTGAACGTTTATATTTTAAGGGCGGTCTGATGTTACTCTTAAAAGATTTTTTTAACATTTTAAAAAGAAAAGGATAACGTTAACGGAAAAAAAGTCTTTCCATACAATTATGTTAACTATAATTTGAATGGCTTCTTTTTCAATCGAAAGGCAGACAATAATTTTGTTTTAATGAGAATAAGTAATAAAAATTATCAGGTACGTGTTAGTTTCAGGATGACATAGAATCACATAGCGTGTTATTGATTTATTAAAAAGCACCAATGAAGCAAAATCATATTTAATTTTGATCAGCGTGAGCGTTTTTTTTACAGCAGTTTTTTTCTTAGTGTACAGCTAACCATTATAACCCATGTGTTTATAATTGTGCACAATGATCAATTAACTGTACCCAAGCCGTTTTAACGGACGTTTTTTATTAAAGAACTTTATTAGCCACAAGCCACTTTGTGCTTTTCCGAGACTTTTTTTAGTCACAGGTTGGGAGCGATTGTACGTTTTCGGTAGATTTACAATTCTGATGGTATCACGTCACACGTCGCTCAGGGAATGTTTTAGTGCTGTTTTACAGAAATGTCTCTAATGTTCGTGGAAACAGTATAGGATGCGACATATAGATAAACTTCGCTTTTATTCGTTATTCGCCCTTTAGGCACTAGCGAATCGCAGTGGAGCGAGTGCCTAAAAATAAACACAAACTTTAATCCAGCCACAACCGCATGTTAGGTAAGACTTAAAAATAGTTAATAATAACAACAAAAAAGTAACGTACTATCATGAACATAAACATTGAGAAATAAAAAAGCACGTTCACGACATTGAGACTCATCGATAATTTTTTTAATGTTTGCAGTATAATTTGATATAACCATTCAAATACAATTATAGATTTTTTTGTTGAATTGTTTATGTTTAATATTATTTCAATTAGATTTTTTGTGGAATTTTGAAGCTTCTCTGATTTTTTAAAATTAAAATCGTTGTGAGAGCTACCAGAAATTCCTCGGCGAGCTACCGGTAGCTCGCGATCGGCAGGTTGGCGACCGCTGGTTTAGAGCAACGACGTAAAATAGAGCGGAATGATGACGTATTTTTAAATGAATAAATATTTAATATTATATATTAAAAGACCTAAATTAAATTTAAGCAAATTTTTGCTTATCGAAAAGTTGTGCAACTACATAATTTAATTGTGAGTAGACAAAAGGTATAAACCAGAAATTTTTAACTAGATTCAAGTACCTGCTTTGGTATATAGGTAGCATTTTATTATTGTTAATTTCCTTTGTTCTGTTCAGTATTTTCATATGAATTGTATACAATCTGTAAAAAACAATATTAATGAAATTAACTTATTTTTTCTAGTTCTAGATTTCAAGTTAAATTCTATGAAATGCGTATATAATTAATTAAAATAAATTATTTTATACAATGTCAGATAGTTTTATTCATTCTATACAGCGCGTATTCGGAAGTTCTTAACAAATAGAAAAAATTTTATATAGTAACCGCCTTCTCCTGAAAAGTCCTGCTTAAATTAAATTAAATAAATTAAATTAAATAAATTTCCACAATAATATTCGATTAATTCTGGGAATATACAACACCATTAGAAGTACATGTTGCCTCCTATTTACAATACTTCTGGATTCCTCCTGCATCGGTTTTTGCTGAGTCGAAATTTCTGACGTTTCGCCAATCATCCTGTTGGCTTTTTCAGAGCTTGACTGAAACTAGTTCGTATTTTACTCTGTACCTGCTTATATATTGTTTGAGGGGGGAGTACTAAATGAGGGGCATAAACACCGGCTCGGATGACTGGTTCCCAAATTGGTGACTCAGCAAAAACTGACGCAGGAGGAATCCAGAAGAATTGTAAAAAGTATTACAGTAGCCTGTGAAAGTTTCTTTGAAAAATGAAATGTTGCCTCGTCAATGAATAAAAATCACTTTGAAAAGAAAATGTGATCTTTGAAGGCGCCTCGAAACCAATCACAGAACTTGAAACGCGATTCCATAGCTTCAGGTTTGAGCGTGTGTACAATTTTCCTTTACTAGAAGAAACTATTTCTTCCAATGAAATTTTTGGATTTCCCACAACCGCTTTCAACACTTCCAACTGATTTTTTTTAGCCCCCATGCAGGCGACTAATGCTTTTGCAAATTTTGATAAAAGTAGATCTTATATCTTCTTAAAATGCTAGAAATTCTCTTTAAATGAACCTTAGCTCATATATGTTGAATGATTTTAATTACTATGCGAGTAGTATAGCAGTTAATAATTTTCATTTTTCTAAAATAAATAATTAAATAAAGTCACTTATACGGAAAATAGCTCTCAAAACTTGGATTTTTTCTTGTTTTATTTTCATTTTTTTTCATGTTTTAGGTTATAAAGGAGATAGCAAGATACAGTTCTCACTGGCATGTTAGCAGCTCACTTGTTTATCTGTTGTTGTAAGAAAAAGTCATATTATTGCATACTTTTTTGTAGGAAATAACACTTATTTCGCCACATTTACAAAAACGTTGATATCCGATCAAGTTAACGTAATTTTTTATTGTGAAAAATAATTGGGTGTAAAAAACGACTTTCAAAGCAGGCCTACGTGGCTTCATCAGACTTCAGGATTGGTACGATTTTTGCCACTTTCTAACGTTTTGGAAATGTGCGTGTTAAACATTTATTAAAAATAATGAGATTTTATTTACGCCTTTTTGAAATAGACTTTTATTACGGAGAGCTATTTGCGCTACCCAAATGATAATTTCGTATTTTGCTACTTCAACAAAAGTGAATGCACAAAACCCTCCAAAACACTTGCAAATAGACTCTACAAAAAATGCCATTTTCTGCCGCTTAAAAGATCGTATTTCTCCAAACTTGGCTTTTTCGTTATGGATTAACATGTGCAATATATTTAAGTTACACCGCCAGGACTACAGACTTTTGCATCTTCCGATAATTTGACTCGGGAATATGAATGACCTTGCGAGAAGTGCATACATGACAAAACAACCTGAGATTCCACAGCCCTTTGAATTCTGTCTTTACGTCAGCATATTTGTTCAGTTTTTCATTATATGCTATGTTAGAGTTATTTGGGACCGCTATGTCCATTAGACTCGTACTGTTTTAATAACTGTAATATCCGGCCTGTTGTGTCTTACTGTTATCTCTGTCATGATGGTTCCATCCCAATTTTTCTCAGTACTTTTAAGTAAAATAGTATATTGCAACAATATTCTTCTAGATATTTATTTGTCGCTAGGTTTTCACAGCTTGATTTAGTTTTTGTTGCACTTTCTGCAACCTGCAATCTTTAAGAATATACTTTTGATGATTTCTTGTTCCACGGATTTAATCATTAATAATCTACTATGCAGTTTTTTGCCCGCCAGTTTTGAACTGTGTCATCGTTTGTTTTTGAATCAAATGCATTAAAATTTTCCAAGCTTAAGTTACTTACTTACTTACTTAAGTTTATCTTTCTGCTTATTGCTCGAGATCTGTTTGGGTCCATTTAACTATTCCAAAGGAGTATTGAAGAGCAGTTATGGCATAGCTATTTATGACTGTGAAAAGGTTCCTTGAGTTAAGTGTGCTGTTTGGAGGATTGTAAAGACGTTTTTCAAGCTCTTTGATCAATGTGGATTTTACTTCTTTATGTTCAATTTTGTGGGTCTGCAGAATTCTTAAGCAATTGTCTGGTTGTTCTGCCGTAGCGTAGATAAATTTGCCTGGTGCTAGTTCAACAGGCTCCCCTTGTTTTTGCTTTTCCTTTTTAACTGATACAATCTGACATTTCTTCACACCAAACGACATTCCGATATCTGTACTCCACTGGTATAAGTTTTAGGTTTTTAGATAGATGGCTTATAATTTTTGGGTTCCGATTTGATTTAATGGTAGCTCCATATCCGGTGCGATTTAGAGGGTTCAAATACAGACAGAACTATAATGCTGAAATGGAATTTTCTTGAAAATTTCCGCTTTTTGTGTTTAAGTCAGTTTCTACTTCTGCATGCTTTATGTTGATTTTTAATTTAGTTTTCGATTTACTCATGGTATTTTTTAAAAAGGTGATCATGACAGGATATACGTTGTATATTTCCAAGATTTTAATTAACCAAAACTATGATTCACTAACCATAACTAGCCAACTGTGCGGCAGTATTCTATATATGCCATGTACAGCGTGTGCAACGATCCACCATACGATCTGGAAACCCATAGGAGATACGAAAAAAGTCTCGTAAAAAAATTTCGTGGACTCTCCCGAAGATTTAAAATATTATAATTTTGTTGATACAGGATGTCCAAAATTGTCCGACCGACATCAACTTTGTTATTTTAAATGGAACACTCTGTATATCTCCACATTTTTTGGAATCCCTGGTTAAAATAAAGGTAACTTTCTTAAAAAAATCCTATTCGAATTTAGTATAGTTTATAGTTGTGACGCTACTGATAAAGTTATTGCAACGAAAATTTAACCACAGACTAAGGAGATGATGCACTACTTAATCAGTCTGACAGATGCGCCTCAGATTATACAGGATGTCCCAAATAGGTGGTGCCGTTTTGGCGAATTCAATTAACAAAATTACAAGATTTTCAAATGGAACACACTATATTTTTATTCAGATATCAAGTATAGGATAAAAAATAAGGTAAATTTGTAATTTATTTTATATTTAAATTTTACTTACTTTTTGAGATATTCGAGGTTTAAGATAACACCTCTATAAATTCTTGTTGAATTTAAAGCTTAGGCATTAGGTCACTTGTAGGAGATATTAGGTATTTTTTAAAAAGCAAAAACATAATGCTACTTGTTTTAAAGATAATACTCCAGATACACGAATAAAACCTATTGCCAACAATACAGGGTGTACGTGGACATTTTGAAAAGAATCGCCTCGATACTACACACTTTAACAGATTTAATAAAAGTTCATAATTCCTATTTAAACACACATTAAATAGCTATAATCAATTGCAATGATTTTATATGTAAACGAGATCCTACAATTTATTAATTATTATTTATTTCACGATAGAATGATAGCCACTGTAGGTGTTCGACATAATCGCCATTAACATTCACACACCAGCGATGCCGCCGAACGTCAGCGCGAACTACTGACTGCAACGTGTTTGGTTGGATATTTGCACATGAATCCAATGTGGTGAGCGAGTGAATTGTTGTAAAACAGGATAGGAGTTAGATGGACTTGTTACTGTTACAAATTTTGACCATTTGATCATTTGATCATTGCTGTTGAACCTCATTAATATTTTCGCACTTAAAATACCACTTCGAATCTGACTTCCTGCCATCGAATGTGAGTCTTACGCCAACCATGTTTACTCGAGTAATAAGGTACAACTAACAATAAAACACTAACTTGCATGGCGATTGCTGGAACTATAAACTCTTGCACTACCAAAAATAAGACAACTCCCTAAATTAGTTTGCAAGTTATGTATAGGCGTCGGAATAAAGCAAAAAACAGCTGTCATAAACTAATAAATAACTGTTTTACGCAACCTAGTTTACTCGAGCAACAAGATACAACTAACAGTAAAACACTATCTGGCCACTGTCAATGACAAATCAAAACAACGCAATACAACACTCGTATGGCGATTGTCGGAACTACTATTATACTACTATTGAAGCCTTTTAGAAGAAAGCCATCCATCATAATTATGAAAACGCTACGTTGATGATACTTTTGATCAAGAATTCCTACTAGAATTTCTTAGACATTTTACCATTGAATTAGAAACCAATATACATCTCCCATTCTTGGATATTCTTATCAATAAAACATCAGACCTATCATTGCGTCATTCTTTTTACAAAAAACACATACCGATACCTTAATGCATTATCACATCAACATCCGGTCCAAGAATCATCGCTTATCAATTTTCTTGCTAACAAAGCCTTAAAACGATCTCATCCCGAGTCACTGAACCCAGAATTAAAACATATTACATTTGCTTTTCTCTGTGATAATTTCCATATTGGAAATATTAAGCGTTCCATCACAAAATACACTTCACCGCAATCTTTCAAAGACAATGAGTCCGAAAGCAAATCCACACTTGCCACTGTTGTTCGTTCTTAAATTGAAAACATCGCTGACAACGTATCAAAAGTTATGAAAAAATACAACGTCAAAACCAGTTTTACCACTTGTTCAAAAATCTCTCAACATCTCCCATCCGTCAAAGACAAAATTTCGTTTGAGATATAAGGAGTTTACAGCATTCCATGCATACGCGGCAAATATATATTTGAGAGACCGGACAAAAAATATCAACTAGATTCAAAGAACATGAAAGTGCCTTAAGACTAAGGCAAATAAACTGATCATAAAACAAAAATTTTTCTACCATCGAAAAATCCGATAATCTACAGAAATCTATAAGCAATCAGACAGTAAACCAGGTCTTTACATGTCACCTGTCACCTCTAGGTCCGCCCCCCGCAAACAAAATATAAGCAGGGTAGAGTAAAATGCGAGCCAGTTT